TATAATACAAAATCCGTTAGCCCAGCTTTACTGGTAAAATAACGAAGCAATCATTGTTTTCGTTAGTCACGATTGAAGGTTAACGAAGTATGTTTACCTTCATATAGTTGTATTTTTCTTTCTTTTCTTTCATTTATTCATTGACTGTCATCAAATTGTGCAAGGTGCTATTGAAAACGAAAGCGAATGAGAATACTATTCTTAACTGGCTGGTTTCGAGTCTATAGTACTCGTTAATACTTTTCATTGAATGACTTACGAAAGACATTACTCTCTAAAAAAAACCTTTATCAATGAATCAATAATTCATGAATAGACACATCATAAACTTCTTCATTAATCAACGTCAAAGCTAATGCAAGATAATTATTCACACAAAATGTCGTTTTTTTGCTACTCTTAGTTGTCTTCTCTTTCTACAACCGCAGTCTATTTATACATACATATTAAATCGCTTCTTCTACATTATTTGGAGAATTTCATAGACATTCCGCCACTTCGCTGCATTCGATACTTACTCTCCTGATGATGTCACTGCTATATACATATCGTATGTATTTATGTTCTGTTCTGTTTTGCTTTTATTGGACTATTTCTTTTACCTAAGCATGCGAGGTATCCATATGTCTTTTGTAACTCTCGTTTGCACAGTATCGTCAAAATCAGCTTATATTCTCATCTAAAAGTCAATAGCTCAGGAGCGACTCAATCGACATTTACATATACGTATATCGTTTGTTCATTAGTCAAAGATATGAATCAATTGGAACTGTATCGTGTACAACACGCCCATTTATAAATTAATTTTTTTTGACAAGGTATTGAATCATCAACCTTTCGAGTGGTGTAGATTTTGTATCGTATGAGAAGAACAGGAAACGTAGGTTGCTATTATTACTAATGACCAAAAAAAAATCAATAGAAACTAGAAACATACTTATGAAGCACATTGTATCGATCAATAAGTCAGTAGTGAGATGAAAAGTGACTTTTTTTCGGGCGCATGTTTTATTACATTTACGTGTTGATAGTCATGTGGTGACAAATAACAAGTAAAGTGCGAACGACGCAGAATAGTAATGAGTCACGAGAACGAAGAAATTTTAGAGAAGAGAAACTCTGATGTAACAGAAAAAGTACATTCAAAAGCGGTCTATAAAACAAGATGAGGTTGAGTTTAGAGTGCCATTGACAGATGATAGAGTCGAACAAAATAAGCAATCGGGCTTTTTTCTCGTTCTCTCACTAATTCTCCTTATCTGTATTTACTGTCTTGATAACTTTTATATTGCTTATCACATGAGAAAAGAGAAGAATTTCTAGTTCTGATACCTGTCATAAATGTGTAAGTTTCATTTTTTCTAAAGAAGGACATCTAATTAATTTTGAGCTTTTTATTTAAATAAGTCACTGACATGAGTTGCGTCTGCGCGTAGTAAATTCTTTTATGTATATGTAATGATAAGAAATTCCGAAGGAAAAGAGAAAACTTGTAATATATCTCGGATTGCAAATCATACAATCATGTTAAGTGAGTTTGTATTTTTTCACACGAACTCAAATCGACTGACAGAGGATCATATCGAATGGGACAAAGTGATTACGGAAATTAGTAGTACGGGTTGACTTTTGTAGATGACTGTGATTGCAAATGCGACAAAAGATTCTCATGGTGGAAAAGAGCACGGAGCGACAGGGACAGTGATATTATTTTTATCGTTTGCTGTCTTAGCTGGATGCTTATGCAAATTAATTCTTTCTCAAATATTAAAAAACAAATTTCCTGCACCATTTACAGTCATCGTTCTTATATTCGGATTTACAATTGGCATAATCGTGTCTTATGTTCCTGTGATGAACAATGATTTTCTACTCGGTGAAAACGAATTGAAAAATATCAATCCTCACTTGATTTACTACATTTTCCTGCCTTTACTCATATTCGATTCAGCTTTCAACAGTCGTTTTCATGTTATTCGACCACATATCGTATCCGCAATACTTCTCGCGGGCCCCGGTGTACTCATATCGATAGCCGTTGTTTCCACATTCGCTGTCTTTGTGTTTTCTTACCAATGGTCGTGGTTAGTCAGTATAATGTTTGGAAGTATATTAAGTGCAACGGATCCTGTCGCCGTTGTTGCATTATTACATGAGTCTGGGGCGAGTAAATCATTGGCTGCACTGATTGATCTTGAATCACTATTAAACGACGGATCTGCCTTTGTTATATTTATGGTATTTCGTGACATAATTGTCGGTGGAAGTGACAGTGCTAAGAAAATAATCGTCGATATTGCCAAGTTTACTATTGGTTAGTATAGTGTATTGATTGTAGTTTATATTGATGTAACAATATAATTTTTCGTAGGAGGCCCGCTGTTCGGTATAGTCTGTGGTATTGCTGCGGTGATCTTCTTCAATCTAGTTCATAACGAACTTGAAGTGGAAATAATCTCGACATTCGGCCTTGCTTATCTGGTCTTTTACGTGGCAGATGTTGAACTCGGCGTTTCAGCTGTATTAGCCTTGGTAGTCATGGGACTTTTCATGGCCAAGAACAAATATTGCATTAGCAGTCACGTTCAAATCTCAATGAGCAATACTTGGCGGATTATCATCGATTTTGCCAATATTCTCATATTTATCATAACTGGAATTATTTTAGCTCATTCACTAATCGGTACAAAAGCAACCATAGGTGCATACGACTTCGGATATTCAATACTATTGTACATTGTCCTTCATCTGGGCCGCATGCTATCCGTTGCTATCTTCTATCCATTGATGCGTTGGAGTGGTGTACGTTTTTCCTGGAAAGAACATCTAGTTCTAGTTTGGAGTGGTTTACGAGGAAGCATGTCGGTTATTTTGGCTCTGATGGTCGATTCTGACGAGCGAATCGATCTGGAAACGCGACATCGTTATCTCTTTCATATCTGTATGATATCTCTGCTCACATTGATTATCAATGGAACAAGTAGCAAATTCTTAGTGCGAATCCTTGGCTTAGATCATGGTAAGTAGAAATTCGACGATGAAAAGAGAAAGTTATTTTTGAAATTCAGGTACGCCGGAAAGTGAACACATTCTGTTACAAGCCCTAGAACATATGCGTCGATTGACAGCTAATCAGCTCCAACGAATGAAACAAGAAAAACAGTTTTCAGATGTTGATTGGCACATGCTCGATGAATATCTACCGGAAAAATTAGTTCAAGAGATGGATGCCGAACGGCAAACAAGTGTTCATCGACGATTGTCTCTCTTATCAGATTTCGATCCGAATTCTCTGTTGACTTCTGTTCAACAACATGCCATCGTTCCTACTGAGTTACAGCAAGTTCCAAGTATATGTGAGACCGATAGTATTCCGATCAATGTCGCGCCCGAAGACAAGAATCCAACAATTAAGCATCTCGTCTTGCCACTGTTCGGTTTCCTTGGAAATGAGAAGAAAGAAAATGTACGTTTCCGAAACGAATTGACCAATCGCTTCCTAACAGCATTCTTAGTTGACTATGAAAAGCAATGGTATCGAGGAATGATTCGTCGACGCACACTCTATATCTTAATTAAATCAGTTGAAAAAGCTAAACATCAACATTCATTGAAACTCCATTGGGATCTGATTGTTGAACATTTTCAATTGTCGAAATGGTTGAAAACTCTCATGCGATTCGATTGTATTGATTATATTACAAATCAATCGAACAAACTTCTCTTCGATCATATTTTTCTCACAATCGAACTAGTACTCGCTTTCCATTCAGTACGAACTCGTATGAATAAAATTCAACAAGAATTTCCTGAACTGGCAAATATTGATAGAAATATTTGGAACAAAGTTTGTGAAGAAACGCATTTCTACCATATGACAGCCTCTTACATTCTTCTCGATCTGCAGCAATCCTATGGCCTCTGTTGGCAGATCCATATGACGAAACGTTGTGCGCAAATATTACTAAAGTATGAATCGAAAATGATCACTCAACTATATGAGACGGGAATGCTTGGTCACACTGTTTATTCACATATTTCTGAATTAATCGAAAGGAAATCATTGAAATTGGAATATTATCGTGTATCCAAACCTAAAGGTACTTCAAAACCGATCGAAGATGCATTCAATCTGTTGCCACTGTTCCAATCAATGCCAAGTGAAGAAAAAGTACGTTGGGAAAGGATTCTTAGAGCCAAACACCGATGGTTTCAACCAAACAGTGTTCTTCTGAAAAAAGATAAAACCGTATCGACAGCGTATCTTATCGCTCGTGGCATTGTCGAATGCAATATCGACTCAGTGCCTATCTATTATCGATCGGGTAACATTGTCGGTATCGATGCCCTATTCTCACAAGATAATCTATCGAACGGAACTTATTTTGTTAGTGGTGGACTTCTAGAAGGTTACATGATCGATAACCAATTGCTGCGTGAGCTTCTCGACAACGACTATTTAGCGCCTTTGGTCTATCGAGAGATTGCCTTGCATACTTTGAGTAATGGCTATCAAACGCGTTTAAAATTGAATCGTTTACAACTGAGACTACTCCTGCACAAGCGAGCTAAATTCTACAGAAAAATGTCGGAGCCTACAATTCATCTAAATGAGAACCAGCGGTTGCTGCTTCTTGCCGGTTATGTTACACAACTATCGAACGGATTGAGCAATAGACATGCATCAATTCAGTTACAAATCCTAGATAGTACAATGGAACTCTTTCTTGATTCATCGACTGTTGCTTACTCGTGGACGGATGATGATGAACAGTTCTGCCTGAAAGAAACGGATCATACTGTTCATTTTCCATTGGAAACTAAGGATTCGCTTGATGATGATTTATTTCGTCCAGGGTATGATACTGATGCAAAACAATCACCCAGACGACGAGGTTCATCATCACTAATGGGTAATTTGGCACCCTCGACTGATGATTAAACGACTGAACTCGGATGACATTTTTTTATATTGAAATATTCTATTAGTTTCTACTAAATTAAGTGATTAATACTCTCTGATTTGCGACATAGTAAAGTCGATCGTATTGTGTTGTTGCTAGATTCTTAGCTAATGATCGATCCCATCTACGTATGTATTTATCAGCGGAAGAATGTCGCTGTGAAATCAATTTTTTGCCGTTACATTTACTCTCAAGATGATTTATTCACGAAAGAAATTCTTGATTGACACAAATTGAGTAGAGAGTCAATGAAAACATGAAAATCTGACAGCATCGTTCGATGATTTGTTATACAAACGCGAATAAAAAGCCGACCATGAATTCTTGCTGTTGACGGGACCGCAATTCCCTTTTCCTGTAAATCATTGACGATTTCGTCGTTAAATGCATCTAACGTGATCGAATCCATATGCTTTAATTCATGAGGTTCCACTCGAAAATTAACAATATTCAATGAAACGGGAGTGAATACTTGAATAAAGTCATATTTCATTAATAAATTCGCTAAATACTGTGCTTGATCACAATTGTTCTGGATTGTTTGGCCTAATTTATTCATTCCATGTTCTTTGATTGTAAACCAAACTTTCAAGGCTCGACACGGTCTTGAAAGCTCGATGCTCAGATCGGAGAACCAAGGCATATCGCCGGCAAATCCTCGTTTTGTTCCAGTTAAATAATGACGTGTGGATGAGAATGTATCTTGAAGTTTTTGAAAATTTCGCAATAGAACACATCCAGCTGCATATGGAACATGTAACCATTTGTGAAAATCAAACGCTAATGAATCGGCCTCGCTCAAGCCGTCAATTAAATTTCGACGAGTCTCATCGAGAACAACAAAACTTCCAAATGCACCATCAACATGAAACCAAATGTGATTTTCTTTTGCAATTATTGATAGGGATTTCAGATCATCAAATGCACCCGTACTAACAGTACCTAAAACACAAAACGCAATTTTTATTATCTATTCTTTCTCTGTTACTAACCCGCATTTCCAACAATACAAAAAGGAATCAATCCATCTTTTCGATCTCGTTCAATCATTGACTTGAGTGATGGAATATCTATTTGAAACTGACTATTAACCGGTACTAGTCGTAAAGCTTCGTTTCCTAAGCCTAGCATTTCCATTGCTTTCGCAATACAAACATGTGTTTCTCGCGAGCAATAAGCCACTAGTTGGACACCTAATGAAACTAAACCTTTTTCTCTTATTTTACTCAATGTATGACAACGTGCAACAGCTAAGCACATGAGTGCAGCCATCGATGTACCACTAACGATAACACCGCCCGAAGTTTCGTGTGGAAATTGAAATAAGTCCACCATCCACTGAATAACTTGTCTTTCAATTAAAACTCCACTGTGACTGCAAAGACCAACGTTAGAATTCATTGTGGCCGTCATCATCTCAGCTATTAAACCGCCAACAGTTCCTGATCCATGAACCCAACCCCAAAATCTTGGATGAGTATTTCCACCGCAGTAAGGTAAAACATCATTGGTTATGTCATCGCAAACCTCCTTCAAACACTTTCCTTCTCTTGGTAGAGTCTCTGTAGTAAGACGTTGTCGCGTTTCAGTTGGTAATGGCAGCCATGCCGGTCTTTGACGAGAATTTTCTAGAAAATCCAATGAAGTATCCAACATTCGATGGGCCTGCTCGCGTGTTGATTTCCAATCGACAGGATCCAAGGTAACTTCATTGAAATTCTCAATTGTCGAAGAATTCGATAATTGACGAACATACTTTAATAATAATGAGTTGTCTTCACCAGTACTTTCCTCATAGGACTGTGTCATGAAATTTGTCATCAATTGTTCTTCACCGTTTTCAAAAAACATAGTCATTTTGTAAAATGAAACTTGCTAAACAATGAAATCATATTTATATACATAAAATTGACAATGACAAGATAAGGAGTAATGATGACATGTGCTTTTTACGCACATCATCATCGTATATCAACATAATTTCAACAAAATAAAAACAGAATGTCATTTGTACTCGAATATTCATTTAGAGTTAATTCTTAGACAAAAATTTTGCAATTTTATGTTAATTAATTCGTTGTATTTTATTTTAAAATTAAGATAACTGTGAAAATGCATTTAAAAGGGTTTGTCACTCACTGATAAGACGACGTTTTTTGAGTTTAATAATGACATAAGAAAAAGAGGAATATGAGTCATGGGTAGATGTTAAACTTTGAATTTTTTAAAATACATTGAAAGAAACGATTGAAGAATGAAAAGAAAATCAATGCTTGAAATGGTTTATTTAACAAAAATTGTTCTTTCTTCGTGGCATTGGGATGAGAATTCAGTATGTTTCATTTCACAAAAGACGATAAACTCTTCGATATTTTGTTTTAGTAAAACTCATTTGTTATCGATATTCATCGGCGCACTATTAATACTAAATCTTTATAAATTACAACTATCTTCCTCAACAACTAAGTCAAGCCGATGGAAAAAAGATCGTCTCGTCGTAATACCAGCAATCTACAATGAAATTAATTGGTCGGATCATAAAAAATGGCCTGATTGGTTGCGTTATGGACTTGATTTGTTCAATAAAAATCACTCGAGAATGTACGATGTTTATTTGTATCAACGTTTGAATGCCAAATTGGATCCGCCATATAATTGGCCATACGCAATCAATGTTCATGAAGAAGCTGGTGTCTTCTTGAAGTTTATTTTCGATTTCTATCATGATTTGCCCGATAAAATGTTATTTATTCACGCAAATCCATTTCATCATTCACTACGTCCGTTTGAGGCAGCGCAATGTATTCGAGATGATGTTTACTATACAACAATCAATACTCGTTGGATACAAAATCATCCGTGGACATCAACAGTTTATGATCCAACTGATAATCAAACATTAATATACAAATGCGCGAAACGTTTACTGACTTTATTCGGTTATGATGGTGATGCTCAATTAAATCCACGTAACATCCAACCAAAGGAACATAGTGTTGTCTCAACAATGTGCTGTGCACAATTTTACGTAAGAAAAGAGCGAATTCTACATTACACATATGAACAATGGTCCGCTGTTTATAATGCAAGTCTTCAACCGTACTGTGCAACACCGCTGGATCGTGAACTACCTGGTGGACCAGGAATGAAATGGTTTGGTGGAAGTTTTGAATATCTATGGCACATTATTCTAGGTCTTTATCCAGCAGATATGTTACCGCCAAGAGCAAAGACAACTACAGGTTTATGCCGATATTTTCGTCCATCGTGTAAAAGTTTTTCTTGTGAAAGTGCATACGTTGATGTTTATGTGTATCCCGATCCGAAATCAAATAAGACTAATTAGACGTAACCTCAGATACGAAAGAAAAACCTTTTTCCAAATCTTTCCTTTAGCGAATGTCTGATTTAGATTTAGATTGACAAAAGGGAATCTCTGTCAACTTTATATCCGTGATCGTTGATGATTGAATATCAATGAACTTTGTACGACCATTTCGACACGAAATTCGTGTATAGGATTGAACTACGAGACGTTTAATTATTAATTCAAACCGATAATAAGTAATTGTTCTACCTCCGGTGCCGAGTAGATGTCGAAGAAATCTGATAGATGCCATATCAGTAACTACGTATCTCTTTCGTAATGCTTTCTCTGTTCATACTTGAACCTGTATGCTAGATCCGAACACAAGGAAAGAAGAGGTCATTCAGCGCAACATTCTATTTGTTATTATAGTTAGATAAGAATATTTTAACATGCATTTGTTCTTTCATTCATTGCGTTATTTTATGGATTCCTATTCTTCTCCACTCTAAATATAGGAACAAATAAATACAGCGTTGAAATTCATCAAGATATTTCAGGTATTTGTTTTGTTGTTGCGAATATTTGCTTTTTGTATGTTGATGCTTTTGCATTTCGCATAAACATCTCACAAGGAAAATGACAAGGATAAACAAATTAATAGCACTTCTATGCATATCTTCTTAAAACAAGGATTAGACTCCAAGATCTTGTCTCGAAGATTCTTCCTTCGACAAAAATAGTGGATTGTTCAGAGGTCAGTGGCACTTCGTGATTTTATCGATTGTACGACTAGACACAATCTTTCACTTTCTACGCTATCGGCATATGCAAAATTAATTTTCTGTATTTACAACAATAATCAATGAATCGTAGTTGTTTTTCATGAATGTTAAATAGACAGTGAGTGTGTCACAAGCAGATAGAAACATACACATGTACTTTTCTAAACATTATGGCTTCGTGCATCTGTTTAATGAAATCGCAGGCTATTGTTCGTTGCAATCATGTGATGCAGTACGAAAAGACTTTTCATGACAGACGTTGAACTTATTGAGTACTTTCATTTTTGTGCAGTGAAAAATTGCAACACAATGAAGTGAATAGTACCATTTGTGGAGAATGATAAGACGGTCAAAATGATGGTGCAGTCGAACACTTATTGAGCCATCAAGTATTATTGTTTACAAAGTGCAAACTCATTTGCGTCTATTGCCTATTCTACACCGTATTTCTTTTGTTGTTTATCAAACAACAAATTCTGTGTGCACACAAGAATCAGTATAAAGCTGATTAATTTCAGAAATAATCAGAGTAAGTCTCGAAATTGAAATGTGAATGTTTGTTTTCCCAGACGATACATTAGTTACTTTCATTCTAAAGAATACTTCGTTTCACGTAGTCATTTGAGAGAATGAGAAAGACGCACACAAAGTGTCGTATAGTCGCACATAATTTCTGTTTTTTTTCTTCTATATCTATGTTTATGTAATACTATTTCATTTTCGTTGTGCGACGCATTCCTCTTACAAATCGACGAAATGGCGGCTGTTGTTGTCATTACCGTTCTGTTGACGTTATTCTCTACGATTCATAGTATTCATTTCAACGGTGGAACGATAACTTGGGCACCAGTGAATCCATATGATAATTCGAGCTCTGTTGTTATTACAATTACACAATCCTATTCATGGAGTTATCCAACTATAACCTGCACAACGAATGTACCGATCAGTACAAGTGGGCGTAGTGGATCTAATGATAATTTAACTTGTGTTGTGGATTGCTCAACAGATGGCGGTTATTCGGCTCATCCAATTGATATTCTAACTGATTGTACATCGTCGAGTGCGTCGTTGGGTATGATGACCAGTCAACGCTCAGTCAATATAACACTACTGGCAAACGCGTCTTTCTCTGTTGCTTATCAAGGGTCAGCTTGGCGTGCTTTGAATTATCCAGCTGTGGGTGGTCTTGATTGGTCAATTTTATGCGCAATCGATTTAAGACCACGACCTGATGGTAGTATTAATACACCGCCTGTAACGACTATTGTTTCTCCGCAATACGTTATCGTCAATCAAACAACACTTATCAATATTCCTGTGTCGGATGCTAACGCCGGTGATGATGTACGCTGTCGTTGGTCAACTTTTACACAAGGATATCGTAAGAAACGATCTTATGAGTATGGCGAAACAAATATTCACCGTTCCGCACATGACGTATACGAAAATCTCGACTATAGTGAGAGAGACTATATTCTTCACAGAGTGAAAAGGGTGCCTGCAGGACCTACAGCTGGTACAACACCTGCAGGACCTACAGCTGGTACAACACCTGCAGGACCTACAGCTGGTACAACACCTGCAGGACCTACAGCTGGTACAACACCTGCAGGACCTACAGCTGGTACAACCCCTACGGCACCTACAGCTGGTACAATACCTACGATACCTACAGCTGGTACAATAAATACCGGTTCTGTAACTACTGTACAAACAGTAACATCAGACTCAAGTACTAGCGAAACAGCTGGAACTAAAAAATCAACCTCGTCATTTCCCACTCGTCAAGCAGTTGATGAATGTGGTGGAATCTGTCATCCATCGAGTACACCGAATGGTACGACTCTTTCGAATTGTACACTTAGTTTTACAGGACTTGTCGCTGGTGCTTGGTACGGAGTCTCTGTTCAAGTTAGGAACAGTCAATATCCATTTCGTCTAACATATAAACTCTTCTTTGTAGATTGAAGATTTTATTAACTCAACAAGCAACCAGTCAATGAGTTCAGTACCGGTTCAATTTTTAATTTATGTCCTTCCAACACCAACATGTTCATTTTTACCCACGTTTAGTCCTTTAGCGGATTGTCTTGATGTGCAAGTAAACGTTACTGTCACTTTCAAGTTAAATGTTAATAATTCATGCAATCCAGACGATTCAAATATAACCGATGTTGTTACAACGAAGTCCATTTCAGGTATGACAGTAGGCCCATTAGTTTCGTCACCTAATGGTCGATATGTCTATGTCACTCTCACCTGGACACCACAATCGAGCCAGATGGGACTCCAAGAACTTTGTGTCACTGCTTTCACCAGGTCTTGATTACATTTCTATTTTATTCTCAACAAATTTCTTTTCTATAAAAAACAGTGAACGAGTTCAATCCGATGAATACTGCGTCACATTCAATGTTCAAACAGGACCTGCTTGTACCACAACGACTTCAACATCGTCATCAACTACTACAACAACAAAAACAACATCTACAAGTGAAACAACTACAACACCTGAACCGACTACTACAACGACTGAAACAACATCTACAAGTGAAACAACTACAACACCTGAACCGACTACCACAACGACTGAAACAACGTCTACAAGTGAAACAACTTCAACATCGGTAACAACGACGACCACGGCAACGTCAACTTCGACGACTACGTATGATCATTTAGAAGTTTTAGCAAATTTCAATACATCAAATCATAAAAACATATTCTTCTGATTTTTTCCATTTCTAGAACAACCGTCACAACAGCTACAACAACAAAGAAAGCTTCAGGTAAATCCTACAATAAACCTAATAAGCTCTACAACACAGTTGTATAAAATTAGGCCAAAATATCGACTGGGCATTGATCGTAGGGTTATCTTTGCTAGCTCTTCTGTTGAGTATATGCTGCTGCTGTTGCCTATACTGTTGGATGTGGTAAGTTTCCAGTCAGACCTGTTTTTAAAAAACTTCAACTTGCTAAACTTCTAATTATTCATCTTACAGGGGCGCCTGTGCAAGACGGCGTAGACGAAAACGATCAAATCAGAAAGAAGAACGAACGATGCAGCATTTACTATTGAACAGTAAGAATAATAGACATATTTGGAGTGCTATAACGATCGAATTTAGATTCGTCGACTTCGTTTAATTCATTCCGTCTATCCAGCAATACGAATTCGAATCGAATATCATTGGATAGAATTTCATCTACGGAAAAAGATATCGACGAAACTCAACTTAATAATACAGTGGCAAAGAGAACTTCCGACATAGAAGGGCCGCTTAAAAATGGCCGACGGTCGTCGGTTACTGTGACTAAAGTGAAGAAAGACATATCTGCCCCACAAAATAAACCACCAACAAGCACATCAGCTAATACAAAACCAAATAATGATCAACCACGACGATCAAACACTGGTTTGGTCCATGTTACTAAAGTGATCAGACCAACACCAATATCAACAAAAGTCTCGATGGATACGGCGACACTATCAGCGCGTCACAACACGAATGTGGATAAAAATGTTACGGTAACTAAGTTACCTAGAGCATCAACTCAAACATCGTGATGGACTTCGCGAACTTCGAGTTGGTAATAACTTAGTTAGTGTTCAAAACACATTCTTTTTCGACTTTTTTTAATTCTGAAGCGCCACTTTCTTTTTATTCTTTGCGCATTATAAATACAAAAAACTACACCCACGAGCCATTAATACATTTAGTGTCTGATTTATATAAAGCTTCTCTTCCATATGTTGCACAAACGATTTCTTCAGGTTCACCTGGACACCACACTCTTATTCCACTAAGATCACATGGACGTAAAGGAAAACTCCAAAATTTCGGAGACGACACCCATCTATAGTTTAGACCAATACTAGTAAGCATCGGCGTCCTATCAGTCAAATGATTTGACTGTTCGGGATAATAATCATACATAGGCCAAATATCAACAAAAACATTCCTTTCTCGATGAAAGAATCTTGCATTAAGTGCTTTGAAAGTGATGCTGTGCGATGGAAAATAAGATCGATTTTTCCAGTTAACTATATACCACTGTGGATGTATTACCAGTTTGTACATATTTGAGTCAAACCATGAGAAATTCTGAAAAGATAGATTCAAAGCTATTTGTACGAGTTGACTTGTATCTTGTCCCATGATTAGAATATCAATATCTTGATCATGTGGCAAGAGCGTTCGTCTTTGAACATAGCCTACCAGCGTACCAAAAGTAATCCAATACTGAACGTGGAAATAACTCGCTAAACGCGCCCATGTCTGAAGAGTGGCAAGAAGAGCACGTTGGCGAACTCGATCTGCTGAAGTACACACGGGAATATCTAGTAAAGCAGCTTCGACTAGACGACGGCTTTGATTAGTTGATTCAATTTCAAGAAAAAGGGAACGATTATTAGAAAATAAAATACCGGAAATGAACGAAAGGATCGATACGCAGCAAAGTAATTTGATGAGGGAATTTGAGAGATGTTGAATAATCATACGGAATATTTTCATTCTTCACGAAGTCATTTACTCTACTGTATACGTTCTTATAAAACAGTACCAGACAAAAAGAATTCAATCTTTTTTTCTTTACTAGATTGAAAAGAAGCCAAGTTATGTAAAGTAAATACAAATGCACGCTCGTCTCTATATTCTTTGAGAAAGATTATAATTTTCATATACTTTGATCGTGACAAGCAAATGTGATCCCAATGGTTCTCTATCTTCGGAAACTTCGTCGAGTATTTTATATTTTCCAACTGATTTCGTTAGCCATTGTTATTCTTCTGATTACAACTTATGTCAAAACAAATCAATGTATTCTCTCTCCGCCAGATCCTGTGCTCATATTATCTTCACCACTAGAGGCCTCGTCGAATACTACGTCTGATGATCATCTTTGGATCTGGTGTCAAGACTTGCAATTTCATTTCGATGCTGAAAAACACATTCCATCTTCACCAACATTTCGCTCTCCTTCCATAATAAACCAGCGAACTCATCGTTTGCCCTATCGCTATTCGAACTGGAAATCATCATCTTTTCTTGCCCGCCGGTTTACTCCATGTGAACACTACATAGCCATGAGCCTTCTAATGTTTATCGACCGAATCTGTCGTGAGCATGGTCTAACATTTGCAATAGCCGACGGAACTTTATTGGGCTCATGGCGACATCATGACATTATTCCTTGGGATGATGATGTTGATATAATGATGCCAATCGAAGAGCAACTCAGTTTTCTTCACGTCCTCGAACAATACAAAGATACCGTTGTTCAATATCATTTAGTAGAATATCCGCGTAATAATACACCTTATGCAAAAGTATTCTTTCAATACAAACCATTTGCAATTCAAGATATTTGGTCTTTTCCGTTCATTGATATATTTTTCTATTTAACTAATAAGACACATCTTTGGTATGCGAATGATCCCGGTGTAAATATGCGAATCGAACATGTTTTCCCTCTGATTATGCGTCCACTCGGTAGTTTATGGTTGCCGGCGCCTCATAAACCACAATTTATCTTTGATTTTGATGTTCTAACGCAGTGTAATAGTCACTGGTATGATCATCGCAAAGAAAAAGGACAATCCTATGTGAAGCGTAACTGTAGTGATCTGACTGATGTTTATCCCTTCGTTCAATATGACGAACGCAATAACCCAATAGAAATTTTAGTCATTAATGGCACTGTCATCCACACGATTATATATTCATCATGATAGCTTTTATCAAGATCTTTTTGCACAAAAAAGACGATTGTAGTGAATTCAAAATAAATGAAATAAAAAATTAAGTACACACTTTAACTAGTGCATCGATATTGTCCGTGCCATAACAGGCAACAACCATATCTATTTTTCTGTCTTGGTTTAAATCAGTCAATGCTACTGAGTATGGAGCACTTTCGTATCCTAGTGGATACGAAACTTCGTCTCCAAATGTTCCATTCCCATATCCATATAACATAAAGATATGACTGGTTCCTGAATTCGTTACGACGACATCTAAGTGATTGTCACCATTTAGATCACCAATTGTAACTGTGGAAGGTTGAGAGTCAGTTCCTGTTGAATAGAATGCTGCAAGAACAAATGTTCCATTACCATTACCATAGAAAATGACAATGTTATCACTTTCCCAGTTAGAAACAACGATATCTGAATGATTGTCACGACTAAAGTCACCAATAGCAAGAGAGTAGGGGGAAGAATCCACGCCTGTTGAGTATGTCACCATCGGACTGAACGTTGCGGCACCTAGTCCCATCAAAATTCCAATATTATTAGTACCATAGTTGGCAATGACAATATCTAGCCAACCATCATGATTGAGATCGGAGAGAGCGACAGACTTCGGTTGTGATCCGTCGACGATTGAATACTGTATTATACTTGCAAATGGCTCACGACCACATGCAAGGAAAATACCGATGCTGTTTGCATTCGAATTAGCCACAGTGATGTCTAGCTGACCATCTTTATTGAAGTCATCTGAAACTATCCAAGCTGGTCCAGATCCCGAGCCAGTCGAGTAGGGAATACCCAATAAAAACGTACCATCACCGTAACCATATAAAATAACAGTTGTGCCTGTTCCATAGTTAGCGACAGCAATATCTAAGACTTTATCATTGTTAAAGTCACCTACAATTTGATTCACAGGTGTAGTACCGTCACCCGTCGAATACGTAGTGCAATCACCTAATGTTCCATCTCCTTTCCCAAGAAGAATGCCAACACTATTGATATTATAATTGGCAACAGCAATATCCAATCGGCTATCGTTGTTAAAATCGCCGATCACTATTGAGCCTGGTCCGAACCGATAGCCTACTAAATACAGAGTATGGTCACGAAAACTGCCGTTACCATATCCCAGAAAAACGATCACAGTATCAGTAAGATAATCACATATAACGATATCTATTCGTTCATCATCATTTAAGTCACCAATAACTGGTCCATATAAGTCTGCTAAAGTTTCCAGTGCATATGTTTCCAAAAGAGTAAAATTGCCCGTACCGTCTCCCATAAGAATACTTATACTATTAGTATATACATTAATCGAAACAATATCTGTTTGATTATCGTTGTTGAGATCTCCAACAGCCAAACTACGTGGACCAGTATCCGTTCCTATCGAAACTGTAACCTGATTAGAAAAACTTCCATTACCATATCCAATGAAGATTCCTATAGTACCACTTCCAAAGTAAGCAACGGCAATATCAGCATTATTATCTTTATTAAAATCGTCAACAACGAGTCCTCTTGGAATTGAATTGTCTCCTGTTGGATAGAGTGCGAACAGAGTGAAATTTCCACTTCCATCACCAAGAAATATACCCAACTGATAACTCATCTGATACACTGCAGCGATATCTATATTAGTGTCGTTATTGAAATCACTAACTGTAACAGCATTCAATCCTTGAGCATTTCCAGCGGAGTATGTTATTTGACTTTGGAACGAAGTATATTCATACCCAATAAAAATACCTATACTATCACCTTGTTGATTTGTAATAACAAGATCGTTTCGCTGATCATTGTTAAGATCACCTATAGCTACACTTGACGGTGATGAATCAGATCCCGTCGAATACTTCTTCTGTTCAGCAAAACTTCCATTTCCGTAATTCATAATCACACTCAACGTGTTTTCTTTCGAATTTACAGTGACAATATCTACGTGATTGTCTTTGTCAATGTCACCAGTGAGAACATATTGTGGAGAACTATGAATGCCAATCGAATAAGTGATTGGAGTAGTAAACAGTCCATTATTGAGACCAAACATGACCTTAATATTATCTGTATTTGAATTAGCAATGACCACATCTGATTGATTGTCGCTGTCGAAATCAGCAGTTGCTAATGAATAGGGATGTGGGGCAGATCCAGTGTTGAACGAAATTTGTTTGGAAAATTGTGCAGCATAATATTCAGTCAGAACTGCCAGATATCCAGTACCCCAATATGTGACTAGGTACTCTAGATCATCATCGTTGTCGAGATCTACAGCAGTGAGAGCCCATGGGTTTGAACCAACACCTGTTGGATATCTTCTCGATAAAATAAAATTTCCAGTAGTGTCACCATAGAGAATGACTACCTCACTTGTTTGAAAACAAGTAACGGCCATATCGAGATGTTGATCATTATTCAAGTCAACAACAATGACATAGTATGGAGATGTACCAGATCCGATCGCAATTGATACCGCTGGTTGGAAAGTGCCGTCACACATTCCGCGATAAACAAGTACAGTACCAGTATCTTCACAAGTAATAATGACATCCAGGCAATTGTCTTGATTTATATCGGCAACAACGATCGTCATAGAAAAACTGTTGCAAGCACCTGAATATGTACTCATGACTCCAAAACTACCATTACCATTACCTAAGATAACACCAATTGGCGAATTCTTAAATGACACACTGAAGATTATATCGAGATAGTTGTCATTATTCAGATATGCGGTAGTAATTGATTGAGGTTTCGAATTAACACCAGTCGAATATCTTACGTTATTAGTGAAGTTCCCATTGCCATCGTTCATAAGTATAGTTATATCATTGGAAATCGTGTTTGCAGATACAATATCTAAATAATGATCGTTGTTCAAATCGCCAAGAGAAGTAAACCATGGTTTAGTTCCAGCACCAGTTGAGTAAGATATCATAGGCGCAAATATTCCATTATCGTCACTGAAAAAAATTCCAACAGATGAACTTCCTATATTAGCTACTATCATATCCATTCGATCATCGTTGTTTAGGTCACCAAGGCTTATATATTTTGGACTAGATTGATTTCCAGTTCTATATGATTCTCCAGCAATTAACTTCGTGCTATCGAGACCATTTAGAAGAAGTACATAAGCTTTGTTAAGGTTATTCACAGCTGCATCTAGGTTACCGTCTTTATCGAAATCAGAAACAACAACTGATGATGGACGAGAACTTCGTCCTACAAGATACTGGGTTTGTCTCACAGCTGGCTCACTCGAATACCCAGACAGTATTGCTACATTGTTAGTGCCATAATTAGTGACAATTAGATCAGATTGATTATCTTTATCAATATCGACAATCACAGCAAATGATGGATATGATCCACTCACCGAATCATAGGTTGTCAATGAATGAAAACTTGTATTTCCATATCCTCGAAGAACATGGATTCGATCATTTTCTGAATCAACAACAACGACATCGACATATTCATCCAAANGTACATATGTCGGCGGCGTGTCTTTTGTTTTCTTTGTTTTTGTCCAGGGTCGCCAATTGTTAGAGAGAAAGACGGGAGATGGTAGTGTGGACGATCTTCGTCCGAGTTTATTCTCTAACTACTGTTTAATACAGAAAACGGTGTACATATACACGAACGAGGACCAAGGCGAGAAAGAATCTGATGAAGAGAGAGCAGGACGACGTGATGTCGCCCTAACACTTCTCTTTAGCGAATGCCTGATTTAGATTTAGGTTGCGACAAAAGGGAATCTCTGTCAACTCTATATCTGTCATCGCTGATGATTGAATATGAATGAACTTTGTATGACCATTTTGGCATCAAATCCATATAGGATTGAACAACGACACGTTTAATTATTAATCCAAACCGATTGTACTACCTCCGGTGCCGAGTAGACGTAGAAGAAATCTGATAGATGCTATATCGGCAACTACCTATCTCTTTCGTAATGCTTTCTCTGTTCATATTTGAACCTGTACGCTAGATCCGAACACAAGGAAATGAGGGGCTATTCAGCGCAACATTCTATTTGTTATTAGTTAGACAAGAATATTTTAACATGCATTTACTCTTTCATTCATTGCGTTATTTTATGGAGTCCTATTCTTCTCCACTCTAAATATAGGAACGAATAAACACAGTGTTGAAATTCATCAACATGTTTCACGTGTTTCTTTGTTGTTGCGAATATTTGCTTTTTGTATGTTGATGCTTTTGCATTTCGCATAAACATCTCACAAGAAAAATGGCAAGGATAAACAAATTAATAGGACTTCTCTGTGTATCTTCTTAAAACAAGGATTTTATTTCAAGATCTTGTCTCGAAGATTCTTCCTTGGACAAAAATAGTGGATCGTTCAGAGCTCAGTGGCACTTCGTGATTTTATTGATTGTACGACTAGACACAATCTTCTAGTTCCTACGCTGTCGGCATATGCAAAATTAATCTTCTATATTTACAACAACAATCAATGAACCGTAGTTATTTTTCATGAATGTTAAAGTAGTCAGTGAGTGTGCCACTAGCAGACAGAAGCACACACCTATATTTTATAAACATTATGGCTTCGCGCATCTGTTTAATGAAATCGCAGACTATTGATCGTAGCAATCATGTGATGCAGCACGAACAGACTTTTCATGACAGACGTTGAACTTATTGAGTACCTTCATTTTTGTGCAGTGAACAATTGCAACGCAACGAAGTGAATAGGACCATTTGTGGAGAACGATAAGACGGTCAAAATGATGGTGCAGTCGAACACCTATTGAACCATCAAGTATTATTATTTACAAAGTGCAAATTCATTTGCGTCTATTGTCTATTCTACACTGTATTTCCTTTGTTGTTTAACAAACAACGAATTCTGTATGCAAAAAAAGAATCAGTATAAAGCTGATTACTTTCAGGAATAATCTGAGTAAGTCTCAAAATTGAAATATGAATGTTTGTTTTCCCAGGTGATGCATTAGTTACTTTCATTGTAAATAATACTTCGTTTCAGGTAGTCATTTGAGAAAATGAGAAAGACGCACACAAAGTGCCGTATAGTCGCACGTAATTTCTATTTTTATTTCTTCTATATGTATGTTTATGTGATACTATTTAATTTTCGTTGTGCGACGCACTCCTCTTACAAATCGACGAAATGCCGGCTGTTATTGTCGTTACCATTCTCTCGACGTTATTCTCCATGATCCATAGTATTCATTTCAATGGTGGAACGATAACTTGGGCACCGGTGAATCCATATGATAATTCGAGTTCCGTTGCTATTACAATTACGCAATCCTATTCATGGAGTTATCCAACCATAACCTGCACAACGAATGTACCGATCAGTACAAGTGGACGTAGTGGATTTAATGATAATTTAACTTGTGTTGCGGATTGCACAACAGATGGTGGATATTCTGCTCATCCGATTGATATTCTAACTGATTGTACATCGTCGAGTGCATCGCTGGGTATGATGACAAGTCAACGCTCAGTCAATATAACTCTATTGGCAAACGCGTCTTTCTCCCTTGCTTATCAAGGATCAGCTTGGCGTGCTTTGAATTATCCAGTTGTTGGTGGTCTTGATTGGTCAATTTTATGCGCGATTGATTTAAGACGACGGCCTGATGGTAGTATTAATACACCACCTGTAACGACTATTGTTTCTCCGCAATACGTTATCGTCAATCAAACAACACTTATCAATATTCCTGTGTCGGATGCTAATAGCGGTGATGATGTACGCTGTCGTTGGTCAACTTTTACACAAGGATATCGTAAGAAACGATCTTATGAGTATGGCGAAACAACTAATCACCGTTCCGCACATGACGTATACGAAAATCTCGGCTATAATGAGAGAGACTATATTCTTCACCGAGTGAAAAGAGTGCCTACAGGATCGACACCCGGTACAACACCTACAGGGCCTACACCCGGTACAACACCTACGGGGCCTACACCCGGTACAACACCTACGGGGCCTACACCCGGTACAACACCTACGGGGCCTACACCCGGTACAACACCTACGGGGCCTACACCCGGTACAACACATACAGGACCTACAGCTGGTACAACAATATCAGACTCAAGTACAACCGAAACAGCTGGAACTAAAAAATCAACCTCGTCATTTCCCACTCGTGAAGCAATTGATGAATGTGGTGGAATCTGTCATCCATCGAGTACACCGAATGGTACGACCCTTTCGAATTGCACAATTAGTTTTACAGGACTTGTCGCTGGTGCTTGGTACGGAGTCGCTGTTCAGGTTAGGAACAGTCAATATCCATTTCGTCTAACATATAAACTCTTCTTTGTAGATTGAGGATTTTATTAACTCAACAAGCAATCAGTCAATGAGTTCAGTGCCGGTTCAATTTTTAATTTATGTCCTTCCCACGCCAACATGTTCATTTTTACCCACGTTTAGTCCTTTAGCGGATTGTCTTGATGTGCAAGTAAATGTTCCTGTTACTTTCAAGTTATACGTTAATAACTCATGCAATCCAGACGATTCGAATATAACCGATGTTGTTACGACGAAGTCCATTTCAGGTATGACAGTAGGCTCATTGATTTCGTCATCTGATGGTCGATATGTCTATGCCACTCTCACTTGGACACCACAATCAAGCCAAATGGGACTCCAAGAACTTTGTGTCACTGCTTTCACCAGGTCTTTTTGATTACATTTCTATTTTATTCTCAACAAATTTTTTTTCTATAAAAAACAGCGAACGAGTTCAATCAGATGAATACTGCGTCACATTCAACGTTCAAACAGGACTTGCTTGTACAACAACGACTTCAACATCGTCATCAACTACTACAACAACAAAAACAACATCGACAAGCGAAACAACTACAACACCTGAACCGACTACCACAACGACAGAAACAACATCGACAAGTGAAACAACTACAACACCTGAACCGACTACTACAACGACAGAAACAACGTCTACAAGTGAAACAACTTCGACATCAACAACAACAACAACCACGGCAACGTCAACGTCGACGACTACGTATGATCATTTAGGAGTTTTAGCAAATTTCAATACATCAAATCATAGAAACATATCCTTCTGATTTTTTTCTATTTCTAGAACAACCGTCACAACAGCAACAACAACAAAGAAAGCTTCAGGTAAATCCGATAATAACCCTAATAAACTATACAGCACAGTTGTGTAAAATTAGGTCAAAATATCGACTGGGCGTTGATCGTGGGTTTATCGTTGTTAGCTCTTCTCTTGAGTGTATGCTGCTGCTGTTGTTTATACTGTTGGCTGTCGTAAGTTTCCAGTGAAACACGTTTTTGTAAAAAACTTCAACTTGCTAAACTTCTAATTATCCATCTTGCAGGGGTGCCTGTGCAAGATGGCATAGACGAAAACGATCAAATCAAAAAGAAGAAAGAATGATGCAGCATTTACTATCGAACAGTAAGAATAATAGACATATTTGGAGTGCCCTAACGATCGAATTTAGATTCGTCGACTTCGTTTAATTCATTCCGCCTATCCAGCAATACGAATTCGAATCGAATATCATTGGAGAGAATTTCACCTACGGGAAAAGACATCAACGAAACTCAACTCAATAATACAGTGGCAAAGAGAACTTCCGACATAGAAGGGCCGCTTAAAAATGGCCAACGGTCGTCGGTTACTGTGACTAAAGTGAAGAAAGACGCATCTGCCCCACAAAGTAAACCATCAACAAGCGCATCAGCTAATACAAAATCGAATAATGATCAACCACGACGATCAAACACTAGTTCCGTCAGTGTCACTAAAGTGATTAGAGCAACACCAATATCAACAAAAGCCTCGATCAATACGGCGTCACTATCAGCGCGTAACAGCACAAATGTGGATAAAAACGTTACGGTAACTAAGTTACCTAGAGCATCAACTCAAACATCGTGATGGACTTGGCGTTCAAAACACATTCTTTTTCGACTTTTCAATTCTGAAGCGGCACTTTCTTTGTATTCTTTGCGCATTATAAATACAAAAAAAAATTTACACCCACGAACCATTAATACATTTAGTATCTGATTTATACAAAGCTTCTCTTCCATATGTTGCACAAACGATTTCTTCAGGTTCACCTGGACACCACACTCTTATTCCACTAAGATCACATGGACGTAAGGGAAAACTCCAAAATTTCGGAGACGATACCCATTTATAGTCTAGACCAATACCAGTAAGCATCGACGTACTATCAGTCAAATGATTTGACTGTTCGGGATGATAATCATACATAAGCCAAATATCAACAAAAACATTTCTTTCTCGATGAATGAATCTTGCATTAGGTGCTTTGAAGTTGATGCTTTGCGATGGAAAATAAGATCGATTTTCCCAGTTAACTATATACCACTGTGGATGTATTACCAGTTTGTACATATTTGAGTCAAGCCACGAGAAATTCTGAAAAGACAGATTCAAAGCTATTTGTACGAGTTGACTTGTATCTTGTCCCATAATTAGAATATCAATATCTTGATCATGTGGTAAGAGCGTTCGTCTTTGAACATAGCCCACCAGCGTACCAAAAGTAATCCAATACTGAACGTGAAAATATCTCGCTAAACGCGCCCATGTCTGAAGAGTGGCAAGAAGAGCGCGTTGGCGAACTCGATCTGCTGAAGTACATGCGGGAATATCTAGTAAAGCAGTTTCGACTAGACGACGGCTTTGATTAGTCGATTCAATTTCAAGAAAAAGGGAACGATTATTACAAAATAGAATACCGGAAATGAACGAAAGAATCGATACGCAGCAAAGTAATTTGATGAGGGAAGTTGAGAGATGTTGAATAATCATACGGAATATTTTCATTCTTCACGAAATCATTCACTCTACTGTATACGTTCTTATAAAACAGTACCAGACAAAAAGAATTCAATCTTTTTTTCTTTACTAGATTGGAGAGAAGCCAAGTTATGTAAAGTAAATACAAACGCACACTCCTCTCTGTATTCTTCGAGAAAGATTGTAATTTTCATATACTTTGATCGTGACAAGCAAACGTGATCCCAATGGCTCTGTATCTTCGAAAATTTCGTCGACTTTCTTATATTTTCCAACTGATTTCTCTGGCCATTGTTATTCTTCTAATTAAAACTTATGTCAGAACAAATCAATGTGTTCTCTCTCCACCAGTTCCTGTGCTCATATTATCTTCACCACTAGAGACCTCATCGAATACTACGACTAATGATCATCTTTGGATCTGGTGTCAAGACTTACAATTTCATTTCGATGCCGAAAAACACATTCCATCTTCACCAACATTTCGCTCGCCTTCCATAATAAACCAACGAACTCATCGTTTGCCCTATCGTTATTCGAACTGGAAATCATCACCTCTTCTTGCCCGCCGATTTACTCCATGTGAGCATTACATAGCCATGAGCCTTCTAATGTTTATCGACCGAATCTGTCGTGAGCATGGTCTAACATTTGCAATAGCCGACGGAACTTTACTGGGCTCGTGGCGACATCATGACATTATTCCTTGGGATGATGATGTCGACATAATGATGCCAATCGAAGATCAACTGAGTTTTCTTCACGCCCTCGAACAATACAAAGACACGGTTATCCAATATCATTTACTAGAATATCCACGTAATAATACACCTTATGCAAAAGTATTCTTTCAATACAAACCATTTGCAATTCAAGATATTTGGTCCTTTCCGTTCGTTGATATATTTTTCTATTTAACTAATAAGACACATCTTTGGTATGCGAATGATCCCGGTGTAAATATGCGAATCGAACATGTTTTCCCTCTGATTATGCGTCCACTTGGTAGTTTATGGTTGCCGGCGCCTCATGGGCCACAATTTATCTTTGGTTTTGATGTTCTAACGCAGTGTAATAGTCACTGGTATGATCATCGCAAAGAAAAAGGGCAACCCTATGTGAAGCGTAACTGTAGTGATCTGACTGATGCTTATCCCTTCGTTCAATATGACGAACGCAATAATCCAATAGAAATTTTAGTCATTAATGGCACTGTCATCCACACGATTATGTATTCATGATAGCTTTTATCAAGATCTTTTTTGCACAAAAAACACGATTGTAGTGGATTCAAAATAAATGAAATAAATAATCAAGTACACACTTTAACTAGTGCATTGATATTGTCCGTGCCATAACAGGCAACAACCATATCTATTTTTCTGTCTTGGTTTAAATCAGTTAATGCTACTGAATATGGAGCACTTTCGTATCCTAGTGGATACGACACTTCGTCTCCAAATGTTCCATTCCCATATCCATATAACATAAAGATATGGCTGGTTCCTGAATTCGCTACGACGACATCTAAGTTATAGTCACCATTTAGATCACCAATTGTAACTGTGGAAGGTTGAGAGCCAGTACCTGTTGAATAGAATGCTGCAAGAACAAATGTCCCATTACCATTACCATAGAAAATGGCAATGTTATCACTTTCCCAGTTAGAAACAACGATATCTGAATGATTGTCACGACTAAAGTCACCAATAGCAAGAGAGTAGGGGGAAGAATCCACGCCTGTTGAGTATGTCACCATCGGACTGAACGTTGCGCCACCTAGTCCCATCAAAATTCCAATATTATTAGCACCATAGTTGGCAATGACAATATCTAGCCAACCATCATGATCGAGATCGGAGAGAGCGACAGACTTTGGTTGTAATCCGTCGCCGATTGAATACTCTGTTATACTTGCAAATGGCTCACGACCACATGCAAGGAAAATACCGATGATGTTTGCATTCGAATTAGCTACAGTAATGTCTAGTTGACCATCCTTATTGAAGTCACCTGAAGCTATCCAGGCCGGTCCAGATCCCGAGCCAGTCGAGTAGGGAATACCCAATAAAAACGTGCCATCACCGTAACCATATAGAATAACAATTGTGCCTGTTCCATAGTTAGCGACAGCAATATCTAAGACTTTGTCATTGTTAAAGTCACCTACAATTTGATTCACGGGTGTAGTACCATCGCCTGTCGAATACGTAGTGCAATCACCTAACGTTCCATCTCCTTTCCCAAGAAGAATGCCAACACTATTGATATTATAATTGGCAACAGCAATATCCAATCGACTATCGTTGTTAAAGTCGCCGATCACTATTGAGCCTGGTCCGAAACGATAGCCTACTAAATACAGAGTATGGTCACGAAAACTTCCGTTACCATATCCCAGAAAAACGATCACAGTATCAGTAAAATAATTACATATAACGATATCGATTCGTTCATCATCATTTAAATCACCCATAACTGGCCCATATAAGTCTGCTAAAGTTTCCAGTGCATATGTTTCCAGAAGAGTAAAATTGCCCGTACCGTCTCCGATAAGAATACTTATACTATTAGTATACACGTTAATCGAAACAATATCTGTTTGATTGTCGTTGTTGAGATCTCCAACAGCCAAACTACGTGGACCAGTATTCGTTCCTATCGAAACTGTAACCTGATTAGAAAAACTTCCATTACCATATCCAATAAAGATTCCTATAGCACTACTTCCAAAGTAAGCAACGGCAATGTCAGCACTATTATCTTTATTAAAATCGTCAACAACGAGTCCCCTTGGAATTGAATTGTCTCCTGTTGGATAGAGTGCGAGTAGAGTGAAATTTCCATTTCCATCACCAAGAAATATACCCAACTGATAATTCATCTGATACACTGCAGCGATATCTACATTAGTGTCGTTATTGAAATCACTAACTGTAACAGCATTCAATCCTTGAGCATTTCCAGCGGAGTATGTTATTTGACTTTGAAACGAAGTATAATCATACCCAATAAAAATACCAATATTATCACCTTGTTGATTTGTAATAACAAGATCGTTTCGCTGATCATTGTTAAGATCACCCATAGCGACACTTGACGGTGATGAATCAGATCCCGTCGAATACTTCTTCTGTTCAGCAAAAGTTCCATTGCCGTAATTCATAATCACACTCAGCGTGTTTTCTTTTGAATTCACGGTGACAATATCTACGTGATTGTCTTTGTCTATGTCACTAGTGAGAACATATTGTGGCGAACTATGAATGCCAATCGAATAAGTTATTGGAGTAGTAAACAGTCCATTATTGAGACCAAACATGACCTTAATATCATCTGTATTTGAATTGGCAATGACCACATCTGATTGATTGTCGTTGTTGAAATCAGCAGTTGCTAATGAATAGGGATGTGGAGCAGATCCAGTGCTGAACGAAATTTGTTTGGAAAACTGTGCAGCATAATATTCAGTTAGAACTGCCAGATACCCGGTGCCCCAATAGGTGACTAGGTATTCTGGATCATCATCGTTGTCGAGATCTACAGCAGTGAGAGCCCATGGGTTTGAACCAGCACCCGTTGAATATCTTCGTGACAAAATAAAATTTCCAGTAGTGTCACCATAGAGAATGACTACCTCACTTGTTTGAAAACAAGTAACGGCCATATCAAGATGTTGATCATTATTCAAGTCAACAACAATGACATAGTATGGAGATGTACCAGATCCGATTGCAAGTGATACAGCTGGTTGGAAAGTGCCGTCACACATCCCACGATAAACAAGTACAGTACCAGCATCTTCACAAGTAATAATCACATCCAGACAATTGTCTTGATTTATATCGACAACAACGATCGTCATAGAAAAACTGTCGCAAACACCTGAATATGTACTCATGACTCCAAAACTACCATTACCATTACCTAAGATAACACCGATTGGCGAATTCTTCAATGACACACTGAAGATTATATCGAGATAGTTGTCATTATTCAGATATGCGGTAGTAATTGATTGAGGTTTCGAATTAATACCAGTCGAATATCTTATGTTATTACTGAAGTTCCCGTTGCCATCGTTCATAAGTATAGTTATATCATTGGAAACCGTGTTTGCAGATACAATATCTAAATAATAATCGTTGTTCAAATCGCCAATAGAAGTAAACCATGGTTTAGTCCCAACACCCGTTGGGTAAGATATCATAGGCGCAAATGTTCCATTCTCGTCACTGAAAAAGATTCCAACAGATGAACTTCCTATATTAGCTACTATCATATCCGTTCGATCATCGTTGTTTAGATCGCCAAGGCTTATATATTTTGGACTCGATTGATTTCCAGTTCCATACGATTCTCCAGCAGTTAACTTCGTGTTATCGAGACTATTTAGAAGAAGTACATAAGCTTTGTTCAAGTTATTCACAGCTGCATCTAGGTGACCGTCTTTATCGAAATCAGAAACAACAATTGATGATGGGCGAGAACTTCGTCCTATAAGATACTGGGTTTGTCTCACAGCTGGCTCACTCGAATACCCAGATAATATCGCTACATTGTTAGTACCATAATTAGTGACAATCAGATCAGATTGATTATCTTTATCAATATCGACAATCACAGCAAATGATGGATGTGATCCACTCACCGAATCATAGGTTGTCAATGAATGAAAACTTGTATTTCCATATCCTCGAAGAACATGGATTCGATCATTTTCTGAATCAACAACAACGACATCGACATATTCATCCAAANATCAGATCAGATTGATTATCTTTATCAATATCGACAATCACAGCAAATGATGGATGTGATCCACTCACCGAATCATAGGTTGTCAATGAATGAAAACTTGTATTTCCATATCCTCGAAGAACATGGATTCGATCATTTTCTGAATCAACAACAACGACATCGACATATTCATCCAAATCAACATTTCCAACTGTAATCACTTGTGGACGAGACTTGGAATCCAATGTACGGATTATCTGTTTTGCAAAAGTCGCATTTCCTTCATTGACAAACATTCCAATAGTACCAATGGCATAATGTGTCACAAGAATATCTAGTCGACGATCTTGATTGAGATCTGCAAGCGCAACTGATGTTGGATGAGAATTCGATGAAGTCGAGTACATCTGTTGACTTGTAAATGATCCATTTGCATTTCCAAAGAAAATACCAATATTGTTAGTACCATAATTTGCCACGACGATGTCCAACTGATTATCATCATTCAAATCGCCAATTGCTAATGAACATGGCAATGAATCGTAGCCCGTACTGTAGACTGTTACACTTTGAAACACTCCATTTCCATTTCCTAGATGAATACCAATATTATCAGTCCCATGATAGACAACCGCAATATCCGAATGATTATCATGGTTAAAATCAGCAATAGTGATAAACGATGGTCGATAAGAACCAGTGGAGAGAGTTTGTTGAGTGAGAAATGATCCATTTCGGTTATTAAAGAATATTCCAATGTTGTTCGTTCCATTATTCGCCACGGCAATATCTGTATAACCATCTTCATTGAAATCAGCAACAGCAAGAGAACATGGTCGAGAACGTGCACCTGTGGAATATGTTTGTTGGCTGTTGATAGTTGCATTGATATCGAGAAGGAAAACAACAATTGTGTTTGTACCTGACTTGGCCACTACCAGATCAATCTGTTGATTATTATCAAAGTCACCGACAGCTAGTGCTTGTGGGTGTGAACTGTGAATAAGTGAACTTTTGATTGTTGATCGAAAATTCCATTGACATGCACCATCTAGAACATAATCAAGTATATCGGGAAAATGTTTTGTAACAACTGAATGAAGAACGTACCTGACTTTCGTATAGTGAAACACACTACTAATACGCCGATAATCATAGAAACGATGACGAATATACCGAATTCTATCCATGAACGCAGGTGTTTCCTATGGATAGTATATACTCAAGAGATTCCAAACATAATTAAATAATACACACTGTTCTTTTTCCTGATTTTCCAATACATATGTGTCTTTATTATTATCATCAGTTTGATGGCTTGTTTCGATTATATCGGATGCTGGTATGATGTTAGTTGTTTCCGTCGGATGATCTTGATCATCACATGGACGCTGAACGGTCTCCATCTCCAAGTCCATCTAATCTATCAAATGAAGAGTTACATAATTTAACGATCTTACTTGACTTTTCTATTGTCAATCAGAGCAGTTGTTGTTACACACCTAGTTTGTCGTACTGAAAGTAGAAGAAAACGTTTTGTTTTTCATCGAGAAATGTATAGTTGAATTTTACGAAATAGAATCTTTCATTTCTTTGATAGGCAGAACGTGCACGAAACGGTTTGTTTAATTGCGAATCAGTTCCAGAGAACCAATGAATGTACTCACAAATAAATTCTTGTCATGATTTCATCTCTTTCTCCTTCGTTTTTTTCAGTCAAAACTCTCATCTATCAAAGCAACTAATTATTATAATCAAGATCAACAACATTGTTCCTGACTAACATCTTCCACGTATTATTTTATTTTTCCTTTTCAATGAGCAATTGGCGTAGTTTCACATTTGTCACTGGAAGTGAAAATAGACAAGAGCTCACAGATGAACACAACCATTGTACGCGATAAATAAATGAATTCGAACGACCATGAATAGTATCGAGTGCATAAATAATAAAAACCGGAAACGATACAATAGACAGGATGATGACATTCAGTAGAATCCGACGTACTCGATACTGTCTGATTAGCGATACGCGTCGTGTTCTACGTGTAACACAAATATAGAATACACACATGATACTGTATGGCAAACCAAAAATGAATGTAGCAGTAAATAACAAAGAAGAAATCGGTAAAAGTGTCACATTACAAAAAATTTCATTCGAAATCAAATGTATACCGTCGAATATGAACAGTAATTATAGCATACTGGTAAATACATTGATGTAAAACGATGGAATAAGGATATAGAGATACAATGAATATTGATGAACCCAGATTCGAGATGGACAAATGAGTCGAACGAAACAAAAGAACGCGAATAGAACATATATACGCTAAATTGACATGAAAATGTTTCTTTAGAATCACGAATAATTCGAAAGTCCATAAGTAGGGTTGGAATTGTTATGTGAACAATTTGAATGGTAATTTTAGCGACAATAGCACAGAGAATATTAGTAGAAAGAATTAAAGTGACGTCGATCGGTGCTGTTTGGTCCGTGGAGTTTTTCATTCGGATACAATAACGATAAGCAATAACAGATAAAAACGTCAAACAAACAAATATCGCAATCCCGTCAATTAACGCACAGCAGATATTAGATAGTAACATAAAGTTGAAAGAGATCGTTGAGTTCACCATAGTCCGAACGTCGTTTCTTACACTCACAAGCGATAGAGTGAGAAAAAACACAGTTGTTTTAATGTTATATATTTGTCACGATTATGTCTTCAGCTTTTGAAAAAAGCTCACAAGAAAGATAAAGAACAAAATAAGGTGTTTGTCATACACTCAGACAGATAACGTACTTGATTGACAAATCTCCTGTTCCTGAAAAGAGTCAGATGATTCTATTTCTTAGACAACTTAGCACAAGAGACGAGAATGAAAGTTTATTCTTTATCCTCAAGATATAATACATTTGTCTGTTTTATTCCTGATAATAATGAATACTATAGAAGAACGGCGAGTTCATTCTAACGTTGGCATAACGTTCGGCAGAATCAGCCCGCTTTTTAAGACCCATCTCGATGAGCTTTTCAAATAATCTAATTGTCTAACCAATAGACAAACACAAACCATCATGACTTTCGTTATTCACCATATAAAATTCCCTTCCGCCGTTATGGGCAAAATATTCGCCGAATTCAATCCCATAGTAAACATAATGTGAAATCGAATGGTTTCGGTCTCGTTATACTACTTGTTGGTCATTTTTTATACGTACGATGTGCTCAGTTGTGCACGTCTTGTACATGACTCTAAGCGAGATTAGCTTGTGATTTTGGGTAGAACAGCGACGGTTGACGTCCTTTCTTCTCTTCTTCCTAATTAATAGAAGCTGCCGATAGAAGTAAGATAACTTTAGTACAATTACAATTACGGGGAGTGTCATGAAAAGTGTAGAAATGCAATGATTCCATTCAGTGTCGTATCCTTTGTGTTCCACATGGATACGAAAAGTGATGAATGGATTACATTCGATTCTCTATCATTTATTACAAATCAATGTTGAAGACTTCTTCGATCCCAATTCCGGTAAGTATTTCTGTATACATCGTCTCCTGTGAGCAACAAGGTTGGAAGCGATTGCATAACCGTAAGGAAATCTACTTGGTACATGGACTTACAATTACAAGAACAAAATCGAAGTTTATTGACATACAAATCAGTTCGTATAATTTCGAATACTCAACTTGAAATGTTCCCAAAGGAAATTATGTAAATGTCGCTAAACTACGAATTGGAATTTAATCCGAAAACCAAGGAAATGGTAAGTATGTGAAATTAGCAACGATGTAATACGTAGAAACGAATATATGAGAGAACTTTCATCTTTTCAGTTTTTATAGGAATTCGCTGTTCCTTTTTTTACGTCTTTAATCCAGACTCTATGAATAAAATAATCCGGATGCACTTGTTCTTCTCCCTCATCGTATTTTCACCAAAAGTCGATATTGTGCAAAGAAAACGAAGATAAACCACGTGTGCGTGTTTTTTCTCTTTCTTATTCTTCATCGGATTGTACGGTATACGAACCCACACCTAAGCCGTATAAGTATAAACAAAAAATTGTACTTTATCCTTGGTGAAGGAGAAAACAAACTATCAGCTGTAAGTGAATAGGTATAAATGCTTTTCTCATTTCAAATCTTTTCTTTTAGAATATTATAATGTCCGAAACATCTCCGCTAATTGTTATTGTATCTGGTGGCGGACCGGTTGGTCTTACATTCTCGCTTAATCTGGTTATGATGATGGGCGAAAAGGTGAGAATAACAATCTATGAAGGCCGTTGGTTCATGGATGAAAATGGCAAAGTACGATGGCGAGATAAAGAGCAAGGCAACCGTCGTCGAGATCAAGTTGTGTCGCTACAAGATCATGTGATTGACCAATTACCGAAATATGTTCGCAGAGGTCTTTTTAAGAACATTGATGAACGTGTATGGCCGAAATCACGAAATATTCCTATCCGTGAGGTAGAAGATCGACTGTTTGAATTAGTTCAGCCGTTTGTCGAAACCGGTCAAATTCAATTAGTTCCCGAACGATTGTCGAAAGAGTTCGATTGTATTCGTAAAGGTAATTTTGCTTTGCGGAGAAAACAAGAACATTTCCTCAACTTGAATTTGTTTAGGATCGTTCGACATCTTAGTTGGCGCGGATGGTCTGGAGTCTTTTGTTCGGAAATATTCGAACATTCCGATGATTAGCGAAGGTACAGAAAATGCCTGTGGTGTCGCATTTAACATTCCCGAAAGTGAAGAGGTCTTACATCAAGCATTAAATTGTATCCTCACAACCTCTCAAACTCGGTTTTTAGTCAATTCGTCCTTCAGCCGTAGTGGTTATTTGAACATTCGTTTAATTGAGAGCGAATTCAAAGAATTAAATGAATATATCGAAAAATGTAAAACTGAAAATAAACCATGGAAATTACCTGAATATGACGATATGCCAACTACACCGCTGTGGACGATCATCCGACAAGGCCTTGAATATTTTAAAATCTCACCGAAATTTGTAACGAATATCGCTCCGATTCGAATCAATGTTTGTTATACATCAGTCGTTGTTCGAGAAATTCATTTATCAGATGAAAGTGAGAATAAGACATCGAAAACTGCCTTAGTTTGCTTGATGGGTGATGCGGCTATGGATGTTCATTTCTGGTCTGGACGTGGCATGAACACGGGAATGAAGGGTGCCATTGGTCTAGCTCGAAATATCTACCAATCGTGCATATCGAAAAATTCGTTAGGCGAAAATGTTCTTCGTTTACGTTGTCCATTTCTAAAATTCTTGGATTATGAAGGTTTTATGGCACGTCTTCGTGCACGTGAACTTCAAGGCCGTTCGCTCGATGTTTTAATTATTCCGATCGATGATTGCGTGATAAAGTCTTACTTTCACATTCATCTAACCGAATCTCATGCGGGATACAAAAAGAAATTAGTGGAAAAGCTGAAAAAGACTCGTGACGCTCTCGAACAACTCCCCGATTGGCCACATCGAAATCGGCCTGTTACTGATGACGAATTAGAAGCTGTAGCGAAAAGATTATCACCGCTTGCTATTGCTCAATTATGCCTAGCCAATCCAGCTGTACCACGTGAGCTGAGTGATGTTGAAATACTCATTGAAGATACGTTTCCATTCGATACAAGAGGTTATTCGCCTCTACCGAAATTGACAACGAAAACTCAAACACAAACATCATTCAGCGATTCAGAACCATTGAAAAACATCAACGGTGAACCAGGTTCACTTAATTCGTCAAGAAGAAGTAGTACAACAAAGAGAGTACATTCGCATCGTAAACCGTCGAAAATAATCGCTGAAATACCAGTATCCAACATGCAAATCTTACCCGAAATCAATCACGCGAATGTACCTTTTCAGAATGCATATCAGTATTATCAACAAAACGTTTCGCATCCACCGACACCTTCACATCGATTTGCAACTCCATGGGCTGACTTTTACATCTATCAATAAGAAAGATTTAGTGAAATTATCTTTTAATAAATAAATCATTTCATATCTTGTGCTTGAATCTTTATATTTACATATATGAGTAATCAAAGGTTGTCAAATTGATTCTGTTTTTTTTTATCAAATCTCACTAGTGATTTTTAACTTGTTAGCTTTTTTTTGCATAGACACTATAGTCTGTTCAATGAAATAGTAAATAAGATTGGAACTGGAAATCTATGGTAAAATAATTATTTTTCACTAATAGAGATAAATTTATTGTCAATTGCTAGCAGATTTCCTATTAAAACGATTGGATCTCTATTTTATTTTCATTATCTTTCTTTATTTTGAATATTAACAAATTTATTTAGACGGGACAAGTTAACCAGAATCTGCCAGGGTTATACGCATCTCGCTATAACATTCACACATCAACCTTGGGACGGTTGTCAGTTTTTTTTTCGAATTCATACGACTCTACTTATTTGTTACGCAGTTATTGACTATTTGAGCTATTTCAACACCTACATTATCCATTTGAATGACGGATGTCCGAGTCAGATGAGCCAATAGATTCGATGCTGCATCGCGAATATCCGTTGAACTAGATTTGAGATAGTCCAATATCCTTTCCAGTGGTTCGTCTGTTTCAACTGTACGAATCATACTCAAATAGCTGTAGCTGACTTCTTGTGAACAAGAGCTATCGAGAGCATATTCAACTAATATTTCAATTAGTTGAACAGTTAATTCACCGAATGCACATAAAATAGTAATGCATGCAATGCGACCATCTGTGTCTTCAAGTTTGCTCATGCGATAGAGAGCATACTGGAGTTCACGTTTGTATTCACATTCGTTGGCACATTGACAAAAATATGTTGTCATATGTTCTGCGATTCTAGCTATAATCAATAGATCATAACGACTCACTGAATTCCGCACATATGTATCAGAATCGATACGATAATTTTCATCGCATAAAAACTGAATACTTTCATAAAACATAGAGATTAATACAGAAATTAGCTGTGGACGATGAATAATGAGATCAAGCGTCGTAGAAATCCAGTGTGATGACTGCTCAGCAGTCGGATAACTTACAGACTGGATCGAATTCACAGCATCGTAATATTGGTACCATTCGTGTAGTGGTTCATGCCGAATAATCATATTTCTAACAGGCACAGTTTGTCTTCCAGCACTAATATGAACATACTCAAGTTTCGATAAATTCAGCTGACTACTAAGTTGACATTTGATTATTTCACGATTATAAACTTTATTCGAACCTGCATATGATAAAGTCACATCTCCTGTCTGTCGATTGATTTTCAGACAGTAGCCAACATAATCATTTGCATTACAACCATAATGGAATGTATTTGAACTTGCACTGGATCGATTTTTGTCTATAACCTCCTGATGATCGATTAAAGGACCGGCTGTCAAGTACGTGAACGATTTCTGAGAGTTGACTGCATCGTTTGATGGCATCACAGCCACATAACAAGTCAGACATCGGATGTATTCTTGACGACGACCAGCAATGATCGGTGAATTTGATATAGTTACCATCATATCACCGTGCATAGCTTCCCAATAAATCCAAATGGAACTTCGCTTATTATCATCTTCAACATCCTTCTTATTAGTGCGATGATAATTGTAAAACGACTGAGAAATCGTGATGGGTAACATGACATACCCTTTGAAGTGACTGGGTGGTAAAGTTATCATTGTACCTTGTAAGAAAGATGCTTCATCCACCATACGATTTAATGTTGAATTTATTTCATTGATCACATATTTTTGATAAGGTATACGTGTAACATCCAGTTCAGTATCTAGTCCACGTAGATCATAGTCTAAATCGACGAGATGATCTGTTATTGTTAATGATTTTCCAAACATTTTTTGAGCAGCAGATTGTGCCTTTGATGACAAGGACTGAAATACATTTCTAGGCATATAAATATGATCGATATAATCCAATGGAATAAGTTGCGGTAGGTTTCCTTCGAAAATTTCGTGTGAATCGATCTTCATCCAATGGTTCTTGATTGAATTAAGATCGATATTCATCGTTCTTTTTCTCATACCGGTCAAAGCAATCAATTCTGTTGCTGCCGTACGTTCATAACCTGGAATAGAACAATGTAGTTTTGTGTTATGGTATTGTTGAATACGGTTTGCTGGTGTTTTCGGATCGGTTAACCATGGTCGGAATCGATATGCATTCATACTCGGACCAAACGTAGTTGCCGCTTGAATGGACATATGCGAATCAGGATGAAGCATGATTTCTCGCTTAAACACGAGAAAAATATCTCCGTAATAGTGACCAAGATGTGGTCCTACAACTGTAAATATTTGTTTATCTGTATTTAACGAATTATCAACCGAATAACCGATTCCTGTTGGATTAACATCCAATTGAGCAGAAGTCTGAATGATGCCATGTATGTATTGGCAAATAACTCGGATTTCATTGGGAGTAAGAGACGATTTTTGCATAAGATCATGCAATCGACTGTCTGGTGTAAGTAAATGATTTAAGACACAATCTTCTAATGATGCTTCTGTGTCGAGTTTTTCTTCTACCGAAACGAACGGTTGTGCACGTAACTTTATTTCCCGTCGATTTAATCCGATGTCAACAAGTTCCTTAATAAAGTCACATATATGCACTTCTGTTGACGAATTCCTTCGATGTCGAGTGATTCTTCGAACCTCAGGATGCTGTTGAGTAATGTGAGATATGAAATGGCTGTACCTCAATAATGTCATCTGATGATGACTCATCACATGACCGTGTGAAAGAATAGATTCGAAAACATCTTGCCCACACCGATGTATTGGTTGGAGAACACGAATCCAGTTGATAATATCAGCTGAAATCGAACCTTTGCTCCATCGGTTAGATCTAATGTATTTATTTACAGTTTTGAGTAGTTCCTCTTGATTTCGGGAGAAGTTAATCTGGTCGTTCAATCCAGAATAGAGAACAACACCTAGGTAATCATTATTCGCGTTATGCCGATATAAGATCGTGTGTTTTGGATTCGTCCGCTCCGGACATGCAATACCGTTCGATGGACATATCAAACGAACGTCTCGTACGCCAATGTGTGTGAAAGTATTGAGATGTTCTTCATTAGTGAGCAGCGGACAACGATTAAAATATGGACAGATTCTTCGGAATATGTGAATTGACGTTTGTTGATGTGTGTTTGTCCGATCATTACATTGAATTCCCCATGGACAGACATGTGAAAATTGGGCACAGTGGGATTCGACGGTGCTCTCAGGTGCTTGTGAGTCATTCCGCTGTAAAAATTGATTGTGAAGTTCACATTGATATGGAGTTAGAGAGCACGGCGTTAAAAACGGATGACTTTCGGTTCTTACATGCTCTGGATCATGAAATTGGACACAGAAGCCACCGTATCTGCAAACAAGTGGATGCTGTCGATCTGATTGATGATTTTTATCACAGTTATGATACATCAGATTATTCCCACAGAATTTCAAGCTTATTAAAATATCTACAACAGTCAAAAATAAAGAGAAGAATATAATTGTGGATTTCCAATGCTGATTTAGCTAATTTAATCTCTGTTGTTCCAGCAACGTAGCTTGTATCTATATATTGAAATATGTCAGTGTTTGTATAGCTGATTAGTGTGAACGTTTTCCTTCTTAATAGATATGCACTCCTTTAAGATGGTAACGATAAGATTCGATAATCTGTATAGAAAACTACTTTCTTCTCTGCATCAATTCAATTGGAATTATTGTAAGGTAGTCTCAAATTCTAGAAAATCTTGTTTATTTCGTCGAAGTAAATGATATAAATCTAATTGGAACTCTCAAACGCTCGCCCCAACACGCTAAGTAAACATTACTGATGAAGATTAATTTAGATCGTAGTAATACAATATCAGTAGTGCTAAAAATGTAACTTCTTCCAGTTCACCCGATAAAAAACAGTTTTACGGTGAGATAAAGTTCACATCAGTAACAGTTTAGTCATAATCCCAATAGCCGTTCTTTTTGAATAAGCCAATCGTCTGACTTGCATTTAGCTCGGAGGCTCGAAAAGCCTGTTCTTCGTCAGTTAAATTGTTATTAAAATCGAACGCTTCGCCTCCACGACGCACATCCAGAAGATGCATAGCGAGTGAATTGTAAACGACTTGTTTTAATTGACCAACATTCTCATAAGAACGCACATATTTCGAGTACTGATTATTTTCTGCCAACCAAAGATTCTCATTCGACTCGGGATCATTCATCGTTTTCATCAAGATATCTTGAGTTTCTGCAATATGAATAAGTCCCAGGCTTGTCAGATGAAGTAACACTTTCAATGCTGCATAGCGCACATTCATCGAAGGTGATTCGAAATACTTAAATAACTTGTCAATCGCTTTTTCATCCTTGATTCTATGAATGCGCCATAAACATTCGTAACATTTGTTACTTTTATACGGATCATCGATAAGAACTTCTACAGCCATTTCACATAGCTCAGAAGTGAACTCGCCGAATATCGAGAGAAGAACAAGATATGTTATTCGACGTGCATTACGCCGTACCTTACTTGCACAATATATAGCGCGTTTCAATTCTTCACCATAGCCACATTCGCCGATAAAACTACAAAAAGCGGATGGCATTTTATCGATCAGAACAGAAGACACGGATAAGTAATGAGGATGTTCGTACTCATACGTATACTTCGGAAAAGAATGTCGAGATCCTTCCTTTAAAAGATAACGAATGCTTTCATACAATTCAGCAATGAATATTGAAAGTAAATCTGGATGCTTTAGAATAAGATCTGCTGTTGCTCTCACGTCAGTTGATTTTTGACCAAAGTACATATGAGCAGTGGAAGCAATCAACGCTTCATAGCATTGAAGTTTATCGTACTGAAACAGTTCTAAAAGACGTTCAGAACTATTGATAGCCCTTCCCATTCCTTCACGTGTAGCTTTAGCGATGTTCGGCGATTGATGCTTAAGAAGTTGAAAAAAACTTTTATATTCTCTTCGTCTNAATAAGATCTGCTGTTGCTCTCACGTCAGTTGATTTTTGACCAAAGTACATATGAGCAGTGGAAGCAATCAACGCTTCATAGCATTGAAGTTTATCGTACTGAAACAGTTCTAAAAGACGTTCAGAACTATTGATAGCCCTTCCCATTCCTTCACGTGTAGCTTTAGCGATGTTCGGCGATTGATGCTTAAGAAGTTGAAGAAAAACTTTTATATTCTCTTCGTCTTCAAAGCTATTGTCACGTGACATACGATAACAACATGTTTGAATCAACGTGCATATAACATCTTCAGAATACATTTTCGTATTCTTATTACTAGAATCTGCGAAAGATTGAAGAATACCCCACCGCAATTCTGTGCCGTCCTTAGTCGAACCACTCGCATAAATCGCTGCTCGTTGAATTCTGCTCGAACTTGTTTTGCCCATCATTTCGATGATAGCCTCAGTGACGATAGCTGCATCGTTTCTATTGTGATATAGACATATACCAATGGAGATAAGTACATTAACCACAAACAATTCATAATCTGTTTTCGAGACATATTTCTTCAGTGAACTGTGGTTAGTTACAATCGAAAATTTTGATCGTATTATATCACTCATATGACTATACAAAGAACTTGATAGCTGATAAAGAGCTAAGCAGAATGACACATTAAAATAATTGTTTGCTGTTGCAATTTTTATCGCTCGATACAAATCTTGATCGTCGATATTGATATCGTTCGAATTCATTCGAATTATACGATATTGTTCGAGTAGAAGGACAATATGTAAGTGATGTTCTCTGTTGATCGATGTGTGATATAGCATTGTAAATATTGTCGATTCAGCGTATGTTGAATTATGACAACACCATATATAACGATCGAGAAGAGCAAGAAGACTGTTCAGACCCAAATCACTAGTGTCTGGCGCGCTGTCGCGTCTAAAAAGAACTTCTGCTCGTTGTCGAAATCGATCTTGGCGACTACATAGTTGGTTGCATGCAATAACAGTTGCTTTTTCATTCCATAGATATGCTTCGAGACTCAACAATGCCGCATGTACGGCGATTGCATTGAGCTGTTGATGATTCTCGAATGTCAGCCAATGATTGACGATTCCCCAAGCTGTTGATTCAACAGTGCTAACGGAATGCAAAAATCTATCGAGGTTTTTAATCACTTCTATTGAGATACTTTTCTTCTTAATGCAGTCATTAAGGTATTGATCGATTGCTAGAGCTTGAAAGTGCATCAGAGTGCCATTATTCTCGAAATTCGGTTTGTTCGGCCTATTCGGTCGAGGTAAGTTGTGACAATTATCGTCGAAAATCAAGTTACGCCAGGCAAACAAACGGTGACAATCACTGACTAATTCGGTTAAAAACATAGCAGATAAAAGAGTGTTTTCTGTCGGAGTTTTGCCGTATGTCGAAGAACGTGTAAAATAACGAAAAAATATAGACGATCGTGTGTGAAATAATGTTTGTGGTTCATGCTTTAAGATATTCTCGTTCTTCGAATACAAATCGGCTAGGTACGAATGAATAAGTTCATTTGAATATGATATTTTCAGTAACGCTTCGTAGACGGCCTCCTGACTCGAATAGACTCTGCCGTTTGTCGTAGCCGTAATCTTATTGAGTAAGTCTCTGACAGATACTTCAAATTCAGAAGCTCGTATGAAAACTGTATAACATCGTAAGAGAATGGCGGTATGTACTGGTATAGATAACTTTGAAGTTATTTCATTCAGTAGTCTTGCTTGTTGATGAATTAATGATCGATGGCTTGCCATTAGGTTGGAATCTACTTGTACATGAAGATTCATGAAAATAATGCTGAGTGCATCAAGCTTTAGAAGTGGAAGCTCTATTGAATTCGCAGCATTTAAGGCTTCAGTAAGTAAGATTGTCGGTTCGATCAACTGAGAACACGAAGACATATACGCTAAAGACACACACGCAGAGTACAAATGGATACTGGCTTGTGTATCTTGGGGAGATCTTCGAAGTTTTTGTAGTGCAGCTTGAAGTTGTGCACGTTCATTTTGTAAATTTTTGATGAAGACTTCCTCTATATCTATCTCAGGATAATCCTTAGGAACATCTGGAACTAAGCCCAGTCCATCTTTATATTGATAAGTATTTTCGTCTAGTGGTCTCTGTCGTATGTACTCGAAATGTTTCACACGATGTGATGAATAAGATGCTTTTAAGATGCTGAAGCCAAAGTTGTCTAATTTATAGACACGAAGCAATGGAAGCAAGGTGCATAGTTGTTCCAGTAGCGTATCGTCAGTATCATTCACTAATTTCATGAGGCATTCAATTAGAACATATTGAAATGGTAAATTAGTTGAAGAGACTTCTCTGTCTTGTATTACAATCTCATGCCGTTGTAAAAGATAAACGAATAGGGACCTGATATGCTTTGGTACAAATGTTAATGCATACATAAAATCTTTGCTAAAACGCCTATGAAGAAATGTTAATTGATGTCTCTGTACGATCTCTTTTCGGTTAGAAAGAGGAACGTCTTCGTTGTTTAATGTCCAGAAAAGACCAACAAAATATGGCAGGACGGAACAAGCTTTTTGGCCAGAAGAAAGCGTTGTATCATACGAAAGAAGATTTTCAAGGACTTGTTTACTTCTTACCTCATTTGGCAGTGTAAAAACAAAGGCATGTTCGTCTTCTTGAGTATTGTCATAAGGATTGTCCTCGACTGAAGAAGAAATACCATTGGTAGACAGACGAGCTGTTGCTTTCATAACAGCATTGGTAATTAGAAGGAAGTCTTCCGGCGACATACGTTTATCTCTATTGGATACGTTTGGATTGGTTAGTTTCAACGTGTCACTTATTATTCGTTCCGCGTCAAATTCAAAAGATGTGTTCGAATAGAAATCTTGCAATGTAGATAAAATGTATTTCAATTTCGGCAAAGCCATCGAGAAAGCTTTGATTTTGACAAGATTAGGGCGGATTAAGAAGTGTTCGATACCTGAAAGGCATAGCACGGCAATGATTAAATTTACGGCATTCACTGAACCATCGTCAGGCAATGTTGTCGAGAGTAATTTGTGGCATTGGTTTTGGAGACGGTTTAAGCGTGTTAGTTGTTCACTTTTAGTATCAACTAAGTACTCAATCAAAAGAGGAGTAAGAATTTTACAATCTTGATACATGCATTCTGTTTTGAAAAGAATCGCGCTTCTTGACTTTGCCAATCCTCCATACAATGCAATGATTAACGCCAGGATTGTCGGGTGGATATCACTTTGATTGTGCTTTCCTGCTGTGAAGAAAGTTTTTAGACCATTAGGCGGCGTCGGTAACAGTTGCCTATTAATGAACGACATGTGAACAAATAGTCTGTCCAGAGAAAAGTCACTTCGTGTCTGATGAAGATCTAGTTTGAGATAAAGATTGTCGAAAACTGTTTTATCGAGCCATGTATACTTGTTTGCGTCGAACAAATCATCAACACTTGCTTCACTACTGGAAAAATCATTATCATCATCATTCTCATCTTCTTTCTCGTCGTCGTCATTGTCACGCTCTACACCAGGAACATTGTCATGTTTGTATATATTATCAGAATATAACTGATCACTTATTAAATTACACAGTGCAGTAGTGCTCACAAATGAATGACGTGATTCGGATAATAAAACATGATGTACCCATTCCGACATACAGGATTTCGGTAATGTTTGAATCGAATCCTGGAATGTTGAGAACAATGTTTCGGAAGTAGAGTACCAGTTGTCGCGTCCAGCCGCTACTAAGATTTTATCCAAAGCCTTGAACATAATGTCATTTGATGGATAATTGATGAAATCTTTATCACATAGCACGAAAAATAATGTCCCTAATGGTAGGAAATTGTCAAGTTCACGTGCTGCTTCAGTAAAAAAAGCTTCGCAATAAGCTTCGAAATCATCACGTTCGCTAAGCATACTGAAAGCAAGAATTAAGGGAACTCGAAACCTAATGTCACTTATATGTTGACAAAGAGAGCGAGCTATTGCCTGAGTTGCACTAAGCACCATCGATTGATTTTCCTTTTTCAATTTTCTCTTGTCGACGAAATTCAGACCGGCAAAATATTCTTGTAGAGTTCGATGAAGAAATCCATACATCGACTGACTGCGACAAACCAAAATGCCAACATCATTACGTACAATCTCTACGAAACGCATAGCCTCGTTCTTGAATCTTTCACTGTCGTCATCTGTGGGTCGCTTTATATTTTCGTAGGATTGAATAGACGAGGCGCATCTTCTTAAGAGAGATTCTTCTGAGATTAATCCCGAAGGTGAATTTTTATGAATGTCTTCGGCAACATCGCCTAAAATCCACAAAAGCTTACTTTCATTAATATTTAATCCATGCCCATTCCATGTCGATAATATTGAATTAATTGCACGTTCGTATAATTGAACACGTTTGGTTGGCAATGCTGCATCATTTGATTCAAAGGCAATGTGACAGATTAATGACATAAGAAAAGGATTCGACGCTAACTCTCGCAGTTCAGAATTTCGATCTTCTAATTGTGTCTTCAATGGTTCAGCATGGTCTTGCCATACACTATCATCAAGTATAATTTCGGCGTTAGAAGATGCGAGTATGGAACGGATATTTTCATGAATATGGTAAAACCAATAGTCAACAAAGGCTTGCATGAGCTTTGAACTCAATGGTTGAATGATGTAATGTGACACCTGTTCCGTAAGTGGTGCCGCGTGGTATCCGACAATACGACTGGTGATCAGTATTTGATTACCACCAGTTTCCGCTGGTTTGTCGATGTGCCGGGCAAAATTAGGATCATCCATTACAGATCGAAGTGAAGGTGCCCGGATATGAGTGTGAATAAACGTTTCCAAACAATGAAGAACCTTAGCACGCTGATCGGATACCGAAATCTCATCCAAACCATCGATAATGACCACTACTTGACCTTGTCTGATATAATCTTGTAAAGCTACTGCTAATTGTGATAAAGCTGAAGTGCTTGTTGATTCTTCAGATCGAAAAAATTTACCGAACCACGTGTGATGGCCGATATGATCGAATAGACTCAATGTGTCGTTTTCACGAAGAGCTTCGGCAAACTCTGCTATGCGAATCAATATCGGTATTCGAGCTGGACCAAAATCGGTCGTTTCTTTTTTATTCATTATACCTTGGGCTAATTGTAAAGCAACCCACTGTGACAATGTTGATTTGCCGCTTCCTGGATGACCTAAAGCCACTACCCAACGATTTTCACGCAAAACTTGTGTGATATCTAACGAGTAGTACCCATCTTTGAGTGCATATCGATCACTATTCACTATTGATAACATGTAGGGTGTATCAAGCAAGCGGTTCATCCATATTTTTTTCTGCTTGTGTTCGGTAACCGAACTGAAAAACGCAGCGAATCGATTTCCTGTTAGTAATTGTCGAGCGGCATTACGTTCGAATGACGTCGTTTTTTCAGTCTGCAGGTCAATGAAACATTCACTTAGTGGAATATCGAATGATCGCCAGTTCGCTTTGAGTTTGTTCAAATCAGTTGCAGAAGCTTTGTAAAAATTACGGGCCGTTTCGACAACAATATCCGCTTCCAAAGCAGGTATAGATATGGTGCCGTAAAAAGAACTACACTGCTTTAAGTAAGGCATAATGACGTTAAAATNAGATCAGATTGATTATCTTTATCAATATCGACAATCACAGCAAATGATGGATATGATCCACTCACCGAATCATAGGTTGTCAATGAATGAAAACTTGTATTTCCATATCCTCGAAGAACATGGATTCGATCATTTTCTGAATCAACAACAACGACATCGACATATTCATCCAAATCAACATTTCCAACTGTAATCACTTGTGGACGAGACTGTGAATCCAATGTACGAATTATCTGTTTTGCAAAAATCGCATTTCCTTCATTGACAAACATTCCAATAGTACCAATGGCATAATGTGTCACAAGAATATCTAGTCGACGATCTTGATTGAGATCTGCAAGTGCAACTGATGTTGGATGAGAATTCGATGAAGTCGAGTACATCTGTTGACTTGTAAATGATCCATTTGCATTTCCAAAGAAAATACCAATATTGTTAGTACCATAATTTGCTACGACAACGTCCAAATGATTATCATCATTTAAATCGCCAATTGCTAATGAACACGGCAATGAATCGTAGCCCGTACTGTAGATTGTCGCACTTTGAAACACTCCATTTCCATTTCCTAGATGAATACCAATATTATCAGTTCCATGATAGACAACCGCAATATCCGAATGATTATCATGATTAAAATCAGCAATAGTGACAAACGATGGTCGATAAGAACCAGTGGAGAGAGTTTGTTGAGTGAGAAATGATCCATTTCGATTATTAAAGAATATTCCAATGTTGTTTGTTCCATTATTCGCCACAGCAATATCAATATAACCATCTTGATTGAAATCAGTAACAGCAACAGAACATGGTCGAGAACGTACACCTGTGGAATATGTTTGTTGACTGATGATAGTTGCATTGGTATCGAGAAGGAAAACAGCAATTGTGTTTGTACCTGAGTTGGCCACAACCAGATCAATTTGTTGATTATTATCAAAGTCACCGACAGCAAGTGCATGTGGGTGTGAACTGTGAATAAGTGAACTTTTGATTGTTAATCGAAAGTTCCATTGACATGCACTATCTAGAACATAATCAAGTATATCGGGAAACTGTTTCGTAACAACTGAATGAAGAACGCACCTGACTTTCGTATAGTAAAACACACTACTAATACGCCGATAATCATAGAAACGATGACGAATGTACCGAATTCTATCCATGAACGCAGGTTTTTCCTATTGATAGAATATATATCCATAAGATTACAAACACAATTAAATAATACATACTGTTCTTTTTCCTGATTTTCCAATACATATGTGTCATTATTATTATCATCATTTTGATGGCTTGTTTCGATTCTATCGGATGCTGGTATGATGTTAGTTGTTTCCGTCGGATGGTCTCGATCATCACATGGACGCTGAACGGTCTCCATCTCCAAGTCTATATAATCTATCAAATGAAGAGTTACATAATTCAACGATCTTACTCGACTTTTCTATTGTCAATCGGAGCAGTTATTGTTACACACCTAGTTTGTCGTACTGAAAGTAGGAGAAAACGTTTTGTTAAAAAAGATGTTTTTCATCGAGAAATGTACAGTTGAATTTTACAAAATAGAATATTTCATTTCTTTGATAGGCAGAACGTGCGCGAAACGGTTTGTTTAATTGCGAATCAGTTCCAGAGAACCAATGAATGTACTCACAAATAAGTTCTTGTCATGATTTCATCGCTTTCTTCTTCGTTATTTTTGAGTCAAAACTCTCATCTATGAAAGCTACTAATTATTTTAATTAAGATCAACAACATTGTTCCTGCCTACCATCTTCCACGTATTATTTTATTTTTCCCTTTCAATGAGCAAATGGCGTAGTTTCACATTTGTCAATGGAAGTGAAAGTGAAAATAGACAAGAGCTCACAGATGAACACAACCATTGTATATGCGATAAATAAGTGAATTCGAACGACCATGAATAATATCTAGTGCATAAATAATAAAAATCAGAAACGATACAATCGGCAAGATGATGATATTCAGTAGAATACGACGACGTACTCGAAACTGTCTTATGATTAGCGACATGCATCGTATTCTATGTGTAACACAAATGTAAAATACATACACACAACACTGTATAGCAAACCAGAAATGAATGTAGCAGTAAATAACAAAAAAGAAATCGGTACAAGTATCACATTACAAAAAATTTCATTCGGAATCAAATATATATCGTCGAATATGAACAGTAATGATAGCATACTGGTAAATACACCGATAGAATAAGGATATAGAAATACAATGAATACCGATGAAGCTAGGTTCAAGATGGACAAATGAGTCGAACGAAACAGAAGAATGCGAACAGAATATAACTCCAATATAACATCCTCACCATTGAATAGAACATATTTACACTAAATTGACATGAAAATGTTTCTTTAGAATCACGAATAATTCGAGAATCCATAAATAGTGTTGGAATCGTTATGTGAATAATTTGAATGGTAGTTTTAACGACAATAGCACAGAGAATATTGGTAAAAAGAATTAAAGTGACATCGATCGGTCCTGTTTGGTCCGTGGAGTTCTCCATTCGAATACAATAACGATAAGCAATAACAGATAAAAACGTCAAACAAATAAATATCGCAATCCCGTCAATTAACACACAACAAAGATTAGATAGTAACATAAAGTTGAAAGAGATCGTTGAGTTCACCATAGTCCGGACGTCGTTCCTTACAGTCAAGCGATAGAATGAGAAAAAACACAGTTGTTTTAATGTTATATGTTGGTCATACACTCCGGCAGATACGTACTTAATTGACAAATCTCCTGTTTCAGAAAAAACTCAGATGGTTCTATTTCTTAGATAACCTAAAGAATTGAAGATATTCCTGATCTAATCGGCTGATCAATAGACAAACACAAGCCATCATGACTTTCGTTATTCGCTATATGAAATTCCCTTCCGCCGTTGAGCAAAATATTCGTCGAATTCAATCCCATAGTAAACATAATGTGAAATCGACTGGTTTTAATCTCGTTAAATTACTTGTTGATCATTTTTTATACGTACGATGTGCTCACTCGTGCACGTCTTGTACATGAGTCTAAACGAAATTAGCTTGTGATTTTGGACAGAACAGCGACGGTTGACGTCCTTTCTTCTTTCTTCTAATTAAAAGAATCAAAATAGTATCATCATACGAAGAACAGTCACAGACGATTTCGATGAATATTCAATTGAACGATATCATACGTACAGACGAATATATGAGAGAAATTTCATCCTTCCAGTTTTTATAGGAATTCGCTGTTTGTTCTTTTTTTAAGTCTTTAATCCAGACTCTATGAATAAAATAAACCGGATGCACTTGTTTTTCTCCCTCGTCGTATTTTCACCGCAAGTCGATATTGTGCAAAGAAAACGAAGATAAACCACGTGTGCGTGTTTTTTCTCTTTCTTATTCTTTATCTGATTGTACGGTATACGAATCCACACCAAGTCCGTATAAATATAAACAAAAAATTGTACTTTATCCTTATTGAAGGAGAAAACAGAACTATCAGCTGTATGTGAATAGGTACGAATGCTTTTCTCATTTCTAATCTTTATTTTTAGAATATTATAATGTCCGAAACACCTCCGCTAATTGTTATTGTATCTGGTGGTGGACCAGTTGGTCTTACATTTTCGCTAAATCTAGCTATGATGATGGGGAATAAGGTGAAAATAACAATCTATGAAGGCCGTTGGTTCATGGATGAAAATGGCAAAGTACGATGGCGAGATAAAGAGCAAGGCAATCGTCGTCGAGATCAAGTTGTGTCGCTACAAGATCATGTGATTGACCAATTACCGAAATATGTTCGCAAAGGTCTTTTTAAGAACATTGATGAACGTGTATGGCCGAAATCACGAAATATTCCTATCCGTGAGGTAGAAGATCGACTGTTTGAATTAGTTCAGCCGTTTGTCGAAACTGGTCAAATTCAATTAGTTCCCGAACGATTGTCGAAAGAGTTTGATTGTATTTGTAAAGGTAATTTTGTTTCGCGGAAAAAACAAGAACATTTCCTCAATTTGAATTTGTTTAGGATCGTTCGATATCTTAGTTGGCGCGGATGGCCTGGAGTCTTTTGTTCGGAAATATTCGAACATTCCGATGATTAGTGAAGGTACTGAAAATGCCTGTGGTGTCGCATTTAACATTCCCGAAAGCGAAGAGGGCTTACATCAAGCATTAAACTGTATCCTAACAACCTCTCAAACTCGGTTTTTGGTCAATTCGTCCTTCAGCCGTAGTGGTTATTTGAACATTCGTTTAATTGAAAGCGAATTTAAAGAATTAAATGAATATATCGAAAAATGTAAAACTGAAAATAAACCATGGAAATTACCTGAATATGACGATATGCCAACTACACCGTTGTGGACGATCATCCGACAAGGCCTTGAATATTTTAAAATTGCACCGAAATTTGTAACGAATCTCGCTCCGATTCGAATCAATGTTTGTTATACATCAGTCGTTGTTCGAGAAATTCATTTATCAGATGAAAGTGAGAATAAGACATCGAAAACTGCCTTAGTTTGCTTGATGGGTGATGCGGCTATGGATGTTCATTTCTGGTCTGGACGTGGGATGAACACAGGAATGAAGGGTGCCATCGGTTTAGCTCGAAATATCTATCAATCGTGCATATCGAAAAGTTCATCAGGCGAAAATGTTCTCCGTTTACGTTGTCCGTTTCTAAAATTCTTGGATTATGAAGGTTTTATGGCACGTCTTCGTGCACGTGAACTTCAAGGCCGTTCGCTGGATGTTTTAATCATTCCGATCGATGATTGCGTGATAAAATCTTACTTTCACATTCATTTAACCGAATCTCATGCGGGATACACAAAGAAGTTAGTGGAAAAGTTGAAAAAGACTCGTGATGCTCTCGAACAACTCCCCGATTGGCCACATCGAAATCGACCGGTCACTGATGACGAATTAGAAGCTGTAGCGAAAAGATTATCACCGCTTGCTATTGCTCAATTATGTCTAGCCAATCCAGCTGTACCACGTGAGCTGAGTGATGTAGAAATACTCATTGAAGATACGTTTCCATTCGATACAAAAGATTATTCGTCTCTACCGAAATTGACAACGAAAACTCAAACACAAACATCGGTCAGCGATTCAGAACCATTGAAAAACATCAATGGTGAACCAGGTTCACTTAATTCGTCAAGAAGAAGTAGTACAACAAAGAAAGTACATTCGCATCGTAAACCATCGAAAATAATCGCTGAAATACCAGTGTCCAACATGCAAATCTTACCCGAAATCAATCACGCGAATGTACCTTTTCAGAATGGATATCAGTATTATCAACAAAACGTTTCATATCCACCGACACCTTCACATCGATTTGCAACTCCATGGGCTGACTTTTACATCTATCAATAAGAAAGATTTTGTGAGATTATCCTCTAATAAATAAATCATTTCATATCTTGTATTTGAATCTTTATATTTACATATATGAGCAATCAAAGGTTGTCAAATTGATTCTGTTTTTCCAAATCTTACTAGTGATTCTCAACTTGTTAGCTTTTTTGTGCATATATACTAGAGTCTTTTCAATGGAATAGCAAATAAGATCGTAACTGGAAATCTATGATAAAAGAATTATTTTTCACCAATAGAGATCAATTTATTGTCAATTGCTAGCAGCTTTCTTATTAAAACAATTGGATCTCAGTTCTATTTTCATTATCTTTCTTTATTTTGAATATTAACAAATTTATTCAGACGGGACAAGTTAACCAGAATCTGCCAGGGTTATACACATCCCGCTATAGCATTCACACATCAACCTTGGGACGGTTGTCCGTTTTTTTTCGAATTAATATGACTCTGTTTACTTGTTACGCAATTATTGATTATTTGAGCTATTTCAACACCTACAGTATCCATCTGAATGACGGATGTCCGAGTCAAATGAGTCAGTAGATTCGATGCTGCATCGCGAATATCCGTTGAACTAGATTTAAGATAGTACAGTATCCTTTCCAGTGGTCCATCTGTTTCAACTGTACGAATCATACTCAAATAGCTGTAGCTGACTTCTTCTGAACAAGAATCATTGAGAGTATATTCAACTAATATTTCAATTAGTTGAACAGTTAATTCGCCAAATGCACATAAAATAGTAATGCATGCAATACGACCATCTGAGTCTTCAAGTTTGCTCATACGATAGAGAGCATACTTAAATTCACGTTTGTATTCACATTCGTTGACACATTCACAAAAATATGTTGTCATACGTTCTGCGATTTTAGCTACAATCAATAGATCATAACGACTCACTGAATTCCGTACATATGTATCAGAATCGATACGATAATTTTCATCGCATAAAAACTGAATACTTTCGTAAAACATAGAGATTAATACAGAAATTAACTGTGGATGATGAATAACGAGATCAAGCGTCGTAGAAATCCAGTGTGATGACTGCTCAACAGTCGGATAGCTTACAGACTGAATCGAATTCACAGCATCGTAGTATTGGTACCATTCGTGTAATGGTTCATGCCGAATAATCATATTTCTAACAGGTACAGTTTGTCTTCCAGCACTAATATGAACATACTCAAGTTTCGATAAATTCAGCTGACTACCAAGTTGACATTTGATTATTTCACGATTATAAACTTTATTCGAACCTGCATATGATAAAGTCACATCTCCTGTCTGTCGATTGATTTTCAGGCAGTAGCCAACATAATCGTTTGCATTACAACCATAATGAAATGTATTTGAACTTGCGTTGAATCGATTTTCGTCTATAACCTCTTGATGATCGATTAAAGAACCGGCCGTCAAGTACGTGAACGATTTCTGAGAGTTGTCTGAATCGTTTGATGGCATTACAGCAACATAACAAGTCAGACATCGGATGTATTCTTGACGACGACCAGCAATGATCGGTGAATTTGATATAGTTACCATCATATCACCGTGCATAGCTTCCCAATAAATCCAAATGGAAGTTTGCTTATTATCATCTTCAACATTCTTCTTATTAGTGCGATGATAATTGTAAAACGATTGAGAAATCGTGATGGGTAACATGACATATCCTTTGAAGTGACTGGGTGGTAAAGTTATCATTGTGCCTTGTAAGAAAGATGCTTCATCCACCATACGATTTAATGTTGAATTTATTTCATTGATCACATATTCTTGATAAGGTATGCGTGTAACATCCAGTTCAGTATCTAGTCCGCGTAGATCATAGTCTAAATCGACGAGATGATCGGTTATTGTTAATGATTTTCCAAACATTTTTTGAGCAGCAGATTGCGCTCTTGATGACAAAGACTGAAATACATTTCTAGGCATATAAATATGATCGATATAATCTAAAGGAATCAGTTGCGGTAGATTTCCTTCGAAAATTTCGTGTGAATCGATCTTCATCCAATGGTTCTTGATTGAGTTAAGATCAATATTCATCGTTCTTTTTCTCAAGCCGGTCAAAGCAATCAATTCTGTTGCTGCTGTACGTTCATAACCTGGAATAGAACAATGTAGTTTTGTGTTATGGTATTGTTGAATACGATTTGCTGGCGTTTTGGGATCGATTAACCATGGTCGGAATCGATATGCATTCATACTCGGACCAAACGTAGTTGCCGCTTGAATGGACATATGTGAATCAGGATGAAGCATGATTTCTCGCTTAAACACGAGAAGAATATCTCCGTAATAGTGACCAAGATGTGGTCCTACAACTGTAAATATTTGTTTATCTGTATTTAACGAATTATCAACCGAATAACCGATTCCTGTTGGATTAACATCCAATTGAGCAGAAGTCTGAATGATGCCATGTATGTATTGGCAAATTACTCGAATTTCATTGGGAGTAAGAGACGATTTTTGCATAAGATCATGCAATCGACTGTCTGGAATAAGTAAATCATTTAAGACGTAATCTTCTAATGATGATTCTGTGTCGAGTTTTTCTTCTACCAAAACGAACGCTTGTGCACTAAGCTTTATTTCTCGTCGATTCAATCCGATGTCAACAAGTTCTCTAATAAAGTCACATATATGCACTTCTGTTGACGAATTCCTTCGATGTCGAGTTATTCTTCGAACCTCAGGATGCTGTTGAGTAATGTGAGATATGAAATGGCTGTATCTCAATAATGTCATCTGATGATGACTCATCACATGACCGTGTGAAAGAATAGATTCGAAAACATCTTGTCCACACCGATGTATTGGTTGGAGAACACGAATCCAGTTGATAATATCAGCTGTAATATAACCTTTGCTCCATCGGTTAGATCTAATGTATTTATTTACAGTTTTGAGTAGTTCCTCTTGATTTCGACAGAAGTTAATCTGGTCGTTCAATCCTGAATAGAGAACAACACCTAGGTAATCATTATTCGCGTTATGTCGATATAAGATCGTGTGTTTTGGATTCGTTCGCTCCGGACATGCAATACCGTTCGATGGACATATCAAACGAACGTCTCGTACGCCAATGTGTGTGAAAGTATTGAGATGTGCTTCATTAGTGAGTAGCGGACAACGATTAAAATATGGACAGATTCTTCGGAATATATGAATTGACGTTTGTTGATGTGTGTTTGTCCGATCATTACATTGCATTCCCCATGGACAAACATGTGAAAATTGATCACAATGGGATTCGACGGTGCTATCAGGTGCTTGTGAATCATTCCGCTGTAAAAATTGATTATGAAGTTCACATTGATATGGAGTTAAAGGGCACGGTGTTAAAAACGGATGACTTTCAGTTCTTACATGCTCTTGATCATGAAATTTGAAACAGAAGCCACCGTATCTGCAAACATGCGAGTGCTGTCGATCTGATTGATAGTTTGTCTCACAATTGTGGTACATCAGATTATTGACGTTCAAGTTCAAGTTTACTAAAATATCTACAACAGTCAAAAATAAAGGGGAGAATATAATTGTGGAATTCCAATGCAGATTTAGCTAATTTAATCTCTATTGTTTCAGCAACGTAGCTTGTACACAAGGGACAACGGTGAAAGTTTATCTATATATTGAAATATGACGGTGTTTGTATAGCTAATTAGTGTGAACGTTTTCCCTCTTAATAGATATACATTCCTTTAAGATGGTAAGGACAAGATTCTATAATCTGTATAGGAAACTACTTTCTTCTCCGCATCAATTTAATTGGAATTATTGTAAGGCAGTCTCAAATTCTAGAAAATCTTGTTTATTCAGTCGAAGTAAATGATATAAATCTAATTGGGACTCTCAAACGCTCGCCCCGACACGCTAAGTAAACATTACTGATGAAGATTAATTTAGATCATAGTAATACAATATCGGTAGTTTTAAAAATGTAATTTCTTCCTGTTCATCCGATAAAAACAGTTTCACGGTGAAATAAAGTTCACATAAGTAAAAGTTTAGTCATAATCCCAATAACCGTTCTTTTTGAATAGGCCAATCGTCAGACTTGCGTTTAGCTCGGAGGCTTGAAAAGCCCGTTCTTCGTCAGTTAAATTGTTATTAAAATCGAACGCTACGCCTCCACGACGCAGATCCAGAAGATGCATAGCGAGTGAATTGTAAACGACTTGTTTTAATTTACCAACATTCTCATAAGAACGCACATATTTCGAGTACTGATTATTTTCTGCCAACCAAAGATTCTCATTCGACTCGGGATCATTCATCGTTTTCACCAAGATATCTTGAGTTTCGGCAATATGAATGAGGCCCAGGCTTGTTAGATGAAGTAACACTTTCAATGCTGCATAGCGTACATTCATCGAAGGTGATTTGAAATACTTAAATAACTTATCAATCGCTTTTTCATCCTTGATTCTATGTATGCGCCATAAACATTCGTAACATTTGTTACTTTTATACGGATCATCGATAAGAACTTCCACAGCCATTTCACATAGCTCAGAAGTGAACTCGCCGAATATCGAGAGAAGAACAAGATATGTTATTCGACGTGCATTGCGCCGTACCTTACTTGCACAATATATAGCGCGTTTCAATTCTTCACCGTAGCCACATTCACCGATAAAACTACAAAAAGCGGATGGCATTTTATCGATCAGAACAGAAGACACGGATAAGTAATGAGGATGTTCGTACTCATATGTATACTTCGGAAAAGAATGTCGAGATCCTTCCTTTAGCAGATAACGAATGCTTTCATACAATTCAGCAATGAATATTGAAAGTAAATCTGGATGCTTTAGAATAAGATCTGCTGTTGCTCTCACGTCGGTTGATTTTTGGCCAAAGTACATATGAGCAGTGGAAGCAATCAACGCTTCATAGCATTGAAGTTTATCGTACTGAAACAGTTCCAAAAGACGTTCAGAACTATTGATAGCCCTTCCCATTCCTTCACGTGTAGCTTTAGCGATGTTCGGCGATTGGTGCTTAAGAAGTTGAAGAAAAACTTTTATATTCTCTTCGTCTTCAAAGCTATTGTCACGTGACAGACGATAACAACATGTTTGAATCAACGTGCATATAACATCTTCAGAATACATTTTCGTATTCTTATTACTAGAATCTGCGAAAGATTGAAGAATACCCCAAAGAAATTCTGTGCCGTCTTTAGTCGAACCAATCGCATAAATCGCTGCTCGTTGAATTCTGCTCGAAGTTGTTTTACCCATCATTTCAATGATAGCCTCAGTGACGGTAGCTGCATAGTTTCTATTGTGATATAAACATATACCAATGGAGATAAGTACATTAACCACAAACAATTCATAATCCGTTTTTGAGATATATTTCTTCAGTGAACTATGATTAGTTACAATTGAAAATTTTGACCGTATTATGTCACTCATATGACTGTGCAGAGAACTTGATAGCTGATAAAGAGCTAAGCAGAATGAAACATTAAAATAATTGTTTGCTGTTGCAATTTTTACCGCTCCGTACAAATCTTGATCGTCGATATTGATATCGTTCGAATTCATTCGGATTATACGATATTGTTCGAGTAGAAGGACAATATGTAAGTGATGTTCTCTGTTGATCGATGTGTGATATAGCATTGTAAATATTGTCGATTCGGCGTATGTTGAATTATGACAACACCATATATAACGATCGAGAAGAGCGAGAAGACTGTTCAGACCCAAATCACTAGTGTTTGACGCGCTGTCGCGTCTAAAAAGAACTTCTGCTCGTTGTCGAAATCGATCTTGACGACTACATAGTTGATTGCATGCAATAACAGTTGCTTTTTCATTCCATAGATATGCTTCGAGACTCAACAATGCCGCATGTACGGCGATTACATTGAGCTGTTGATGATTCTCGAATATTAGCCAATGATTGACGATTTCCCAAGCAGTTGATTCAACAGTACTAACGGAATGCAAAAATCTATCGAGGTTTTGAATCATTTCCATTGAAATACTTTTCTTCTTAATGCAGTCACTAAGGTACTGATCGATTGCTAGGGCTTGAAAGTGCATCAGAGTGCCATTATTCTCAAAATTCGGTTTGTTCGGCCTATTTGGTCGAGGTAAGTTGTAATAATTAGCGTCGAAAATCAAGTTATGCCAGGCAAACAGACGGTGACAATCACTGACTAATTCGGTTAAAAACATAGCAGATAAAAGAGTGTTTACTGTCGGAGTTTTGCTGTATATCGAAGAACGTGTAAAATAACGAAAAAGTATAGACGATCGTGTGTGAAACAATGTTTGTGGTTCATGCTTTAAGACATTCTCGTTCTTCGAATACAAATCGGCTAGGTACGAATGAATAAGTTCATTTGAATATGATATTTTCAGTAATGCTTCGTAGACGGCCTCCTGACTCGAATAGACTTTGCCGTTTGTCGTAGCCGTGATCTTATTGAGTAAGTCTCTGACAGATAGTTCAAATTCGGAAGCTTGTATGAAAACTGTATGACATCGTAAGAGAATGGCGGTATGTACTGGTATGGATAACTTTGAAGTTATTTCATTCAGTAGTTTTGCTTGTTGATGAATTAATGATCGATGGCTTGCCATTAGGTTAGAATCTACTTGTACATGAAGATTCATGAAAATAACGCTGAGTGCATCAAGTTTTAGAAGTGGAAGCTCTATTGAATTTGCAGCATTTATGGCTTCAGTAAGCAAGATTGTCGGTTCGATCAACTGGGAACACGAAGACATATACGCTAAAGATACACACGCAGAGTACAAATGGATACTGGCTTGTGTATCTTGGGAAGATCTTCGAAGTTTTTGCAGTGCAGATTGAAGTCGAGCGCGCTCATTTTGCAAATTTTTGATAAAGACTTCGTCTCCGTCTACCTCCGGATAATCTTTAGGAACTTCTGGAACTAAACTCAATCCATCTTTATACCGATAAGTATTTTCGTCCAGTGGTCTCTGTCGTATGTACTCGAAGTGTTGCACACGATGTGATGAACAATATGCTTTTATAATGCTAAAGCCAAAGTTGTCTAGCTTATAGACACGAAGCAATGGAAGCAAGGTGCACAGTTGTTTCAGTAGCGTATCGTCAGTATCATTCACTAATTTCATGAGGCATTCAATTAGAACATATTGAAATGGTAAATTAGTTGAAGAAACTTCTCTGTCTTGTATTACAATCTCATGCCGTTGTAAAAGATAAACGAATAAGGACCTGATATGCTTTGGTACAAATGTTAATGCATACATAAAATCTTTGCCAAAACGATCGTGAAGAAATGTTAATTCATGTCTCCGTACGCTCTCTGTTCGGTTAGAAAGAGGAACGTCTTCGTTGTTTAATGTCCAGAAAAGACTAACAAAATATGGCAGAACGGAACAAGCTTTTCGACCAGAAGAAAGCGTTGTATCATACGAAAGAAGATTTTCAACGACTTCTTTACTTCTTAGCTCATTTGGCAGTGTAAAAACAAAGGCATGTTCTCCTTCTTGAGTATTGTCATAAGGATTGTCCTCGACTGAAGAAGAAATACCATTGGTAGACAGACGAGCTGTTGCTTTCATAACAGCATTTGTAAGTAAAAGGAAGTCTTCCGGCGACATACGTTTATCTCTATTTGATACATTTGGATCGGTTAGTTTCAACGTGTCACTTATTATTCGTTCCGCGTCAAATTCAAAAGATGTGTTTGAATAGAAATCTTGTAATGTAGATAAAATGTATTTCAATTTCGACAATGCCATCGAGAAGGCTTTGATTTTGACAAGATTAGGGTGGATTAAGAAGTGTTCGATACCTGAAAGGCAGAGCACGGCAATGATTACATTTACGGCATTCACTGAACCATCATCAGGCAATATTGTCGAAAGTAACTTTTGACATTGATTTTGGAGACGCTTCAATCTCACGAGTTGCTCACTATTAATATCAGTCAAGTACTCAATCAAAAGAGGAGTAAGAGCTTTACAATCTTGATATATGCATTCAGCTTCGAATAGAATCACGTTTCTTGACTTTGCTAATCCTCCATACAATGCAATAATTAATGCCAGGACTGTCGGGTGGATATCACTTTGAGTACAACTTCCTGTCGTGAAGAAAGTTTTCAGACTATTATGTGGCGTCGGTAATAGTTGCCTATTAATGAACGACATGTGAACAAATAATCTGTCCAGAGAGAAGTCATTTTGTGCCTGATGAAAGTCTAATTTGAGATAAAGGTTGTCGCATACTGTCTTATCGAGCCATTCATATTTGTGTGTGTCGATTAAATCATCGTCATACGCTTCACTACTGGAAAAATCATTATCATCATCATTCTCATCTTCTTTCTCGTCGTCGTCATTGTCACACTCTACACCGGGAACATTGTCATGTTTGTATATTTTATCAGAATATAATTGATCACTTATTAAATTACACAGTGCAGTAGTGCTCACGAATGACTGACGTGATTCGGATAATAAAACATGATGTACCCATTCCGACATACAGGATTTCGGTAATGTTTGAATCGAATCCTGAAATGTTGAGAACAATGCTTCGGAAGTTGAGTACCAGTTGTCGCGACCGGCTGCTACTAAGATTTTATCCAAAGCCTTGAACATAATGCCATTTGATGGATAATTGACGAAATCTCTATCACATAGCACGAAAAATAATGTCCCTAATGGTAGGAAACTGTCAAGTTCACGTGCTGCTTCGGCAAAAAAAGCTTCGCAGTAAGCTTCAAAATCATCACGTTCGCTAAGCATGCTGAAAGCAAGAATTAAAGGAACTCGAAACCTAATGTCACTTATATGTTCACAAAGAGAGCGAGCTATTGCTTGAGTTGCACTAAATGCCATCGATTGATTTTCCTTTTTCAATTTTCTCTTGTCGACGAAATTCAGACCGGCAAAATATTCTTGTAGAGTTCGATGAAGAAATCCATACATCGACTGACTGCGACAAACTAAAATGCCAACATCGTTACGCACAATCTCTACGAAACGCATAGCCTCGTTCTTGAATCTTTCACTGTCGTCATCTGTGGGTCGCTTTATATTTTCGTAGGATTGAATAGACGAGGCGCATCTTCTTAAGAGAATTTCTTCTGAGATTAATCCCGAAGGTGAATTTTTATGAATGTCTTCGGCAACATCGCCTAAAATCCATAAAAGCTTGCTTTCATTAATATTTAATCCATGTCCATTCCATGTCGATAATATTGAATTAATTGCACGTTCGTATAATTGAACACGTTTGGTTGGCAATGCTGCATCATTTGATTCAAAGGCAATGTGACAGATTAATGACATAAGAAAAGGATTCGACGCTAACTCTCGCAGTTCAGAATTTCGATCTTCTAATTGTGTCTTCAATGGTTCAGCATGATCTTGCCATACACTATCATCAAGTAAAATTTCAGCGTTAGAAGATACGAGTATGGAACGGATATTTGCATGAATATGGTAAAACCAATAGTCAACAAAGGCTTGCATGAGTTTTGAACTCAATGGTTGAATGATGTAATGTGAGAACTGTCCCGTAAGTGGTGCCGCGTGGTATCCGACAATACGACTGGTGATCAGTATTTGATTACCACCAGTTTCCGCTGGTTTATCGATGTGCCGGACAAAATTAGGATCATCCATTACAGATCGAAGTGAAGGTGCCCGGATATGCGTGTGAATAAACGTTTCCAAACAATGAAGAATCTTAGCACGCTGATCGGATACAGAAATCTCATCCAAGCCATCGATAATGACCACTGCTTGACCTTGTCTGACATAATCTTGTAAAGCTGCTGCTAATTGTGATAAAGCTGAAGTGCTTGTCGATTCTTCAGATCGAAAATATTTACCGAACCACGTGTGATGGCCGATATGATCGAATAGACTCAAAGTATCGTTTTCACGAAGAGCTTCGGCAAACTCTGCTATACGAATCAATATCGGTATTCGAGCCGGACCAAAATCGGTCGTTTCTTTTTTATTCATTATACCTTGGGCTGATTGTAAAGCAACCCACTGTGACAATGTTGATTTGCCACTTCCTGGATGACCTAAAGCCACTACCCAACGATTTTCACGCAAAACTTGTATGATATCTGACGAGTGATACTCATCTTTGATTGCATATCGATCACTATTCACTATTGATAACATGTAGGGTGTATCAAGCAAGCGGTTCATCCATATTTTTTTCTGCTTGTGTTCGGTAACCGAACTGAAAAATGCAGCGAATCGATTTCCTGTTAGCAACTGTCGAGCGGCATTACGTTCGAATGACGTCGTTTTTTCAGTCTGCAGGTCAATGAAACATTCACTTAGTGGAATATCGAATGATCGCCAGTTCGCTTTGAGTTTGTTTAAATCGGTTGCAGAAGCTTTGTAAAAATTACGGGCCGTTTCAACAACAATATCCGCTTCCAAAGCAGTTATAGATATGGTGCCGTAAAAAGAACTACACTGCTTTAAGTAAGGCATAATGACGTTAAAATGTTTTTTATGGAGAGAAGTGACATCCATGGATGAGTTCGTGGTTGCGCCATGGTCTACTATGTGTGTGCGTAAGCTCTTCTCTCGCTGATGCATCATCTGTCGAAGTATTTGTAACTCATGGAACGTAGCAATTAGTGCTCGGTTCTTCCGGTTATGATCATTAGTGAGAATAAATTCGATCATTGATAAACGTGACACCATGCTCAGTAACGTACTTCTGATTTGCTGCTGAGTAAATAATGATCTTGACACATCAATCGTCATCATGTCTTCGCTTTGCTTTTTCTTTTCATTGCAGCTTCGTAATACATTGGCGTATTCAATCAGATTTTCCAAAGTGTCACTTAGTGTGTATGCATCAATATTGTGCGTCGAAGCCGTCAACAGATGAATGATAGTTGCCAGTCTGGCTGAAATGAAGTCCCATTCTTCGGTATCAGCAATAAGTATACTAAATGCAAATAGTTCCTCTACGACCTTTTGAACTGATTCAGAGTCCATAGTTGATGGATATGTTTTCCGTTTAGTGCTTCAATTATAGTATACTAAAATTAGTCAATAGAAACAGAGATATATTCAAGATGGTAATGTCTATTAACAATATGTGATTAGTCTTGAGATNGCCAGTCTGGCTGAAATGAAGTCCCATTCTTCGGTATCAGCAATAAGAATACTAAATGTAAATAGTTCCTCTACGACCTTTTGAACTGATTCAGAGTCCATAGTTGATGGATATGTTTTCCGTTTAGTGCTTCAATTATAGTATACTAAAATTAGTCAATAGAAACAGAGATATATTCAAGATGGAAATGTCTATAAACAATATGTGATTAGTCTTGAGATTTTTCTAAAAAAAAGTGAGGGTGTGGATTTTACCTAGAGTTTTTCTTCGTGAAAATAAGCGAATCGCTGACGACATTAGTTTTAACTACATATCCGATTATTACGACGTGAAGAGTAGCTTAAGATGCGATACTTAGGCACTGTATCCTCTCTTCCGTTGTGTAATCTCATCTCGAAATCTGGAGTTCTCTGAGTTCTATCTAAAATACTATTAAATTTATCGTTGATAAGATAGAGATCCACTCTAGCTGTGAGAAGTATCGTGTAACTTTTATAGATAGAAGTTTCTTGTATGGGAACTGCATTTTATGATCGATCGAATAACGCAGCATGGCTTTTCTTTCGTACACTTTTCGTGCCAAACATCGTGAAATGGGCGCGTAAGCTTAAAGGAAATAGCACTGTTCACATAAGACATAGACGAACGACGGTTTGTCTTCCAGTCCCCACGTTCTCTTCCACTTCTTCAACACGAAAATCAGCACCTGGATAAAGCAACACCTCTTCTTCTGTTGGATATGCCGATAGACTGGATATCTCTCTGCCGGGAAATCGCTGTGAGATTTCCCCTTCAAATCGGATAATGAACAGAGTGTTTGCAACAAAAGCTTGAGCTCTGTTTCGGCTTGTCGACGAAAATCCAAGCCAACATCTAACTTGACCGACTGATTCCTTGTATATCTCGATGTCTTCAGGCTTCAAATTCATGCTTCGATAGACAATCTGTTCACCCTTTTTTCTCGTATGAGGTGCGCATAAGTACATATGGACTAAATAACAAAATGGACCCAATGTGTCCACCTTGGTCATATCTTCTTCGCGTAGAACAGCGTTAACTGTCTTGTAAATCCATGTGTCTTCCGTATAAATAATCACACATAATCTTGCTAGTTCGTCGTGAGAAGCACCTTTGGATTTTTCGATACGCTCAAGAATGCGCTTTGTTTGGTCAGTTTTCCCGATTAGTCTAGCTTCTTTTGCAAGACCAGTTGCTAAAAGTTCCACAATGTTTCCTTTGAATTTGTGATTTGGATTTCGACGGATCCATTCAGCGATAAAAGGAGATATATCCACACTAGAACTTTTCATGGATTTAACTTTGGGCTTTTCGGCAACACTGAAACGTTCTAAACGTTTTATTGAGTTTGAATCTTGCAAGCCATTTTGTCGTCTGACCGGCGTCTTACAATTTTTATCATATTTGCTTATTTGTAGTATTGGATCATGCGTAAAGTCGATGTAATAATCACCAATAACGACACGCTCTTGGCGTTCTTGAAACGCATTTTCAATTATATCACTAATGGTAGTTTCGTATGGTGTCCATTCGAGATCTGTTGAGTTGACTGGCTGAAGACTACCGTGCGCACCGAACTGCCATGCAACTACTTGTTTGTACTCATCGACTGTTGCCATTTCTGATTACTGGTAGAAACGAAAAAAAGGCGATGATGTATTTCGTTGTTCGCTAAGTTAATGAACAATATCTTTACCGATGAAACAGTTGCGGGAGCAGCGAAAGATTAACATTTTATTACCCCCGCATGTCTCTCCAATCTGTCGGTATAGCATTTTATATTGAAATACATTATCACTATTTTACTGGTAGTTACATACTGTAAGAGAGATATTATATATAGATATTTGTTCTTTCACTCTGTGATTTCGACCTTATCGATATTTTCTTATTTGCGACGTTACGTTACGATACCGATCTTTATATGATACGAGAACACGAGAGGATCTTCATCTAACAACTTCACTTACTGGTATTTTCTACAACTATTAACTGGAAGATACTATTTCGTTGCCGAGTTCGGTATGTATTTTGACAATCTTTCGGTGACATGCATATCGTTATCAATTCAAGCCTTCTGATTTACTCTAGAAATCTTTCCAGGTTGAATCAGTGGCGCTTTCCTCGTTAAAAAACACGCAATCGTTATAGATTTTTTACCTTTCGAGATGTTTGTCTTGTTTGACGAATGCAATCGAAAGTAAAAAGAAAAAATAAATGCCCAAACATCGACTTTTTTTCTTCCAGCGTAACTTGCTTTTGTTTCTTCAACACTTTCATCTGATGTCATGTCTCTTATCACGAATAATTGCATTGCAACTTTACACAAGAGTTTTGCATTTTTTTTTGTGCGCTGTTTCATGAGTCAGCCGCGTAGGATGCCTTTTAGCAGACCTTGAATACATCGGCAGTGAATGCGATTAGACCAACGCTCTAATCTCGATCATACTGATTCCATGAGCTATTATAAATCAGATAATATGACTGTCATCGATTATACTCATAATATTTCCACATTTCTTCTTTCTCTATACCTTTGTACAATAGCGACACTTCTGAGTGATCAAAGAGGCTCTTCTTTTTCTCTGATTGGTGATTTCGCTTCTAATGTGAATGACTGTCGTTTTCAATCAGAATTAAAATCGATGAAATTTTCGTTTCTCAAAAGCTAAATATACGTAGATGCACAATTCAGTTTGAAATTGAATTAAGGAGCATGGTTGGCATTACTGCACGACGGCATATTGCTTTTCTACCTTTTATTGTTTTCGTATGCTCGTGAAATTTGTACTGTGTGACTCATATTTTATTTTTTTATTAAATGAAAAGTTAAATATTTCAGTAGACATTGAAATGAACGAAGAAAACTTATCATCAGATGATTTATGGTTGAAAATTATCAATGAAGGCGTCGAAGATCGCGTGGAAGTCAATCAACGAATGTTAATTGATAAAATGCTAGCAAGATATTCCTCTGATTTTGTTGTTTATCGTGAATTGATTCAAAATTCTGATGATGCACACGCAACGTCGTTCATTCTTCAAATAAAATGTAACTCAAAAGAAATTCCACAAAATGCAACTGAAAATGATTTTCATAATTGTGAAATAACAGAAATTCGTACGATAAATAACGGAAATACGTTTACCGAAGACGATTGGAAACGCGTGATAACCATCGCTGAAGGCAATACGAATATCGACGCCATTGGACAATTCGGTGTTGGTTTCTTCTCAGTTTTTTCCTATTCAGAAAAGCCAATGATTCAATCTGGCAAACATTGCTTAGCTTTTGTTTGGCAAAATGGTAAATCCTTAACAACATTTCGAAAAGAACTACCGTTCCACGAACGATTAACTTCGGTTATTCTTCCAATGAAAAATAAATACATTCTGCAAGTAATACCCGATGACAACCAAACAACACCTTATTTAAATTTAACACGATTGAAAGCTTTTTTAACCAAAGTTCTCTCATTTACTAAATATATTAATGAAGTTATTATACAAATCAATAGTCTCCATATTTTTCAAGTTAATAAAACAAAGAAACCCTTATCGTCAACGGAATTAACAGAAACAAGTAATCTGCATAGTTTTCTTCGTTTTAAATCATTAACTCAGACGGAGCAAACGTTCAAAATTTTAACCGGCCCATCGATTACCTTGATGCATATAGATGTCGAATCAAAAGTGAAACTTGATGAAGATTTTCATCAACAGATCGAAAATGTCCTCAAAAAACGTTTACCATCGCTTATCCATATTGAACTTCTATTTCCATCGAATCGAGTACGTTCTACTTTATTCGCAAAACTCTCCCACCTGACTTTTTCGTCTTGTAGATGTTCGAAAGCGAACAATGGAGCGATCAAATCTTCAGAGATCTAATTCCGTTGAGACATTCACAGGGAAAATATTCTCCATCAGGACAAATCTTCATTGGTTTAGGAACACATCAATCCACAAGTGTTGGAATGCACATTTATAGCCACTTAGTTCCCACAATCGAACGTGAAAATATCGATTTGCAAGATCCATACATCTCGAAATGGAACCAACAACTTCTTAAATCCATCGGACATATTCTCCGATTAGTTTACGATCAATCAATGCTTGAAATTGTCAATCATCATCCACAGCATCTCTACATCGTTCTTTCGTTGTATGCTTTTCAAACATCTGCACCAAACAAAGCGATAGGTATGAACATACAAAAATATGCAAAGAATTATTTGTTAGGTTTTTAAGGTGAATTTCTTCTCGATGGTTTTCTCGCATCTGATAGAGATCTCCTTGTGCCCATTCGACGATGTCCATCGGATACTCAACTTTCGTTGATTTCATCTCGACAAGCATATGTTAGCAATTCAAAACATATGGAAAACTTTCTGACTATGCCGTTGATTCCGTATACAATTAGCCAAGCCGATTTTATTCAGATATTAAAGCATCATGGTCGAGTTCAGGAGCTACCGACCGAAATAGTTGTCGAAAAGATTCGCGAATCCGTTTTTGTATTCGATGAGTTGGTTGAATTACTTCATTGGTTATGTACGAATGAGGTCGAAGATAAGTCTTATATCAAACAGATCTTTTCGGAAATTTATTATCGTGAAACACCCGAATCCTCGATCATTGAACTAGAAAACGTTCAATTCTACACTGCTTTCAATCTACCCTCAGTCATTCCATTGCCAAAGAACGTCTTGCCATCGAATGTTGGAAATCACATATCTCAAGATGATTTACAACGGAAATTATCACTATCGAAAGTTCCGATGAGAAATTTAATCCACTTTTATCTTCCTGGTAGTCAGCACCATCTATTCGAGAATGAAATTACATCGAAGATTCTTCTCAATTTTTTCTATCAACATTGGACACAATTTCATAACGATGAACTCAATCAAATTAAAGTCATTCTTTCCAAATTGAAATGCATTTCAACAAATCAAGGAATGAAATTGCCTCAAGAATCTTTTATTCCCTCCGCAAATTTATCCGTGCATTTGCCTACTGTGTCTCAAATATTCCCCGATGATAATTCACAATCAGTCGAGTTCCTCAGATCAATCGGATGTCGAACGTTCCACGCAAGTTTCATGGAATCAATGGATCTGACTAATGATGATCAGTCATTGCAAAATTTCATTCAGGATCTATTGAAACAACGGCAAACTATGAGTGATGGAGATATCAACGCTTTGAGAAATATACCTTGCCTTACAGGTAAGATCAATTACTAAAGAGTTCGATAGTATTTGTAATTCATTTAGGAACAACGTTGCAATCCAATGGCGAATTGAAGCGTAAATACAAAGGCAATCAACTTCATTTTCCATCTGTTGCGAAGGACCTTGATTGGCCAGAATTGCTTATTATCGATTGGGTGGGTATAAATCCATTTTCAGAAGAATATATGTTACTGAAAGAGCTTGGCGTTAAAAAAGCACCTGATTTGCACGATCTGATTAGTCGAATTGTACAAGAACACGAGCAGAAATCGAAAGTACAATCTGATTATGAACTGCCATTAGCGTTGATCTACTTTGCAGAAAATTTTCGAAAATATTACTTAGAATCTTGGAAAAGCAATCCAGTTAAAACACCTTTTCTACCCTCCTCGTCGCCGAAAATCGAGCAGTCGTCAGAAGTGATTCTAACAACTCCTGAATCCGTTTTCAAAGGTAAATAGACTTCTTCTACTATGCATATAACTTCTCTTCTTTTTATCATAGAATTAAGTCCATTGTGTCCGTCATTGTTACCCAAAGTCATTCAGTGTTTTTCACATTCTTTTGACACCAGTTTACTTGGAATCAAATCCCGTCCAGATTTGCAAACAGCATTCGATGTACTAATGAATAAACGCGATCAAATCTTGACAGTTGAATCTGCCCCAATATATTTTTCATACTTAAACAAACTCGACGGTCTTAATAAAACATTCATTGAAAAAGTTGCCAGTAATTCTTTTATTCCTCTATCAAATTCTTATTCCAAGCCATCCCAAGTATTCATTCGTTCGAATAACTTATCTCCTGATGACGATGATAAGGCAGCAGCCGGTCTGATTGATTATATTGACTATGGTCCTGAAGCGAATTCATTTCTATTTAGTATTGGAGTTGTTTCGACTCCATCAGCAGAGGTACTCGCCGACTTACTAATCGAACGGCAATCGTCTTACTTCGCACAACCAGACGAAATGCTCAAGACGAAATTACGCGTTTACACCAACTGTTTGAAACAACTAGCAGTGATTCCGAATATCAAAGAAAGATTTCGTTATGAACCATTAAAAAGCCGTTTGATCGATCAGCCATGGTGCTTAGGATATCAGACAATTAAACATTCGGATGGAACGAATGAAAATGTATTTCGAGTGACGAAACCGAGCGAAATTTATCTGGATGATGATCATCAATCTGCGATTGATCTTCGACCGTTGTGTGCACCGGATGAGACAGATCTGATTAAGTTATATGAAGCTTTCGGAGCGAAATGGTTATCTGAATCGATTCTGCGAGCTCTGATGCATACAGGTCGGTTATCTTTTGGATTGAATTGACTTATGAAAATGGACTTTAGGAAAAGTTTTTGCAACTCAACGAAGCAAAACGTTATGTGAATTGATAAATCATCGTCTGGATATGTTATTTGTTAATAAACGAGTAAGATTAATCAGTTATTCCTGCAAAACTGATTGTGGTGCATTCTTAGGGAGAATATTTAGAGAATATTGATGAAAAACATCTCGATTTATTACGAAAGCATTTATCTGTTTATGAAAGTGAAGGAATTCGATGTGAAATCACCTTTGAACATCGAACAATTGCCTTAGATGTAAGATATCCTTCGTACGCATGCGCATTCCTAGTTTTTCTTTCAAGTCGACGGATTGTAGTTCGTGTGTCCTGGAACATGACAAAAACCAGGTCAATCTATACATTCATCGAGATCTTTCAACACTTGATTACATTGATATTGCCAGTGAACTAATTCGATTCGTTCATCGAAAACCACTTGAAACGTTAGTGCATTCGATTAGTGATAAACTGTCATCGCCTTTAGAGACACTGAAACGACGTGGAATACCTGTGGACAGATTACTGAAGCAGAAACGTAAGTGTCCTACTATCCTAACTCACAATTCGTTTGATTTTTTCCCTTTAGCTACGAAATTAGTCGTACGAAATGAACAGATCAAGCCGCAGCCTAATGTACAAAATCAATCCTGGAAATTCGATCCTTATTATCAAGAAACAATCGAAAAAGCATCCAATGAGTTTGTTCAAAGTTTAAAAGAGTAAATCATCTATCGTCTGACATCTGTATGCAAAATTGCCATGTTTAGTTTCTTCTCTCCGACCATTGAAAAGCATTCGAGTAATATCGAACGAACTGGTATATCCGATTTCGGGGAGAGTCCAATTGATGTCGATCAACTGACGCAAACAGGTCGATCATATTCTGAAAATGAATTTCAACACTCGGAATATTCGAAATACGAAAGTAACAATCTATGCGAATACGTTCCATCCTCAAATATGATCCGTCATCCGATCCTCTTTCATAACATTCCGCTCTACATCGATAAAACTGTTCACGTAACAGATCTAATGATCGAACAAGGTGAACAATTCGCGTACATCTTGTCTTCACTTGCTCAACAAGTCTTTCACATGTCCGTATCGGTAGTTCATCTTTTCCGTGATATTAATAGTGGTAAGACAGATTTCTCATTTGGTTTGATGACTCCGTTTTCTGTTTAGCACGCATTGCGTTCAACAATAATGGTGCATTGTTTTTCAATCTTCGCTACTTTGAACAAGTCTTCGCTAGTGACTTAGCGAAAAATCATTCAGTCATCCGTCCGATAATGAATTTTTATTTTCTGATTTTTTGTCATGAACTAACACATAACATTCACGTCAACCATGATCTAAATTTTCTACATTATTTTCAACGGGTCATTGTCAAATTTATGGACGACAAAGAAAGTTTCCTATCATCATTTTCTTTTCTTTCTAAACAAAGCCAATAAAACTGTTTATTCAGGGAATCATCGATCGATATTACATTCGCGAATCTCTCGTTTCCGGCGACGGTGGTGCTGTTAAGATTGATTCTTTCACCGCATCTTCAGCAGTTATATGTCCTGGAGGTAACGGACTGGGATCAGTGTCCGTTCGTTTCGGTCCAGCAAACGAGTGTCGGGCAGAGAATATCCAGTACAATGAAGCAATAATGGCAACACCACCGATGACCGCAACCGCGTAATTCATATTCTTTTTCGTTATCGGATAATTTGCCGGAAAAAGCATGATAGTGGACGTGATTGTCAACCAAATCGATGAAATGATGGCGATGGGCACACCGAATCGACCGAGATTGAATTCGCCACGAGGGAATTTCTTTCGCGCAGATGTACATCGGAGGAAAATAGGAATTAGATACGAAACTTGATAACCAAGCGTAGCAATCGCGATGATTGCAGCGAATGCAGTTGTGGACAATAGTTGAAGTAAGAGAAGAGTTGAATCGATCAGAAAAACGAATAGAACATTCCCCAAAGGTGTTTTCGTTGGTTTGAATATCCATCGAAGGTAGCGTGAGAATGGGAAAACACCATCACGAGCCATCGCAAAACTATAACACGAATCAGAAGTGAAAAACTTTCTTTCNGCCAGTCTGGCTGAAATGAAGTCCCATTCTTCGGTATCAGCAATAAGTATACTAAATGCAAATAGTTCCTCTACGACCTTTTGAACTGATTCAGAGTCCATAGTTGATGGATATGTTTTCCGTTTAGTGCTTCAATTATAGTATACTAAAATTAGTCAATAGAAACAGAGATATATTCAAGATGGTAATGTCTATTAACAATATGTGATTAGTCTTGAGATTTTTCTAAAAAAAAGTGAGGGTGTGGATTTTACCTAGAGTTTTTCTTCGTGAAAATAAGCGAATCGCTAACGATATTAGTTTTAACTACATATCCAATTATTACGACGTGAAGAGTAGCTTAAGGTGCGATACTTAGGCACTGTATCCTCTCTTCTGTTGTGTAATCTCATCTTGGGATCTGGAGCTCTCTTAGTTCTATCTAAAATACTATTAAATTTATCGTTGATAAGATAGAGATCTACTCTAGCTATAAAAAGTATCGTGCAACTTTTATAGATAGAAATTCCTTGTGTGGGAACTACATTTTATGATCGATCGAATAGCGCGGCATGGTTTTTCTTTCGTACACTTTTCATCTCAAACACCGTGAAATGGGCGCGTAAGCTTAAATGAAATAGCACTGTTCACATAAGACATAGACGAACGATGGTTTGTCTTCCAGTCCCCACGTTCTCTTCCACTTCTTCAACGCGAAAATCAGCACCTGGATAAAGCAACACCTCTTCTTCTGTTGGATATGTCGATAGGTTGGATATTTCTCTGCCGGGAAATCGCTGTGAGATTTCTCCTTCAAATCGGATAATGAACAGAGTGTTTGCAACGAAAGCTTGAGCTCTGTTTCGACTTGTCGACGAAAATCCAAGCCAACATCTAACTTGACCGACTGATTCCTTGTATATTTCGATGTCTTCAGGCTTCAAATTCATGCTTCGATAGACAATCTGTTCACCCTTTTTTCTCGTATGAGGTGCGCATAAGTACATATGGACTAAATAACAAAATGGACCCAATGTGTCCACTTTGGTCATATCCTCTTCGCGTAGAACAGCGTTAACCGTCTTGTAAATCCACGTGTCTTCCGTATAAATAATCACACATAACTTTGCTAGTTCATCGTGAGAAGCACCTTTGGATTTTTGGATACGTTCAAGAATGTACTTTGTTTGGTCAATTTTTCCGATTAGTCTAGCTTCTTCTGCAAGGCCAGTTGCTAAAAGTTCCACAATGTTTCCTTTGAATTTGTGATTTGGATTTCGACGGATCCATTCAGCAATAAAAGGGGATATATCCACACTAGAACTTTTCATGGATTTAACTTTGGGCTTTTCGGCAACACTGAAACGTTCTAGACGTTTTATTGAGTTCGAATCTTGCAAGCCATTTTGTCGTCTGACCGGCGTCTTACAATTTTTATCATATTTGCTTATTTGTAGTATTGGGTCATGCGTAAAGTCGATGTAATAATCACCAATAACGACACGCTCTTGGCGTTCTTGAAATGCATTTTCAATTATATCACTAATAGTGGTTTCGTATGGTGTCCATTCGAGATCTGCTGAGTTGGCTGGCTGAAGACTACCGTTTGCACCGAACTGCCATGCAACTACTGGTTTGTACTCATCGACTGTTGCCATTTCTGATTACTGGTAGAAACGAAAAAAAGGCGATGATGTATTTCATTCTACGCTAAGTTAATTAACAATATCTTTACCGATGAAACAGTTGGGAACAACGAAAGATTAGCATTTTATTACCGCCGCATGTCTCTCAAATCTGTCGGCATACCGTTTTATATTGAAATACATTATCACTATTCTATTTGTAGTTACATACTGTGAGAGAGATATTATATATGGATATTTGTTCTTTCATTCTATGAATTCGATCTTATCGATATTTTTTCTTATTTGCGACGTTACGTTACAGTACCGATCTTTATATGATACGAGAACACGATAGGAACTTCATCTAACAACTTCACTTACTGGTATTTTCTACAAGTATTAACTAGAATATACTATTTCGTTGCCGAGTTCGGTATGTATTTAGTCAAAATTCAACAATCTTTCGGTGACGTGCATATCGTTATCAATCCAAGCTTTCTGATTTACTCTGGAAATCTTTCCAGGTTGAATCAGTGGTGCTTTCCTCGTTAAAAAACACACAATCGTCATAGATTTTTTTACCTTTCGAGATGTTTGTCTTGTTTGACGAATGCAATCGAAAGTAAAAAAGAAAAATAAATGTGCAAACATCGACTTTTTTTCTTCCAGCGTAACTTGCTTTTGTTTCTTCAACGCTTTCATCTGATGTCATGTCTCTTATCACGAATAATTACATTGCAACGTTACACAAGAGTTTTGTATTTTTTTGTGCGCTGTTTATGAGTCAGTCGCGTAGGATGTCTTTTACCAGATCTTGAACACATCGATAGTGAATATGCAATTAGACGAGCGTTCTAATTTTGATCATACTGATTCCAAGAGCGATTATAAATCAGATAATATGACTGTCATCGATTATACTCATAATATTTCCACATTCCTTTTCTCTCTATACCTTTGTACAATAGCGACATTTCTGAGTGAATCGATATGCATACCCCTATTCTATTCTGTGTACATCAAAGAGGCTTTTCTTTTTCTTTGATTGGTGATTTCGCTTCTAATGTGAATGACTGTCGTTTTAAAACAGAATTAAAATCGATGAATTTTTCTTTTGTCAAAAGCTAAAATATAAGTAGAAGCTCAGTTGAATTGAGCAACATGGTTGGTATTACTGCACAACAGTTGCGATGATATTGGGCAATCCGGCGTGAATTTTGCTTTACGTTTTGCCGACTTCAAGTGCTCGTGAATTTTTGTACGGTGTGACTCATATTTTATTTACATCAAACGAAAAGTTGAATATTTCAGTAGATGTTAAAATGGCCGACGAAATGAATGAAGAAAATTTATCATCAGATGATCTATGGTTGAAGATTATCAATGAAGGTGTCGAAGATCGTGTCGAAGTCAATCAACGAATGTTAATTGATAAAATGCTAGCAAGATATTCCTCTGATTTTGTTGTTTATCGTGAATTGATTCAAAATTCTGACGATGCACACGCAACTTCGTTCATTCTTCAAATAAAATGTAACTCAAAAGAAATTCAACAAAATGCAACTGAAAATGATTTTCATAATTGTGAAATAACAGAAATTCGTACGATAAATAACGGAAATACATTTACCGAAGACGATTGGAAACGCGTGATAACCATCGCTGAAGGAAATACGAACATCGACGCCATTGGACAATTCGGTGTTGGTTTCTTCTCAGTTTTTTCCTATTCAGAAAAGCCAATGATTCAATCCGGCAAACATTACTTAGCTTTTGTTTGGCAAAACGGTAAATCCTTAACAACATTTCGAAAAGAACTACCGTTCCACGAACGATTAACTTCGGTTATTCTTCCAATGAAAAATAAATACATTCTACAAGCAATACCCGATGACAACCAAACAACACCTTATTTAAATTTAACACGATTGAAAGCTTTTTTAACTAAAGTTCTCTCATTTACTAAATATATTAATGAAGTTATTATACAAATCAATAGTCTCCATATTTTTCAAGTTAATAAAACAAAGAAACCCTTATCGTCAATGAAATTAACAGAAACAAGTAATCTGCATAGTTTTCTTCGTTTTAAATCATTAACTCAAACGGAACAAACGTTCAAAATTTTAAGAGGCCCATCGATTACCTTGATTCATATTGATGTCGAATCAAAAGTGAAACTTGATGAAGATTTTCATCAACATATCGAAAATGTCCTCAAAAAACGTTTACCATCGCTTATCCATATTGAACTTCTATTTCCATCGAATCGAGTACGTTCTACTTTATTCGCAAAACTCTCTCACCTGACTTTTTCGTCTTGCAGATATTCGAAAGCGAACAATGGAACGATCAAGTCTTCAGAGATCTAATTCCATTGAGACATTCACAGGGAAAATATTCTCCATCAGGACAAATCTTCATTGGTTTAGGAACACATCAATCCACAGGTGTTGGAATGCACATTTACAGCCATTTAGTTCCCACAATTGAACGCGAAAATATCGATTTGCAAGATCCATACATCTCGAAATGGAACGAACAACTTCTTAAATCCATCGGACATATTCTTCGATTAGTTTACGATCAAACAATGCTTGAAATTGTCAATCACCATCCACAGCATCTCTACACCATTCTTTCGTTGTATGCTTTTCAAACATCTGCACCGAACAAAGCGATAGGTATGAAACATACAAAAATATGCAAAGAATTATTTGTTGGTTTTTGTTTAGGTGAATTTCTTCTCGGTGGTTTTCTTGCATCTGATAGAGATCTCCTTGTGCCCATTCGACGATGTCCATCGGATACTCAATTTTCGTTGATTTCATCTCGACAAGCATATGTTAGCAATTCAAAATATATGGAAAACTTTCTGACTATGCCATTAATTCCATATGCAATTAGCCAAGCCGATTTTATTCAGATATTAAAGCATCATGGTCGAGTTCAGGAGCTATCGACTGAAATAGTTGTCGAAAAGATTCGCGAATCCATTTTTGTATTCGATGAGTTGATTGAATTACTTCATTGGTTATGTACGAATGATATCGAAGATAAATCTTATATCAAACAGATCTTTTCGGAAATTTATTATCGTGAAACACTCGAATCCTCGATCATTGAGTTGAAAAACGTTCAATTCTACTCTGCTTTCCATCTTCCGTCCTTCATTCCATTGCCCACGAACATCTTGCCATCGAATGTTGGAAATCACATATCCCACGATGATTTACAGCGAAAATTATCACTATCGAAAGTTCCGATGAGAAATTTAATTCATTTTTATCTTCTTGGTAATCAGCATTATCTATTCGAGAATGAAATTACATCGAAGATCCTTCTGAATTTTCTCTATCAATATTGGACACAATTTCATAATGACGAACTCAATCAAATTAAAGCCGTTCTTTCCAAATTGAAATGCATTTCAACAAATCAAGGAATGAAATTGCCTCAAGAATCTTTTATTCCCTCCGCAAATTTATCCGCGCATTTGCCTACCGTGTCTCAAATATTCCCCGATGATAATTCACAATCAGTCGAGTTTCTCAGATCAATCGGATGTCGAACGTTTCACGCAAGTTTCATGGAATCAATGGATCCAACTAATAATGATCAGTCATTGCAACATTTCGTTCAGGATCTATTGAAACAACGGGAGACTATGAGTGATGGAGATATTAACGCTTTGAGAAATATACCTTGCCTTACAGGTAAGATCAATTACTAAACAGTTCGATAGTATTCGCAATTTATTTAGGAACAACGTTGCAATCCAATGGCAAACTGAAACGTAAATGTAAAGGAAATCAACTTCATTTTCCATCCGTAGCGAAAGATCTTCACTGGCAAGAACTGTTGATTATCGATTGGGTGGATATAAATCCATTCTCACAAGAATGTATGCTTCTCAAAGAGCTTGGCGTTAGAGAGGCACCTGATTTGCCCACCCTGCTGAGTCGAATTGTGCAAGAACATGAGCAGAAATCGAAAATTGAATCGGATTATGAATTACCAGTGGCATTGATCTACTTTGCAGAAAATTTTCGAAAATATTACTTAGAATCTTGGAAAAGCAATCAAGTTAAAACACCTTTTCTACCCTCCTCGCCACCCAAAATCGAACAATCGTCGGAAGTAATTCTGACAACTCCTCAATCCGTTTTCAAAGGTAAATTTCCTTCACTAATCATGCAGCTTATCTTATTTATGTCATAGAATTGAACCCATTGTGCCCATCATTACTACCCAAAGTCATGCGGTGCTTCTCACATTGTTTTGATATCAGTTTACTTGGAATCAAATCACGTCCAGATTTACAAACAGCATTTGACGTTCTCATGGATAAACGTGATCGAATCTTAACAGTTGAATCTGCTCCAATCTATTTTTCGTACTTAAACAAACTCGAAGGTCTTAACAGAACATTCACGGAAAAAGCTGCGAGTAAATTCTTCATACCTTTATCAAATTCGTATTCCAAACCATCCCAAGTATTCATTCGTTCGAGTAACATACCTCTCGATGATGATGATAAGGCAGCCGCGGGTCTAATTGATTATATTGACTATGGTCCTGAAGCGAATTCCTTTCTTTTCAGCATTGGAGTTGTTTCGTTTCCATCAGTTGAGACACTCGCCGATTTACTGATCGAACGACAATCGTCTTACTTCGCGCGACCAAACGAAATGCTCAAGGCGAAACTACGCGTTTATATCAATTGTTTGAAACAACTAGCAGCGATTCCGAATATCAAAGAAAGATTTCGTGATGAACCATTGAAAAGTCGTTTGATCGATCAACCGTGGTGCCTAGGATATCAAACAATTAAACATTCGGATGGAACGAATGAGAACATATTTCGAGTAACAAAACCAAGTGAGATTTACCTCGATGATGATCATCAATCCGCGATTGATCTCCGACCATTGTGTGCACCGGATGAGTCAGATTTGGTTAGGTTATATGAAGCTTTCGGAGCGAAATGGTTATCGGAATCGATTGAGCGAACTCTGATGCATACAGGTAGGTTGGCTTTGGATTGAATTTATTTATGAAAGTGGCCGTTTAGGGAAAGTTTCTACGACTCAACGAAGCAAAATGTTATGTGAATTGATTGATCATCGTCTGGATATGTTATTTGTCAATAAACGAGTAAGATTAACCAGGTATTCTCACAAAACAGCTTATTTTGTGTTCTTAGGGTGAATATTTAGAAAATATCGATGAAAAACGCCTCGATTTGTTACGAAAGCATTTATCTGTTTATGAAAGCGAAGGAATTCAATGTAAAATCACTTTTGAACGTCGAACAATCGTCTTAGATGTAAGATACCCTTCCCACCCACATTCCTATTTTTCCTTTCAAGTCAACCGATTGTAGTTCGTGTGTTCTGGAACATGACAAAAGCCAAGTCAATCTGTACATTCATCGAGATCTCCCAACACTTGATTATATCGATATTGCCAGCGAATTAATTCGATTTGTTCATAAAAAACCACTGGAAACGTTAGTGCATTCGATTAGTGATAAACTCTCATCGCCTTTAGAAACACTCAAACGACGTGGAATACCGGTGGATAGATTACTAAAGCAGAGACGTAAGTTTCCTACTGTTCTAACTCACAATTCATCGATGTTCTCTCCCTTCAGCCACGAAATTAGTCGTACGAAATGAACCGATCAAACCTCAGTCGAATATACAAAATCAATCGTGGAAATTCGATCCGTACTATCAAGAAACATTCGAAAAAGCATCCAATGAGTTTGTTCAAAGTTTAAAAGAGTAAATCATCTATCGCGTCTGACATCTGTATGCAAAATTGCCATGTTTAGTTTCTTCTCTCCGACCATTGAAAAGCATTCGAGTAATATCGAACGAACTGGTATATCCGATTTCGGGGAGAGTCCAATCGATGTCGATCAACTGACACAACCAGGTCGATCATATTCTGAAAATGAATTTCAGCACCCGGAATATTCGAAATACGAAAATAATAATCTATGCGAATACGTTCCACCCTCAAATATGATCCGTCATCCGATCCTCTTTCATAACATTGCGCTCTACATCGATAAAAATGTTCACGTAACAGATCTGATGATCAAACAAGGTGAACAATTCGCGTATATCTTGTCTTCGCTTGCTCAACAAGTCTTTCACATGTCCGTATCGGTAGTTCATCTTTTCCGTGATATAAATAGTGGTAAGACAGATTTCTCATTTGGTTTAATGACTTCGTTTTCTGTTTAGCACGCATTGCGTTCAATAATAATGGTGCATTGTTTTTCAATCTTCGCTACTTCGAACAAGTCTTCGCTAGTGACTTGGCGAAAAATCATTCAGTCATTCGTCCGATAATGAATTTTTATTTTCTGATTTTTTGTCATGAACTAACACATAACATTCACGTCAATCATGATCTAAATTTTCTACATTATTTTCAGCGGGTCATTGTCAAATTTATGGACGACAAAGAAAATTTCCTATCAACATTTTCTTTTCTTTCTAAACAAAGCTAATAAAAATGTTTATTCATGGAATCATCGATCGATATTACATTCGCGAATCTCTCGTTTCTGGCGACGGTGGTGCTGTTAAGATTGATTCTTTCACCGCATCTTCAGCAGTTATATGTCCTGGAGGCAATGGACTGGGATCGGTGTCCGTTCGTTTCGGTCCAGCAAACGAGTGTCGGGCAGAGAATATCCAGTACAATGAAGCGATAATGGCAACACCACCGATGACCACAACCGCGTAATTCATGTTCTCTTTCGTTATCGGATAATTTGCCGGAAAAAGCATGATAGTGGACGTGACTGCCAACCAAATCGATGAAATGATGGCGATGGGCACACCGAATCGACCGAGATTGAATTCTCCACGAGGAAATTTCTTTCGCGCAGATGTACATCGGAGGAAAATAGGAATTAGATATGAAACTTGGTAACCAAGCGTAGCAATCGCGATGATTGCAGCGAATGCAGTTGTGGACAATAGTTGAAGTAAAAGAAGAGTTGAATCGATCAGAAAAACGAATAGAACATTCCCCAAAGGTGTTTTCGTTGGTTTGAATATCCATCGAAGGTAGCGTGAGAATGGGAAAACACCATCACGAGCCATCGCAAAACTATAACACGAATCAGAAGTGAAAAACTTTCTTTCGAAGGAAAAGATTTTACCCAATCCGACTTGTCACCGTCATTCCTGACATTCCTCCGAAATGAAGATTTATAATAAGTAAAATAGTCAGTGCTAGAGCACCTTTATGTGGTACTGCTAATCGATAAACAGCGATAGATAAGTTCATTTCATCATAATTATTTACTTCCATGAAGTTTGTTACATTTGGAATAGCGAAAAGAAGAGCGAGTAAATAGACAAAACCAACGATTGCACTGCAAATACATGTACCAACGATACCATGAGGAGCTGGAAAAATTTAATAGAAATTATTGATGATTTACAACTCAATAGTTCGAATGTTTACCTGCCTTTCCAGCACTTCGAGTTTCTTCAGCTAAGTGTGCACCCGCTGAAAGAAATAAGCAACAAAAAAAGATTAATAAATGTCCAATGTTGGATATCAATGCATATACCTTCGTAACCAGAAAATGAAAAAAGTGTGGATAGAATACTGATAAAGCACACATAGATGAACGGAAAACCAGTTTCGTTATAAGTTGACGTAAATACATCAGAAATCGTTGCTCGTTGTGGAGTCATGAGAAAAAGAACAAGCACTGTACCTATTGTCGAACAAATTTGTATAAATGTCGCTATATTATTCAGCCATCCTTGTTGATCGATCCGAAGTGCGTTTTGCACAGCCCAGATAAATGTAATTCCAACACTAATACCTACTTGAATATGAATACTCAACGGTTGTTTACCATCAAGTACAAATGCGGCATTAATGATTGAGGCAAAACCTGATGAAAAAGCCGCATCACCTATTCACAGTCGATTTTATCTAGTTGAGAATTCGATAGGTTCAACTTGCCCGCGACATTGCCAACAAAATTAAACCATCCACAAATGAATGAAGCCAGAGGCGCATGACGAGGTGAAACAAGTTGACCCGCCCTTGAAAAAGCAAACGATCAAATCCATTCAGCGATTTACAAGATCATACCAATAATAAACGGAGCCAGCGCTCGGATACACCGAACAGATTTCTGCTAACGAGAGGCCAATAAGAATTGTAAAGAATGACCCGAAAATCCACGACCAAATGATAACACCTGATCCGCCTGTTATCAGCGCATAAGTGAAACCAATTGAAATTGATGTTAGAACATTGACTGTTGTGAAACAAAAAGCAAAGGACATAAATGGTGAGAACCCACGATAGAGTTCCTGCGTATATCCCAACTCTTGAAGAGTATCTGTATCCGAATCAACTTCACTCTGTTTACTCATGAAGAATTCAATATGAAATCGATGTAACTAGAATAGAAAGAAGAAGAGTCTTGTATTTGCAATAAGACTACCATATTCAGTTTAATCCATCGATTGTATGCAGAACGATTAAATATTGGTATGTAGATTTGTCTTTATTAAATTCGTCTAATCATTATTTTATTCAAAGATTTACATACGAGGGATGATTGACAGAACAGATGAAATAAAATACAAGGCCGAAGCTGTGTTACTTTCTTTTTCCACGCGCACACCTTCTTGGGATCTGATCATTATGCATAGTCTTTATTTTGAAACAAAATAACAAACATGTCGTACAGTAGAAAGACATTTTGGAATAGCTCATAATTTCCTTGTTTTGCAGTTTGAAATACAAAAGTTCACTAAGCGGATAGAATTCTGGTCCAAGAAGTTTTAAATCAGTTATTAGATCACGTACTATTGCGTTATCTCACTCTCAAGATTGCAGGACAGTACATGTAAAGACTCAGTTTTTCTTTATGATCGCATAATTCGCATCTTCTTATGTTTCAACATTGTTTTATACTGTTTTCAACAGAAAATAGTTTGTACGATATATTTATAAGCATATCAACGTGTACTTCTACGCTTTGTTTAATCTTGGACAGAAATTGAAGGTTATCGCACGTATTGTACTCAGTAATAAAAGCAATCCATGTGAAACTCGGTTAATTATTTCTAATACAATTCAATACTTGTCTCTTCCGCTTCATGTTATAGAAAAAACTTTAAAGAGTGTAAGTAAATATCACTGTTGAATGGAAGAATAATACAGAAACAATCAGTTCGTATACATTCAAAAATATTAGTGTTCATCTTTTAAGGATTCCATGTATCAACCGTTGCTTCCGGTGCCGGATCCCAGGTTTCTACTGCTGCTTCGGGTGCTGGATTCCATGTTTCCACTGCTGCTTCGGGTGCTGGATTCCATGTTTCCACTGCTGCTTCCGGTGCTGGATTCCATGTTTCCACAGATGGTTCAGGAGCTGGATTCCATGTCTGCACAGTTGGTTCAGGTGCTGGATTCCATGTTTCCACAGATGGTTCAGGAGCTGGATTCCATGTCTGCACAGTTGGTTCAGGTGCTGGATTCCATGTTTCTACAGTTGGTTCAGGAGCTGGATTCCATGTCTGCACAGTTGGTTCAGGTGCTGGATTCCATGTTTCTACAGTTGGTTCAGGTGCTGGATTCCATGTCTGCACAGTTGGTTCAGGTGCTGGATTCCATGTTTCTACAGTTGGTTCAGGTGCTGGATTCCATGTCTGCACAGTTGGTTCAGGTGCTGGTTGAATATATTTTACAGTCGGTTGAGGCTGCGGAGCTGGAGACACTACAACAACTGGCGTTGGATCTGGTTTTCTTTGTGGTTGAATTCGATTAACTGGAGTTGGTGGTGGACGAGCTGGCCCTCGATTTTGTTGTGTACGCACAACAGTTGTTGATTCAATTCTTCTTACAACAACGGGTGTTTGTCTAGTCGTCGGCTGCGAAACAGTCGGTGCTCGATATTGATTATTGTCGTCAACACGAATAACTGCAGGTTGTTGATGCACTGTTCCTGGTTGAATAACTTGTGCTTTCACTTTATTATCGGGTTTACATCCACAACTTTCTTGACATTCTTCAGGACAACAACAACAGCAGCAACAACAACAGCAACACTCTTTACACATCTAGAATTCCGAGAAATGCAATCAATAATTAAATTAACTAAACGGAAAGACCGAAGAAAAGTTATCGAAATGAAATAATTAACTGGCGATGAAATAGTTGAAGATATTTTATTCTTATTTATAGTGCTCGTCGTTCTCAATGAATTTCAACGAGAAAGAAATGCAAACAATTCGTTGTCAACAGAAAAAGAAGTAACTCTGTATTGTAGGCGTAATGAAAAAAAAGACTTTTCACGATGCCTTAAAACATTTTAAGTAACAAAAAGGAGAAAAAATCACCATTTCTGACGTTGATTTGACGTCAGATGAAATGCTTGATTCGTTTTTGTTCTCTTTTTTTTAGTATAATATATCTCTCCCCCTTCTCCATCAAGAAAGAAACACGTTGAAGATTTTCTTATCCAAAAAGCAAAACTTTTCTTTTGTTCATTGATTATTTTAACCATAGTGTAAATCACTGTATGCAAGTGTGTGATTATGTCGAAGAGAACATCGAAGTTTATTTGTTTTACGAAATATAATCATCGCGTAGGAGTATACGTTCGAGTAAAAAACGCGATTTTTGAAGAAGAGAATAATTCGTAACGAAAGCGAGTACTGTTCACCAAATCCTATTCAAAAAAGTTATAGTAAAATCGTTGTCACAAGGCAATTCAGATTAAAACTAATAGAATAAATCGAAGGATTTGTTATGCAAGTAGTTCAATCTAAAGTAACTTCACTACATGAAATTACATGTTGGTATCGAGAAACATTTGTTTTTACTGTTCTCTTTCTTGTTTAAACAGGAGGAAAGCCGTTGTTCTCTACTCGTTCTGTTGACTGTTTCTTCGATGTTGTTAGACATATTTGTATTCTACTACTAAATTGGAAGTTTTACATAATTTATACATTAGAAATATCAGCATTTGAAATCTAATTACGAAGTGTTTATTAATCGTATATTTTTTACATAGTCAGGCGAGTTGCCAATATGAATAAAAACATTTCGTTTATCGTTCTTATCATTTTGCATTGCATGCAGTTCTTTATCAACATTTATATCACTTCTCTTGCTTCATTTCTACGCAATAAGCATGACAACGACGTTTCTCGACCAGTCCACCGACGGAGACTCAAGAAAAGATGCGGAAAACACGTCAGAAACATTGTCGAACTTAATTGAAAATACAGATTATGGTATCTTACGTAAAACTCCAAACTATGATGTCAAAATCCAACGTCAGAGGACTCATGCAAGACCACCTGGGGAAGGTCGACCAGTTTTCATCATCTGTTGTTACGATCCACGAACAGATCCTGCTGCTGAACTTGTACTCAAGCATATTAACTGTCAGTATACTCATCGATCAACTAGGAAACGATCTCTGCCGTTCTTTTAGATGCTGGTTTATTTCTTCAAGTACGTGTTGCCGGTGGTCGTGCGATAGATGCTCTACGGTCTTTGATAACAGCACATTATATGTTCCATCTTGAAGTTATAGCTGTTGTTCATCATACTTTCTGCGGATGCACGTCTTTTACTCTTTCAACGATTAGTGAAACTTTGGCCAAAGAAGATAACATTCATATAAATGAAGAAATATTGAATGGTGAATGCATCAAAGCATTGACAATTGAAAATCTAAATAAAAGCGTCAAGGACGATATGAAATTGATTAGAGAACGAGTGGCCAGTCCCAACGCAAAAATTTTAGGTTTTGTATTCGACATTAGGACAGGTGAATTGATTCCAATTGAATAAATATAAAGAAATCATGTAAATAATTTTACTCAGAGAATATCAAGAAAAGTTGTATGATGTTTCCATTAAATAGAAATCAAATTTAATCCATTATTAGCAATGTTTTTCGAAAAATTGAAGTTTATTATAAAATACTCTAAACAGATGTTTATTCAATCAAAAGTGTTTGAACGTATGATAAGTTTTGAAATAGACAAGTATATACATATAATCCAACATCACATTCGTCGTACTAATTTCTTGCGTAATTAACCGATTTTGTGTACTCTTTTTTTTGTACGAGAGCATACATAACATTTCCTCTGCACAGCAGCTTTTGAGACAGTATGAAGAACAAACAATAGAAAATATTCCGCAGATTAAATGTAGTGGAGAGTCATTTGCTAGTTTCACGATAGAAATTCGTTTTAGGTTACACTATAATTCAATCAAATAGTTAATGTTCAAGGGGCAAAACAATTGATAGTTCGCTGGAATATCGCATAAGTAAAGGGTTTGCTGAAATTTGCAAAATCAATAAACATGCTCAATGTAATCCCATCTTGTTTCTCTAGCCACATGGGTTCAATCTAAATATGAGAAAATGAAATGAAATTAGTTTTCTTATTTGATAATTTCTTTATATGTTTACGATATAGATGCGTTAACGAATTGGATTCATTGATTTTATCTCGAGTAATTATCGAAGGATACGTGATTGATGGGATAGTCATTCAATCATTGAGTATAAAATAGGGTAGATGTGAAAATGTGTTTCTTTTTTTCTGTTGTTTACTGATGAAGTTAGTTTTTATATTCATTTTTGTAATTGAATAGATGATCATCAAACGAAATGTCATTCATTCGATATTGTAACTTTGAGAAGACTTGTTGTGAAGTGACTTAATCATCTTACATTTATCTTTTCCCTTTTAAAACTGATTCTGATTGAATAGATAATATAGAGGAGCGAAAGTAACGGAGAAAATGGTGCTCTTTTTGCACTTTTAATCTTCCTCTTTCAAAAGTAATTCAAACTAGATCAAAATAATCTATAGATAACAGGAAAATAGCAAATTTCCCTGATTTCCATTCTTCCTATCTTCTTTATTGGAATGAGGCGTAGAAGAACACAAATTACATATCAGAGACCGGCGGGACCATGATTTTTTCGTCCCGTCCCGTCCCGCCCTATAGACTTGCTGTCCCGTCCCGTCCCGTGTCCCGCGCTCTCTCTGGCATTCGGTCCCGTCCCGTCCCGCCAACTACCAGCTTATCCCGTCCCGTCCCGTCCCGTCCCGCGTCTATAAAAACTGCCCATCAAGTTATTTTTATATTGTAAACAAGGAAGTATTTTTTTATGGTTTATTTTTAGAGAAATAATCTAGTTAAAAAAAAAGTTCACGTGAATAGAGTTCAGTTCATAACATGATAACCATTTGATAGAATTGAACGAATAAATAAAATATTATCTACTTGAGATGGAGAAAGGTTCGTTCGACGTTCATTAACTATTTGTCCACCACCACTAAAACTTCGTTCCACTGAAGCAGTTGTTGCAGGAATTGAATGAAGACGACGAGCAAGAACGGACAGAGTTGGAAACGTTTTATCATGTTGTTTCCAAAATATTAACGGATCATCTTGAATCTTTTCAAGATCGAGACGCATAGAAAGATATTTATCGAGTCGTTCTTCTTCTTCTCGATCGTCATATTCATCAGAAATATTTCCGGATTCAAATTGATGGCCAAAACGTTTCTGTTTCTTCTTCGGTGGTAATTTTGGATCATTAGTCGATGTGGATGAAATGGAAGAATCGTTTTTCATTTGATATGAAACTGAACGCATTTCTTTTTGAATATACTCTTTGCACTTTTTTATTTCTTGACTTGTGCATGCTTTTAAATGTCTATAACGTGGATGCAACATTGCCGCAGCAAAATGTTCTACCTTCAGTTCGATCATCGTTTCCAAAAGATGGTTAATTCGTGTGCGAAAAAATAACATTCCTAGAAACAGTTAGTGTTCAAATCAATGCAGTCACCTTTAGAAAACAATGTTCTTACCATCCGATTCAAAATCGTCATCATCCTCATCAGAATCACCACCGTTAACATTATGAGATTTTTCGTAAGCAATCAAAGATGACATTGATTCCAAAGAAGCACGAAGAGTAAGAAGAGATATGAGAACGCAGTGAAAGGATGGTTCACAACCTTTTTGAATGATTTGAATGATAAATTTAAATGGACGAAGGAGACGAACTAATGAACGAACAATATCCATATTGATATTAAATTTCTTTTTTCCCAGCAATACCCTCCCAATAATATTTGACGATTTTTCAATTGATTCGAGAAGTTCAATTAATGACAACCATCGAACATTTGTCGATTGTTTTAATGCATAACCACCTGCTTCTTTTATTTTCTGATTTATTCCATTCTACAGAGAAAAACTAAATGTGATATGATCATATAAATAATTAACTTACCTTCTTCACGTATCTCACCAGGTTTTTACATTCAATAATTGTCTTTAAAACGTTTAAGGCATCTTCAGGAATTCCCTCATCTGCTGCTTTTGAATACGAAGATTCATCATCATCATCGTCACTTCCATCACCATCACTTTCTTCTCCTACAACACTCTGATTGACTTGATTTGATACATTGGAATTGTACTTATTTTTATTCAAATTGTTCTGATAAAAAGCACGCTTGAGGATATTATTTAATCGATGCGCAAGACAGAAGAAGGATCGATATGGTTTTAACGCTTTGACGAAATTTGATCCTCGATCACTAACAAATGTTAATAGATGAAGATTATCAAGACCAAAAGGAGCAAGAGCATAACGTAGTGCCTAAATGGAAAATAATCGTACGAAAAAAAAGAAAATTATAATTTACTCACGTGAATAATTGATTCAGCAGTTTTATTTGTTTCACGGTAAGGTGAACAACATAGATCAATCGTACGAAGTTCATAATCTGACGTGACAAACGAAGCCGTGATTCCCAGATAAGAAATTTGACGATGAGCATCACTCCACAAATCAGGACATATAACCAATGATTGTTTTTCGACAGGCTCAACGAATTGTAAACGCACTTTTTCTCTATGGCTTTGCGCCAGCTCTTGAATATGTAAACCGATGATTTTTGAACTTCGTAAAACACGTCCAACTTCAATATTTCCATACTTAGCTCCTAAAAACAAAGAGAGGAATTTAGAATTCTCAAATAAATGAAATATCAAGCTTGAGTTCAAGATGTTTAATTAGACATAGTAGCTTGAACAGATTGTAAACGATTTTGAAAGAAATCAAGTACGAACCTAATGAAACTAACTCTTGTGCTATTTCACGAAAACCATCATCTTCAATTATGGCAAATGGTCGTATATCCTTGCAAATCCAATTAGCTTGAAGATCTTTCATTCGTTTCATGTGACCATCACTAAGTTTCACACCACCAGCTGCTGTATAAGATGCAAGTGTTGTTTGATGACAACTTGAAGATGAATTTGGTGCCATTGAAGCAGAAGAAGATCGAGCACGATGTGGCTTTTTACAAATATGATTGTTCAATAAACGAGTGCTATTCGAATTGAAAGAATACGTCATATAACATTGTCGACATGTAACAAATTTCTCAATAATCTTTGGCGTTTCACCATCTGATTCGATAATTGCTGGAAAACCAAATAAGTCCCAACATTTTGATGAATGCACCTTTGTATTATCAACAACGATATATTGTTTACCATTTTGTTTCATTAACATCTCGATTTTCTTGCATGTATATTCATTAGATTGATTGGATGGAGACCACGACAAAATAGATAAACTGTTTCGAGATGATGTTGATGGTGAATTTTCAGTACTCGTATGAATATCTGTAGAAAAGGAAGAGTTTTGATTGTTGTCGACGAAAATGATATCATTGTCCATGTCAATATTTAAACAACTAAATATACCAATTCAATATATCCATCAGTTTTATTCTGGACAAAAACAAAAGTTACTTACACCTAATAAAATCCAAGATAGAAATGCAAATCAGAAGAATGTATATAGATAATTTTGAATTCAAATAACAAATGCTTTACTGAATCTAAATAATGAATGTTGAATTATCCATGAATTTCTCTTTGTATAGAGAATAACAACAAAAGATCAAGGTAAAGTATGGTTCTCGAATATTCTCTCGTTTACACAAGAATATAAGCTCATTGTTATTAAAGAAAAGAAAAACTAATCTTTGTTTTTGTAAACATTCACGAATAAAGTTCTGCATTGTTTTCAGATGGGTATGAAGAACGTAAAGGATAAAAAAAAGTTTACATTGGAGATAAGAATTAACGAATAAGATTATTTGTCTGTTCTATATCTATGAAAAGACACTACTGTTGACGTTATTTCGTGTTTTTCTTGTAGATAATGTTCTTAAAGTATATAAACTTGAAAAGATTGATCGCGGGACAAGTCGAAATAAAGCTTTGTCCCGTCCCGCGGCGAGTCTTAAATTTTTCGTCCCGTCCCGTCCTGGGACGGGACGGGACAAATCGTTCGTCCCGCCGGTCTCTGGTAGGTCCTGTACCAAACGTGCCAGTACCAGCAGCGAGTGTTCCCGATGATGCATTCAATAGATAACTCATAACACGATTATTACCGAAATCAGCAATATAAAGTGTACCAGTTGTTTCATTACGTGTAAGACCCACAGGATCATTAAATGTATCATTTGTACTATCGGACATACCTGCAGAATTGCCTGCAACTGTAATTCCCGTCAGCATATTATTGCCCCAATATTGAACACGATTATTTCCTGAATCAGATATATAGATACCATTTGATGAATCAATATGTATACATGATGGATTTTTTAATTGATTAGACAATGAACCTCCTGATCCATATGCTTCATCAGCTACAGTCGTACCATTCGAATTACCGAGCTGATACTTTTGTATCCGATGATTACCATAATCAGCAATATAGAGAAGATTCGGATGAATTAATACTATATCTGTGGGTTGATTCAATAGATTACTAGCATTACCAGGTGTATTAACAATACCAGCAACTGTAATTCCCGTGCTATTCCAACGTAATATGGGTATAAAATCTACATATTTCATTTCATTAAAAGATTTCATTTTCATACAATAATTCTAACTTACCAGACGCAGGTTTTGTTTGCTTTTTCGATTTAAACAGTATATAAAATAACACCACAGTGATCACAATACAAATAAGTACGGTAAGAAGCGTAGCCACAAGAATTCGTTGAATTGAACAGTTCTTCTTCCTATATACATAAATATATAGTTATCCATAGATATAATAATTACATACATTTTCTTTTTTAATGATTTATGATAATCGTTTGTCAAACCCTTTTCATCTAACCAGGCATTTGTTGATTGCTTCTATTTGAAGAAAAATATATTAAATTCTACAAAACAATCTCTCTTACTTTAACAACAAGGCGATGATTATCGTTTAGAAATTTCTTTGAAAAAGTAGAGAATATAGTTTTCAATAATCGATTGCAATCCCTTACATGTGAAAATGAATGAACACCAGATATAGTCGTCGTAGTATTTGATGTGTTTTGAATCTTATCATTTGTTGAAATCTATACAAATATATATTCAAGAGAAAAAAAAAGAGAAAATTAATTTTAAATCATACTGTATGCAAGTTTTGATTATATTCAACGATTTGTTTACGTTTGACTCGTTGAACGGTAGCAGAAATAGAAATTTTCTTCATTCTACTATGAGTGAAATGACATATGTGTCGAAATGTTACTAAATAATTTTATATACAATACGAAATGCAGAGAACAAAGAAAGCCTTTATTTTCTATAAATTATGTTTTTTTCGATGCAGAGAAATCGTAGAAATACGAACCAATTCTTCATCTACAGTAGTTAGTCAATAGAATTTCATTTCATAAACCAAACATACACTATTAATTATAAATTTTGCTTATTTATATTTTGAGACCATGAAAGACATGTAAGATATCTGATTGAGATTTGCATTAATGAGAATTCTAGATGAACTAACCTACATACTTTAAATATATAAAACATAATCCAGATCGATAACGCTGCAACATCAAGATCAAATATGATTAGTCCAAGAAACAAGTGTCCATATTCACAGTATAAGTATGGGTGGGTGGTAATGACAGTGAAGGTTCTCTATTAGACTTTATTTCAAACTAACAAATATTCAGTCATTGTTTTCTTGGAGATTTTTGCTGAGATTTTTCATCGAAAGACAAAAACCATTACTATTGGTTTCGTACAACAAGTTCAGTTTGATACAACTCGTAAATTACTTGAAAAAAAAACTGTTAGTGTATCAATTCTTCAATAACAACATTCCAGAAATGTTGCACTCAGTGATGTTATTGCATATGCTTTATTTTCGATAGGAGAACAAACAATACTTTTGTGTTATTAAAACTGCTATAGAAATAGTTTCTTTTATTTCAACCTTGCCGAACTTATATCTCTGTTTAGAAGAAAAGATAAAATATTATGTTTTATGAGTATTGGTAAATTTTTGAACAGATAAATGAAGTGAATCTTTGATAGCAGCGAATATAAATGCACTATTATCAATATCTAAACAATAATTCAAAGATTTGTTATAGAAAAAAAAAACGAATTTTCTTTTTACTTTTTGCACAAGTAAAATATGAATAAATAGTTTTCTTGTCATCTGGCATCATATCAATAAACATTTTAAGAATAAATTCTCTTGGAGCTTGTGAATCTCGTTCTGGACCTTAAAAAAAAGGGTTTGATTTCTTTAATAAAGAGAAAGACGTTTTACCATCAAATTCAGGATAATAATCTTTTAAATGTGAATAAAGGATTTTTTCTTCAAGTAAATCTTTTTTATTCAATAAAAGAATTAGAGATGAATAGGCAAGATGTGGTGAAGTAACAATTTTACGAAATAATTTTATACTTTCTTCCATTTTATCTTCCTAAAATTGAAATTTATTGAATTAATTATAAAAAAAAGAGATTAGATAAACAAACTTGATCATAATCAATTAATGAAACAACAAATACTGTTGAAATAACTTTATCGAAATAATGAGTCCATTTTCGATATTCGGATTTTTCTCCACTTGTATCTATTATTCTATTCCCTCGACTGTAAGGAGGGTCATGTCGAAAAAAAGTGGTCAAAAAACGGAAATTCGTTTGTTTGTGTGTGTCTGTCGCAGGTCAAAGGTCAAAGGTCAAATGACATTTCTTTTGCAAATGCTCGGATCTTCATAAAGCATGCTTTGGGACGAGGGTTGAGGTTCGATGTTGGNATGAAAAACTTTCTTTCGAAGAAAAGATTTTACCCAATCCGACTTGTCACCGTCATTCCTGACATTCCTCCGAAATGAAGATTTATAATAAGTAAAATAGTCAGTGCTAGAGCACCTTTATGTGGTACTGCTAATCGATAAACAGCGATAGATAAGTTCATTTCATCATAATTATTTACTTCCATGAAGTTTGTTACATTTGGAATAGCGAAAAGAAGAGCAAGTAAATAGACAAAACCAACGATCGCACTGCAAATACATGTACCAACAATACCATGAGGAGCTGGAAAATTTTAATAGAATTTATTGATGGCTTACAACTCGATAGTTCGGATGTTTACCTGCCTTTCCAGCACTTTGGGTTTCTTCAGCTAAGTGTGCACCCGCTGAAAGAAACAAGCAACAGAAAAAGATTAACAAATGTCCAATGTTGGATGTCAGTGCATATACCTTCGTAACCGGAAAATGAAAAAAGGGTGGATAGAATACTAATAAAGCACACATAGATGAACGGAAAACCAGTTTCGTTATAAGTTGACGTAAATACATCAGAAACCGTTGCTCGTTGTGGAGTCATGAGAAAAAGAACGAGCACTGTACCTATCGTCGAACAAATTTGTATAAATGTCGCTATATTATTCAACCATCCTTGTTGATCGATCCGAAGTGCGTTTTGTACAGCCCAGATAAATGTAATTCCAACACTAATACCTACTTGAATATGAATGTTCAGCGGTGGTTTACCATCAAGTACAAATGCGGCATTAACGATCGAGGCAAAACCTGATGAAAAAGCCGCATCACCTATTCACAGTCGATTTTATCTAGTTGAGAATTCAATGTGTTCAACTTGCCCGCGACATTGCCAACAAAATTAAACCATCCACAAATGAATGAAGCCAGAGGCGCACGCCGAGGTGAAACAAGTTGACCCGCCCTTGAAAAAGCAAAACATCAAATCCATTCAGCGATTTACAAGATCATACCAATAATAAACGGAGCCGGCGCTCGGATAAACCGAGCAGATTTCTGCTAATGAGAGACCAATAAGAATTGTAAAAAATGACCCGAGAATCCACGACCAAATGATAACACCTGATCCACCTGTTATCAGCGCATAATTAAAACCAATTGAAATTGATGTCAGAACATTGACTGTTGTGAAACAAAAAGCAAAGGACATAAATGGTGAGAACCCACGATAGAGTTCTTGCGTATATCCCAACTCTTGAAGAGCATCTGTATCCGAATCAACTTCACTCTGTTTACTCATGAAGAATTCAATATGAAATCGATGTAGCTAGAATAGAAAGAAGAAGAGTCTTCTATTTGCAATAAGACTGCCATATTGAGTTTAATCCATTGATTGTATGCAGAACGCTTAAATATTGGTATGTAGATTTGTCTTTATTAAATTCGACTAATCACTATTTTATTCAAAGATTTACATACGAGGGACGATTGACAGAACAGATGAAATAAAATACAAGGTCGAAGCTGTGTTGCCTTCTTTTTCCACGCACACACCTTCTTAGGATCTGATCATTATGCATAGTCTTTATTTTGAAATAAACTAACAAACATGTCATACAGTAGAAAGCCATTTTGGAACAGCTCATAATTTCCTTGTTTTGCATTTTGAAATGTAAAAGTTAACTAAGCGGATAGAATTCCGGTCAAAGAAGTTTTAAATCAGTTATTCAATCACGTACTATTGCATTATCTCGCTCTCAAGACTGCAGGACAGTACATGTAAAGACTGAGTTTTTCTTTAGAATTGCACAATATGTATCTTCTTATGTTTCAACATTATTCTATATTGTTTTTAACAGAAAATAGTTTGCACGACATATTTATAAGCATATCAACGTGTACTTCTACGTTTTGTTTAATCTTGGACAGAAATTGAAGGCCATCGCACGTATTGTACTCAGTAATAAAATCAATCCTGTGTGAAACTCAGTTAATTATTTCTAATACAATTCAATACTTGTCTCTTCTGCTTCATGTTATAGAAAAAATTTGAAAGAGTGTAAGTAAATATCACTGTGAAATAGAAGAATAATACAGAAACAATCAGTTCGGATACATTGAAACAATATTAGTGTTCACATTTAAGGATTCCACGTATCAACCGTCGCTTCTGGCGCCGGATCCCAGGTTTCTACTGCTGCTTCCGGTGCTGGATCCCAAGTTTCTACTGCTGCTTCGGGTGCTGGATTCCATGTTTCCACAGCTGGTTCAGGTGCTGGGTTCCATGTTTCCACAGCTGGTTCAGGTGCTGGATTCCATGTTTCCACAGCTGGTTCAGGTGCTGGATTCCATGTTTCCACAGCTGGTTCAGGTGCTGGGTTCCATGTTTCCACAGCTGGTTCAGGTGCTGGATTCCATGTTTCCACAGTTGGTTCAGGTGCTGGATTCCATGTTTCCACAGTTGGTTCAGGTGCTGGATTCCATGTTTCCACAGTTGGTTCAGGTGCTGGGTTCCATGTCGGCACAGTTGGTTCAGGTACTGGTTGAATATATTCTACAGTCGGTGGAGGTTGCGGAGCTGGAGGTACTATAACAACTGGCGTTGGATCTGGTTTTCTTTGTGGTTGAATTCGATTAACTGGAGGTGGTGGCGGACGAACTGGTCCTCGATTTTGTTGTGTACGCACAACAGTTGTTGATTCAACTCTTCTTACAACAACGGGTGTTTGTCTGGTCGTCGGTTGCGAAACAGTTGGTGCTCGATATTGATAATTGTTGTCAACACGAATAACTGCAGGTTGTTGATGTACTGTTCCTGATTGAATAACTTGTGCTTTCACTTTATTATCGGGTTTGCATCCACAACTTTCTTGGCATTCCTCAGGACAACAGCAACAGCAGCAGCAACAACAGCAACACTCTTTACACATCTAGAATTCGGAAGAATTCAATCAACAATTAAACTAACTAAAATGGAAAGACCAAAGAAAAGCTATCGAAATTAAATAATTAACTGGTGATGAAATAGTTGAAAATATTTTATTCTTATTTATACGGCTCGTCGTTCTCAATAAATTTGAGCGAGAAAGAAACGCAAACAATTCGTTGTCAACAGAAAAAGAAGTAACTCTGTATTGTAGGCGTAATGAAAAAAAAGTCTTTTCACGATGCCTTAAAACATTTTAAGTAACAAAAAGGAGAAAAAAATCACTATTTCTGACGTAGATTTGACGTCAGATGAAATGCTTGATTCGTTTTTGTTCTCTTTCTGGTATAATATATCTCTCCTTCCTCTCCATCAAGAGAGAAACATGTTGAAGATTTTCTTATCCAAAAAACAAAACTTTTCTTTTGTTCATTGAGTATTTTAACCATAGTGTAAGTCGCAGTGTGCAAGTGTGTGACTATGTCGAAGAGAACATCGAAGTTTATTTGTTGTACGAAATATAATCATCGCGTAGGAGTACACGTTCGACTGAGAACGTGATTTTTCAAGAAGAGAACAATTCGTAACGAAAGCGAGTACTCTTCACCGAATCCTGTTCGAAAAATTATAGTAAAATCGTTGTCACAAGGCAATTCAGATTAAAACTAATCGAATAAATCGAAGAATTTATTATGCAAGTAGTTCAATCTAAAGTAACTTCACTACATGAATTATATGTTAGTATCGAGAAACATTTCTTTTTTATGTTCTTTTTCTTGTTTAAACAGGAGGAATGTCGTTATTCTCTATTCGTTCTGTTGACTGTTTCTTCGATGTTGTTTCACATATTTGTATTCTACTACTAAATTGGAAGTTTTACATAATTTATACACTAGAAATATCAGCATTTGAAATCTAATCACAAAGTGTTTTTGTTAATCGTATATTTTTTAAATAATCAGAAGAGTTGCCAATATGAATAAAAACATTTCGTTTATCGTTCTTATCATTTTGCATTGCATGCAGCCCTTTATCAACATTTATACCACTTCTCTTGCTTCATTTCTACACAATAAGCATGACAACGATGTTTCTCGACCAGTCCACTGACGGAGACGCGAGAAAAGATGCGGAAAACACGTCAGAAACATGGTCGAACTTAATTGAAAATACAGATTACGGTATCTTACGTAAAACTCCAAACTATGATGTCAAAATCCAACGTCAGAGGACTCATGCAAGGCCACTTGGCGAAGGTCGACCAGTTTTCATCATCTGTTGTTACGATCCACGAACAGATCCTGCTGCTGAACTTGTACTCAAGCATATTAACTGTCAGTATACTCATCGATCTACTAGTAGACGATCTCTGCCGTTCTTTTAGATACTGGTTTATTTCTTCAAGTACGTGTTGCTGGTGGTCGTGCGATAGATGCTCTACGGTCTTTGATAACAGCACATTATATGTTCCATCTTGAGGTTATAGCTGTTGTTCATCATACTTTCTGCGGATGCACGTCTTTTACTCTTTCAACGATTAGTGAAGCTCTGGCCAAAGAAGATAATATTCATATAAATGAAGAAATATTGAATAGTGAATGCATCAAAGCACTGACAATTGAAAATCTAAATAAAAGCGTCAAGGACGATATGAAATTGATTAGAGAACGAGTGGCCAGTCCAAACGCAAAAATTTTAGGTTTTGTATTCGACATTAGGACAGGTGAATTGATTCCAATTGAATAAATATAAAGAAATCACGTAATAATTTTACTCGAAGAATATCAAGAAAAGTTGTACGATGTTTTCATTGAAAAGAAATCAAATTTAATTCATCATAGCAATGTTTTTTGAAAAATTGAAGTTTATTCAATCAAAAGTGTTTGAACGTATGAGAAGTTTTGAAATAAACAAGTACATATAACTCCACATCACATTCGTCGTACTAATTTCTTGTGTAATTGACCAATTTTACGTATTCTTTTTTTGAATGAGAGCATACATAAAATTTCCACTGCGCAGCAGCTTTTGAGACAGTATGAGGAACAAACAATAGAAAATACTCAGCAGATAAACGTAGTGGTGAATTAGTTGTTTGTTTCACGATAGAAATTCGTTTTAGGTTACACTATACTTCAATCAAATAGTTAATGTTCAAGAGGCAAAACAATTGATAGTTCGCTGGAATATCGCATAAGTAAAGGGTTTGCTGATATTCGCAAATACTTGAATGCCGCTAGTTGGGAACAATTGATTATCACTTCCCTACCAAATGTACGCATTTTTTATTATCAACACGAATGTTCTGCCATGAATGACAACGTGGATTTGAGTCAGTATGAAGTCCTTGTCAAACAATTCCATTCGACATTCTGGCTCGAACGACAATGGCTTTTCAAACTTCAATACTATCGAAAGTATTTACAATTGTGCTCTACTGTATTCAACTAGTCGTTATAAGTAAAAAAGAAATTCTCAGCATATCTGTCGTCTTTTTCTGAAAATGTGTTTGTAATTTAGACGAAAACATTATGTTTCGTCTGGCCAATTAAATGAATCAAATGTGAAGTCAATTCATTATTTAGAAGTTAAAAAAAATGAGCCGATAGAAAATTTTACTGGATTCTTTCCAAATGTTACCCAATTGACTCTTTGCAACACGTTTTATACACCTCCTGGTGTCAACGCAAGTCGTTTGAATCGAATTCTGCCATTGAAACAAATAACAAAATTACGTCTTCATTCTGACCGTTTCTCATCCAAACAAATGCTTGATTTGCTTTCTTCCGCAGTGAATATTCGTACATTAGAGCTCAATGCGTTCGGTTTTAGTAAAATAGACGTGCTTTTAGCTGAACAAGTGTTCAAGACGAACGCGATCAAACATGTTCGGATTAGTAGAGTGCATTCGTTAGATGAATTCAAACTCTATGTTCATCTTTTTCCTCGTCTGGAATCTTTGATAATTGGTCTCGACAAAGGTGATTTCAGATCAATTGTAAAATTTGTTTTACTGCAATCAAATCACTACCTATAATCAATGTGTATTTCTATGCCGGGCAAAGATCACCTGGAGCGAATAAAAAGGTTAATTGAATCGGGAAAACTTCTTCGCGATTATAAAATAAAATGCATCAATCTAGATGTTTATTTATGGTGGTGATGTTGTCAAATCAGTTGGTGAAAACAAATCTATAACTTCTTCTTTTAAATATATGCTCGACGAATCCAAAGATGTTGGAAATTGATAAACTAGATGTGGAATCGATAGCGGCAGTCGAGATCTATCTGAAATCAATATATTTGTTTCATTGGAAAAGGCTGTAAAAAAATAATAGAACATAAAAAACCTCATTTACTCATCACTTTCGAGTAGTTTTTTGCATTTTCGGATCGGAGGAAAGTGTCTGACAAAATCGTAGAGCTCGCCGAGTTCTACTTGGAATGGTCACACAGGCGAATCGGGAGATAGGGACATCCTACGTCTCAATCATCGTGTAATAAAATGGATGTGGGGTGAGATGAGTGGATTATAGTGCTGACGAGAAGATGTAAACCAGGAAGGAATTTGACGCAATAAAACAATCCACCTGGAATTCTAGTTGACAATATGGGCACAGTTTATGTGGCAGATTCGAAAAATCACCGAGTAATGCATTGGTTCCTGGTGATGCTCAAGAAACCATAATTCCTAGAGGTATCGGTTTTGGACATCCAGCAAATCAACTCAATGAACCTGCGGCATTGTCTACATAATTTTATCGTTACTTTCGCAGATATATTTGCAATAGCTTGATTTATTGAATAAAAAAAATAAGAATATGTCTGTTAGATTTCATGATTTTCCTAACTTCAAAGACAAAATCAGTCAATATTTAATGAAGAATTCTCAGTTTGATTTGTTTTCAAATATAAAATTCAATCTTATTCCATTGATGTTCAGATTAGCGAGGTTTAGAATTTACTACAGCAGTGATGATAGATAAACGGAGAAGAAAACGATCAAAGCGAATTATCGGTGCGATGTCGTGAAGATAAATGACACGTAGATATAGTTATAGAATAAGATAAAGAGAGTCATTAAATCGCATTTCTTACTTGTAATCACCATCTCAAAAGATAAAGATATCCAAAAATTGTTTTCATCAGTCACGATCACATTGTCAACAGCAACAAACAAATAGAATGAGAATAGTGTCGATAACGCGAGTTATGTGGAAGGAAAACTAGAAATGAATTCAACAGCTAATCTTATTGCTTTCAGCTCACACTACTCTCATCTCGAAGTGAGCTCAATTTATTAAATATTAAGCAAATACTTGCAAACCAAGTCTAATAATTTTTTCTCTTTAAGTAATGAATAAACATTTTCTGTTCGTGATTTTCATTGAATAATATATATATAAGCATCAATCTTCTCTATTTTTAATTCACCATAAACAAGAAAATGCCAAAACATGTGTCTCTCTCTATGAATAAAAATAAATTTGCCATTTGTTCTTATAACTGAGAACTTTGCAGTCAAGTAGATGCGAATACTTTCCATCCAACAGTGTAAGCTTCTATGCATATCTTGCAGAAGAATACCGTCGAATGCTTCTCTTTCGACTGATTTCATTTCAGAATAAACAATCGCTTTGTAAAACTTCATTTTGCAGAATGAATTTCAAAAATTATCTTCAATGGATCTACAAGAAGATATCCAATTATAATCTTTTCATATTAGAAGAAAATGACTATGACGATGACAACACCAAAGATCCAACTGTACTTCTTAAACACCAAAAGTGCAAAACGCGTTTGTATGTTGTACTTCTTATGGGTAAGAAATTCGAAATGAATATCTTCTACTCAAATCTTTCATATAAATGTAATCTTGTAGTTTGTCTCTACCTACTGTTCTATGTTACTCTTCTCAATGTGGAATCTAAAACGATTCTTATTTCCGGAGTGACACTGGAGACATTCAATGAATTATATTCTGAATATAATCAAACACTTTCATGTCCGTGTAGAACAAGTACAATACCATACAAAAGTTTTGTCTTCATTAATGTTACAATACATCCGGCCTGTTCGAGTATTTTTATCGATAGCCAATGGGTGGATCGATTATATTTGGAAAATGCAAGTCTTTATGGTGTATGGGATTTTCGAACAACAGCCTATTATCAGGTTAGTGAAAGTCGATTTGGAAATCGGGTTACCATTGCTCTTTGTAAACCATCTCAGTTTTGGATTTGTGTAGAATCTTATTTTTCATTTAGTTTCAACTTCTGTCAACGCTGTGCTCTCTTGCGAAGGACAATATTGATCAAATTCAAAATGATATTAACAATACCGATTTTGTCAGCATTGAAGTCATTTATGAAACGGAAGTTCATCGACAAGTTAAGGATCTGGTTGACTTTCGTAAAAACTATTTATCTCATCAGGCAATGTCGTTTTTGAAGTACTGGAACACAACAAGTCAAGAACACTGCTTGGTTTCAGCAGTCGGCACCAACTGGATAACTGAAATCGTAGACAACTTTGGTCCTAAGTTTGTGATCAGAGGAATGTTGGTAGGAACTCCTGCCGAAAAGAACATTTTGCGATTCTGCTGCGAAGCCAATTCAGTCATTCCAGCTACTATTGCTCCACCATCAAAAGTGCGCTTTCCATCCGATCGTAGATCTGTAATGATACCGATGCCAAATTCTAAACCTATCAAAGGGTTCTTAGCGGGATGTACTCCTCTCCAAGCACTTCTCGGAAGCACATTGGACTGTTTATGTGATCATAAATGTATTCAGTTATTGTTGCATGCCTTCCCAAAACTAAACCAAGTATGTCGAATAAAAGTGCGATAGTTTGTTAAATTTTCTTCTCCTTTTTCAGCTAAATATTTCTTGGCCCGATTCGATTTTACCAACAAAGAAAGAAAATATTTCGATCAATAATTATTTCAAAGCTCTTTTCGTTACAAATTGGTCACTAAACGCGGATTACCCAACATATTTCCATCAGTGTTCGCCATCTACGTGTACATACACAGTGAAAGATCAAATGAATTTATCGTATGCGATCACCCTTCTTATTAGTCTTTATGGTGGTGTTATTATCATTCTCCGTTTCGTTGCATCATGTACCATCGATCTGTTTATCAAATTGAAATCTTATTCAGATAAGTCAGTCAGAAATTCGAGTTGAGTATACACAAGAATGTATCCTACGACATTGACAGAAACTTTATTTTTCCTTATAGACGAACAACGTACAAATATATTTGAATCTGTGCAGTTCATAAAAGAGTTGAATTTATTCAAAAATATCCACGATCGAACAGAAAACAATATCAGACAGCAACGAATCACCACACGAGTATATTTGATTTTATTATTTGGTAAGTCTTATTCTCACTACATTGCATAGGATACGTCAATATACACACACACTCAAATATGTTTCTTTGAAATATTCTAGGTTCGATAGGTGCTCTCTGTCTATTCGCATCGCTGAGCAGTACAACAACGACAGTAATTGAACTAAACCCTTCATTATCAACTTTTCAATCATTAGATGTCAAATATTCGACAGAACTTCAATGTCCGTGTTCTAATCAAGCGATACCTCATCAATCATTCATTTCCTTCTCTCCCATTCTTCATCAAATCTGCCGTAGTAGTTTCGTTCTTGACGATTGGATTACAATATTAAAAGCTCTTCTACACAGGGTAGCCAATACCAGTTGGAGCACTTTAGCATACATGCAGTTCGCAATCTTGTCTCATCTTTGTCAACTGGCTAATGAAACAATAAACGATGCGATTGATCAATATCTTTTACAATTTTTTATCGCTTCTTCTGCCTTGAACGAGGCTAACTTTTATCTACAATTAAATACGAGTCTTACTCAGTTATATCAATCAACGTTTTACAACTTTGATCTGCTGAAAGATGTTGTACATCTTATTATGCAAATTGATCAGCTGTATATGGGTGATATCACGTGGAGATTAGACTATCCAAAATCTGGTCTGATGTTGCATACAGTAATTAACGAAACAAACGGCCACACATTTCAAGTACGTTCATTTTTAGACGATAGGAGCTTATTTCGTAGTATACGCAGCGATAAACTCTTTAGTTTTGTCTGCACAGCTTTACACAACAGAATGCGATTTGACAAACTATTGAGAACATGAATCCGCTTATCTCTCTGTACAGTTTCATTCGAGACTATTGTTGAAATGATCCAAGATGCGAATCTTATCTCTAAATAAATTAACAAAAAAAAATCACTATGAATACTCTTACTTTTAGGTACAATTTATTTTGAATAGAATCGAAGAAATGAGTTCAAGGCGGTTTATTTGCGTTTGTGCTATCAATCCAAACTGTGAAGATACAGCTCATATATATGATCCTACGTCGAGCGCGAACAACAAACATTTTATTTACAATATAACTGGCTGGATGCAAGGATGCTTCACTTTTGATTCTCTCCTACTTTCGACTCTTCAACTTGTGCATATAAACTCGGGTGACTTTCTGAATTTCATGAACTATATACAACTAGGAGAAACTGCGCTCGGCAAGATATTTTCATCATTTCGTCTACAACCTTTCTTCTATGATCCAAAAACGAGTCGTTATCCTCCGAACACATCTATTTCAACAATCATTAAGGAACTAATGATCGAACAATGGAATCCTTCTCTATCATACGAACAGTTCTATGAATCGTGTGCACCCAATTATTGTTCTTATCCCGAAAGAACTCGTAATAATAATTTCATTGGTGTAATTATAATATTGATATCCATGATGAGTATTATTGTCATTGTATTGAAACTCTTAACACCACATCTTGTTCAAGCCATTTTCAAATTACTCGCTAGATGCAGAAAAACGACAAGACAAACACAACCAGGTATGCACTTCTCTGATAAAATTGCAACAGAACAGTATTTGGCTGATATTCTTTTGTCAATATGCTTTCTGAAAAAGAGTATCAAAGTGAAACTTCGTTTTTAGAGACTATGCGGGATATACACACACAATTGAGTTTTATTTTTATGTTTAAAATGTAGAAGAACTAACACAATGAAACTTTAGTTCTAGTACATCGTAGTATTCTCGATCGATTGAAGACGTGGATAAGCAATTTAATTAAACTTCTACGAGCTATGTTAGTTACACTGAATATCTTTCCACTACACGATCTTGGAAGTCATATAGATCGGGAAACGGCAAAGCGTTACGGACGATGGGCAACTCGTCTCTATATACTTTTACTCATTGCTAGCCACACTATTCTGATATTTTACACAATAGTTCAACCACGAACATCAAGAACAACTTATCTCAAACCAGATTTGTTTTATTATAATCATTTGAGGGAGATCTATGGCGATCAATTGAAATGTTCCTGTTCACAAATAGCATCGACATACGATCGATTCGTCAAAATCGAACCGATATTCCATTCGGTAAGGAACGCAGTCAAGATTTGAACTCTTCTCTCCATCACCCTGTTTTATCTTATTTTGTGTTATTTTTTTTCTCAGGTTTGTAGAAGTGATTTCGTCTCTGAAGAATGGCGTCTGGGTTTAGTGAACGGGCTTGTTTCGAATTTTACCGTATTTAATCGAAGAGATTATCGTCGGTTTCTTCCGGCGCATTTATACTATCTCCAAAAATTATGTAATATATCTGAACAATCGGTACAGCATTCGATCAATGAATTTCTAACCTCATTATTGGTCACTGTGGAACTTCTCCCCAAAAATCAGTTTGAGAGTTATCTGAATGCGACTATTGAGCAGAGTAAATCCAGTGCTCCTATTTTAGTCTCTCGTCTTTTGTCTTTTATTCAAAGTCTCAACCATGGAAATGCTTTGATTTCGACTTACGGAACAAATTTTGAATACGTTCTTCCAGCGAATAAAATTTACAATGCATATTTACCTACACAAGCTATTGTGTATGATGATCAATGTTCGTGTGGAAAGATTCCTACATGCACAACTCAAGCAGTTTTCATTGAAGGAAATCCACTAAGAAAGTTTTCTGTCCATGGCATGAAGATGGGATGTACTCCAAGTGAATCATTTCTTGCTTCAACTCTTCAATGCTTTTATAATCAATCATGCCTTGATCTCATACAAACGCATACAAACTACAACT